CCAGAAATCTTCGATCCCTAACTCCTCAGACCAATATGATGCGCATGTGCCGCCTTCGTTCACCAATTTTCCTGTACAAGTTTCCAACCTGCCGATGTTCCAATGGTTGTAAGCCGGAAATGGGACCAAAATTCTTTCCCGAATCCCATGCGCCCTTTGGTTGCCGGCAGTGTCGTACCCAAGATGCCCATGGGAGTCGAGGTTGCTATGATCACACTGACAGCCTTACATTCGCCAGCGGCCACGAGTATAGCCACTGACGAGCCAAGCATGAACTGACAGCCGGCACATAATTAGACGTAAATATTGAGAGGTTGATCGCGCCGTTGTGGGTAGCCAGCTTGATCGCAGATGCAATAAGCTGCCGGCGTAAACATGCCCACTGAGACGACGAGGAGCATAGCTGCGTAGAACAACGCCCAGATGTGTGGCCAGTCGGCCAGAGACGCAGCGATGTCAGCCATGGTAGAGGGCTTTTTTAGGTCCGTGGTAGTCAGCGTCGGTTGAACTTGTGAGAAGGAATTGATTTACTCTTCCAAGTGGTGTATTAATTGCAAGCTTTCAACAGGTAGGACGCGTTTAGGCCTCTAGAAATATTACCTGAGGGTACCTCAAGACTTTGAGGTGTCGATGTTGGCAACCTATTCTTATCTATGTATACCATCACGGCCCTCTATCAAGGCCAGGCTATGTCAGCCAAGCGTAGCCTGACCATAAGACCGCTGGGTGGCCTTAGGATCTACCAAACTAGTATCTACCCTCATTGATGACAAGGATCCATGCCATTTCATTGAATAGATGTAGAAGAGAAATCTGATGTGAAAGAGGTACGATCGATCACGGTTACATGCCTCCCTGTGAAGAAGTAGTGGTTGAACAGTGAGACTCCGTCACTCCGATCGGCGGACTGAGATATGGAGGCCTTCTTCAAAGCATATCATATCCCTCGGCTTGTGCGAGTCAGCCGAGTGTACTGAGTTCAACTATACGGGTCCGGCTCCTGCGGCGCGGCCTTCACTGTTGACAACAAGGTAGGCCTATTCTGAGATTTCATATTGAATCCTCCGCAATAGGTTGTGTGCATGAAGGATTTTCAAAGAAGATGACATATAGCACAGTAGTACAGCAAGCATCGTAAGCATCTTGCCAAGTGACTGGGGCCAAAATCCTCCCGAAGTTTAAAAGCAGAGATGCTCTCCCAGATTGTCTCTATGAGAATGGCACCCCACTGTCTGGAGCACCAACATGGCGGGGCTTCAGGAGGAGGTTGTTAGGATGTGATTCATCATTCCCATGAGCAAAATGGAGAGAAACGTTATTACGGTATACTAAGAACCTATCCTTGTATCGGTATAGACCTAGTGGGATCTACGAATATGGAGAACCTCGGCCGCCCTCAACCCCGGAAATTGCGGGGAAGCTTGGAAGTCACCCGCAACCAAGACTATGAATACCCGAATAGGCCGATGTGTGCCTCGGCCAAGGTTGGATATCAAAGAGGATTTCTCGAAATTCATCCTTGCGTCCACTTGATGTCTGGTGCTCAGAAGCATTTCAGAATACCATGGAGTCGATTCGTTATGATAACCAAGTTGCCATTGTCACCGGGGCAGGCAATGGGCTGGGAAAGCAATATGCCAAGTTCCTAGCATCCCGTGGTGCAAAGGTGGTGGTAAACGATCTTGGAGGCTCTTTTGATGGCAAGGATGGAAGAGGTGGGAACGCACGGGTGGCCGATGCCGTGGTCAAAGAAATCACCGACGCTGGGGGCATTGCGGTTCCCAATTTCGACCCAGTGCAGAATGGAGAGAGAATTGTCCAAACCGCCATCCAGCACTTTGGGCGAGTCGACATTCTCATCAACAACGCCGGCATCCTTCGCGATGTCTCACTGTTGAATATGAAGGACGAGGATTGGGATGTCATCATGGACGTGCATGTGCATGGAGCAATGAAAACAGCCCGCGCAGCATGGGCACACATGCGCAAACAAAAATTCGGCCGAATCATCAACACCTCTTCCTCGTCAGGCCTATTTGGTAACTTTGGTCAAAGCAACTATGCCGCAGCAAAGATGGCGTTGGTGGGCTTCAGTGAGACCTTGGCCAAAGAAGGAGCTAAATACAATATCACCTGCAATGTTCTGGCTCCAGGAGCTGCGAGCAGGCTGACCCAAACGGTATGGACCTCGGATATGATGGACGTCATGAAACCTGACTGGGTTGTACCTCTGGTGGGCGTCCTCGTAAGCCAGAGCTGTAACGAAACTGGAAGCATCTTTGAAGCCGCTGCTGGCCACTACAGCAAGATCCGCTGGGAAAGGAGTGCCGGCTTTTTGGCCAACCCAGACAGTCTCAGTCCTGACTTGATCCTGCAGAATTTTAACAGGATCATAGATTGGCGCAACTCAGAGTTCCCTACACAACCAGCAGATTTGACTGGACTGCTCCAACAGGCTAGTAAGCTCCCCAGGGAAATCGTCACCCCTCCGAGCCCGGTGCACTTCAAAGGCAAAGTTGTTCTCGTGACTGGAGGTGGAGCTGGACTAGGCAGGTCCTATAGTCTGCATTTTGCCAGCCTAGGTGCTAAAGTTGCCGTGAATGATGTCAAGAATGCAGAAAAGGTGGCAAACGAGATCGTTTCGGCCGGAGGAGAAGCATTTGCAATCTCAATGTCGTCTGAACAAGGGGATGTCGTGGTCCGCAAGGTTGTTGACAAGTACGGGCGGATTGATGTGGTTGTCAACAATGCTGGAATTCTGGGAGACAAAGCCTTCGTCAACATGACTGACGAGCAATGGTATTCGGTGATGAGCGTGCACCTTCGCTCCACATACAAGGTCACGAAAGCCGCCTGGCCTTATATGAGAAAACAGCGGTTTGGAAGAATTGTCAACATAACCAGTACCAGCGGCATCTATGGAAACTTTGGACAGGCTAATTATGCAGCAGCTGTGAGTTTGATTGTACGATACCTTTTGGGCTCTCTGACTGACCTGTCATCAGAAATGTGGCATCATTGGCTTTACCAAAACAACTGCACGCGAAGGTGCCAAGTACAATATCATTGTGAATGCCGTTGCACCCTCAGCTGGCACCAACATGACAAGAACTGTGTGGTCTGAGAGTGATGTGCAAGCGATGAAGCCGGAGTATGTGGCACCACTTCTGGGTGCCCTGTGCAGCGAGAAACCTCCTCAATCTGGTCAATTGTACGAAGCCGCTGGAGGGTGGTTTGCCGCCACAAGATGGCAACGAGCCCGAGGATTCGACTTTGAACACGACCAGGGCGTACCAACAGTCGAGCAGGTGTCCAAAGTAAGTTTCCTGGAGTTGATTATCAGTTGAGGTTTGCTGACATGGGCTCAGGTTTTCCCTGAAATTTGCAACTTTGATAATGGCAAGGCTGATAACCCCGACACACCACAAGAAGGCAGCAAGTATACCATGGGAAATGTGTTGAAGAACCCCAAGATCGTACGTTTGATGCCTCCTCCCAATGACCGGGATCATACTGACCATTACGTCTACTCAGGCTGGCAAGTTGGCACAAGAAGACCGCGCCAACCGCAAGTACATTTCCAAGATATCGGCTGCAATGGCACTCACACCGATTAAATCGACGTACAAGTATGACGATCGCGACGTGATCTTGTACAATTTGTCCCTAGGTGCACGCCGTACCCAGTTGAATCTGGTGTATGAGAACTCCAAAGGATTCGAGGTTTTGCCTACCTTTGGCATCGTGCCCACTTACTTCGCCAAGTCCCCTTACGAGACCAAAGACATCGTTCCGAACTATGACCAGCGTATGCTTCTCCACGGCGAGCAATACCTAGAAATCAAACAATTCCCAATTCCGACGTCTGGAACTCTCACGACAACAACAAATTTGATCGAAGTGGTCGACAAAGGTAACGCGGCGTTGGTCCGACGAGGCATTACCACTGTGGACTCGGCAGGCAAACCAGTTTTCTACAACGAAAACGTCTCCTTCATTCGTGGATCTGGTGGGTTTGGAGGGCAAAGTAAACCTAGCGACAGAGGTGCAGCAACAGCGCCCAATAACCCACCAAATCGAGCCCCCGACAAGGTTGTCGAGGAGAAGACCTCAGAGGATATCGCAGCGCTATACCGCCTCATGGGTGACCGTAATCCTCTGCATATCGACCCTGAATTCTCAGCTGCAGGTGGATTTAAGGTGCCGATCCTTCATGGGTTGGCAACATTCGGCATCAGCGGAAAACACGTCTTTCAAGAATTCGGTGCGTTCAAGAAGATCAAGGTTAGATTCAGTGGCACGGTATTGCCAGGTCAAACGATCAGAACTGAGATGTGGAGGGAGAATGGAAAAGTGATATACCGGGCGTTGGTTAAGGAGACCAGAAAATCGTGCATCAGTAACGCCGCGGTTGAACTGTTGGGAGGCAAGTCGGTGTTGTGAGCCGAGCGAGAGCGAGCATTGACGATGATACTTTACTAGTCATTAACAATGATTGATTCTCTATCTGGCGCGATCTCGGAGCTTTGCATGTTTCTCTCACCAACACTATACTGTAGAATGTGTCTCGCTAAGCTGATGCATATGACAAGGCTTGGCCTCCTGACAATACTTAATGCGCTAATCTCTTATAAGGAGTTTGTGGGTCGAAGGGGCACAGATCAGGGGGGCTGGGGGGGTCCAGGTACCTAACACCGCGCCCAAAGGCGGTCGAGGGGTCCCAACTATGGGCTTGCCCAGCCCGAGGCCCCTTAAGTACCCCTTGTTGACGATGAATAAGAAGATGGATTGTTCGTGACCCCTAAACCAGACAGCTCGTGCACCATGCAGTTTACTTGGCTCCCAACCTTCTCGACGTGTCAATTCTTCACACGCGCCGTTTGTCCATGTGAGGAAGAACATGGCGATGCCCACGTGTCGTGACTGGGCCAGGTGTTGCCATTGTTCTCACGCGACCGACGGTGAGCTCACATGATTCTCATCCTGCTGTTGTCCACCAAGGTCTGTGCGCCTGTGCTTTGCAAGGCCTCGACTCAGAGCCATCGTGGCGCTCTCTACCAGCCTTCGAGCTAGTCGATGCGTCGCCTTGCTGTCACCTACCTCCTTGCATTGACTAGTATGCTGTGCAAATCGAGGGATTTTCTTGCCCGGCACCTAAGTAAGCTCCAGAACCGTCGACCAAGATATTGCACAGACCTGGTAAGATGGTATAAGTTCGCGAAGGTTGCCAGCCGTTGGAAGGTGTCTATTCAACGCTCTTTCAAGTCGCTCATTCTTCATCTACGTCTGCTTAGACGGTTCACTCATTCAAACACGCTCTTTTACAGCAGCCCTTGCTAGCATCCATTCATTTATATCATTCTTTACTATCGCAAAGACAGGACAGACGCAGAATGACGTCCACCACCCACCAAGCGATCCTCGCAGCAGTACTTGTACTTGCATCTGGTGTTCGTGCACACGGCACCGTCTCTGGCGTTGTTGCAGGAGGAAACTGGTATTCAGGTTACAATGCCAATTTCCAATGGCGAAACCCCATCCCAGTGGTCCCAGCCTGGACCGCCAATACCTTGGACAACGGCTTTGTCGACAACTATGCATCTCCAGATATGATCTGCCATAAAGTTGCAACTGCAGGCGGTTCTTATGTCACGGTGGCAGCTGGCAGCACCGTCGAACTTCAATGGACCCCTTGGCCCGAGTCTCACCACGGCCCTGTCTTGGATTACCTTGCTTCCTGCAGAGGTGACTGCCAGACAGTCGATAAGACAACGCTGTTGTTCAACAAGATCAATGAAGGTGGATTGATTTCGGGAAGTAATCCAGGTCGATGGGCATCAGATGAACTGATTACGCGGAACAACTCATGGACAGTGACTATCCCAGCGAGTATCGCGCCAGGAAAATATGTCCTTCGTCACGAGATCATTGCCTTGCACTCAGCTGGCAGTCTGAACGGCGCCCAGAACTACCCATCTTGCTTCAATCTCGAGGTCACTGGCTCTGGCACCAATACCCTCGCCACCGGCACCCTTGGCACTCAGCTATACAATGCCCAGGATCCTGGCATTTTGTTCAACCTCTACAGGACTTTCTCGTCATATATCATCCCAGGCCCTGCTCTTATGAGCGGAGGAGGCTCTGACAACCCTCCACCGGCTTCCAGCTCGCAGGCAACCTCGACGCCAACACCATCACCAACTCCATCTCCGACTCCTACCCCGTCTCAGTCCAGCAGCACCCCACCCACGCCTCCTGCCTCGTCATCGTCTTCTAGCCCTGTGTCGTTCTCAAGCACGGTCACAGGCCGCATTGGCAAACCAACAAAGTTCACTTGCTACGTGGATGAGGAGCTGTAGTCTAACCAAGCGGTTTGGGAACTAGCCGTATAGACTGCGGCGAACTGACGCTGGGACGAGTTGAGGTGTCATGTCGGAGGAAGATAGTCGCATCTAGCAAGCATATGCATTGTCAATAGATCTCGAGGCTGACCAACGTGTCAGACTGCATTCAATAATATCCAAAAAATAAAATCATCATATATATTCTTCTCCCAATTCTCCCTATTACTAGGTAGTTTCCATCTTTTTCAAAACTATAAGGTCGAAGACCGGTATTCGCAGACTGGCGTATGTGACCCAAGCAGACCCGTATCGGTAATGATCGTTTTGAGGGCATGGATAATTGGGCTGCGTTGATTGGTGTAATGATTGACACGTTATTTGCCCTTGATGATTGAGCACGCCATCGAGCACGCAATTCCCTGACTCGCCAGGGGCCATGGCATATATATAAACATGATACTATATCTATATTCAAACCCTCATTCTATATCTTATTCTCAGCCTCGTGTTCAGCTATCTGATCACCCCTTCAGAACATGATGTTTCTGTGCGACTCGATACCAAAGAAATTCTCGTCAATAGCACCCAAGGTCGATCTTCTTGGCCAACGTACCCCAGCGGTGATCACCGCTCTCTTCCCTCACCAAAGGGAAAGGTAAGCCCAAAGGACAGCTTAGTAGCCGGTCGGGCGGTTTGGGGAACTCGTCGCATTCATTGGGGAAAAGTTCCATGCCTCCAGGACAGGCATGAGTCCCTCTTCCCTCATGCATCATGAATCTTGCTCCAAGATGCCATTCTTTACGCTTGGATCAGCAAGCACAACAATCGAAACCCTCTCTCAAGTCCCAAGCAAATGCGTACGGTTATCTCTCAAGGGTCTCTTCTTATTCACGGACGGTCCCGCATTCGATCCATTCAACCCCCGACGTCCCCCCTCCCCCCGCACACGACTCTGACGCTTTCTTGATGAGAACTTGCCGTCTGATCCGTCTCGGAGTTGAACATTGGCGGAACCTCTTCTCCAAATTCTGACGAGGTAGTAGTCGGTGATGACTCCGGACATCACCAATGCCCAGAGATGACTTGACGTAGACTTCTGCCTCTTCTCCCACTTGACGTTTCTGTTTTCGCTTGGTATCAAGGTAGGAGGATCGCAGTTCATCAATTTATCACGCAAATGCTCATGCGGTCGAGTACTCCCAAATCGTGATTCGCGACCGTGACTAGTCGCAACGACCAGCCGCTTTCGTGCCCTGCCCTACATGCGTGGGTGCCCTTAGATTAGTCCTTTGGAGCGAGCGGCGAGAGACTTTTGCGGAGATCCCCCGTTATCTATATATTCGTCTCGTCTTGCCCGTGGGAGTCAGGATGCAGGTGCCTGTCAAGGAAGAACAAGGTACGACGATCTGTTGAGTCACCCTCCTCGGCGTATTTGAGATCGCCTGTGATCTTCTTTGGGTTCTCCAAGGTTATACTGATTCAAGCGACCAGTGGATCTCGAAAGCCGTCAGCAACAATCTCAGTCGAAGCGAATCCGATCAAGTGTCGTCGATTTCTTGACTCAAAAGGAAGATGAAAGCTCACATGTTCTACACCCACCGGACATAGGAATCCGACCATGGCTCCAAGTGGTGGCCGGGTTCCTCCTCATGTTCAACACCTGGGGCATGATCTTTTCCTTTGGAACCTTCCAGACATACTATACCTCAGAGGGAGGCCTTCAAGACACATCGTCGACATCTGCAGTGGCATGGATTGGATCGATCCAGGCGTTCCTGCTCCTGTTCGGTGCGGCCTTCATGGGCAGATACTTTGATATGGGCTACTATCGGCAGTTGTTGGTGTCTGGGACCTGTCTCATCGTCTTTGGCGTGATGATGACATCTCTCGCGACTAAATATTACCAGGTCTTGCTCTCGCAAGGAATCTGCCTGGGTTTCGGCACGAGCTGCTTGCTGGTCCCCTCAGTTGGTCTTCCTAGTACGTGGTTTGAGCGTAAACGAGGACTTGCAGTTGGGATCGTCTCGTCTGGCGCTTCTGTTGCGGGTATCATCCTGCCTATTGTGGTCCGCCACCTGATCCGCGTGGTGGGGTTTGGATGGGCGACGCGAATCATGGGATTCATATGCCTTGCGACACTCTCCGTCAGCATGGCTCTAGCTAAACCACGGCTGCCGCCGCGAGGTCGTGGCACCTTTATCGAATACTCGGCCCTTACCCAGCCCGAATTTGCCATTTACCTAGCAGGGCTGTCGGTATCCATGCTCGGCCTTTATACTTTTTTCACCTTTGTCGAAGAATGGGCCGTCTCTATCGGCCTAGAGATCTCTGGTCTTCCCTTGGTGTATCTACTGCCTATACTTAATGCGGCCAGTATCATGGGACGTCTTATCCCCTCGTTTATCTCGGATTACCTTGGCCCATTGAACACTCAGGCGCCAGCACTCCTCATTTGCGGTATTTCGGCCCTGTCATGGTTGGCGGTCGATAGCCCTGGGCCTTTGATAGCCCTGATCGTGATCTATGGTTTTGCATCCGGTGCAGTCATATGCTTGCCTCCCGTGGCGATTGCGAGTATGACAGAAGACCTGCGCTCCTTTGGCGGACGGATGGGATGCATGTTCCTTGCAATAAGCGGGACTTCATTGGCAGGCCCTCCCATTAATGGCGCCATTATTCAACATGCAAAGACCACATATGACGGCGCCCGAATCTTCTCAGGCACAGTCATGATAGTCGCTGCTGCATTGTTGTGGACCTCTCGTCTAGTTAAGACAAAGGGCAAATGGATCGTCAAAGCCTGATTGATCCATTTTCCTCACCTTGTCGACATTAGGATTATAGAAAGCGTCATGTGTACAAGTAGGTACTTTATTGAGCCATTTATAGGCATCCTCATGCCTAGATACTGAGTTCGCAGCTTGTTCCAGTGACATAGACCGATGGGATCGACCTAGCAATGACCATCTAGACACTTAATACCATCCGTCATAAGACATCTAAGCATACGGTATCCCCATATCTCTAGACATCCAAACACGAACCATTACAAGAAAATAGGGCTATTCTTCGCGCAGCTAATATAAACTCAATTGTCTAGGGCAAGCTCGAGTAAACCAGTTTGACCCGAGGGAATTCACATTAAGCTAAAGGGCTGGAGCTCAGACAACCAACATCTGTGAACTCAGAAATGAGCTAGAATAGGCCCAGAACATTAGGTCTCAGTGTCTAAAGCTAAATAAACTGCTCACTTGGTCGACGGTTGTTCTGGTGGCTCTGGCGAAAAGAACAGTGTTGTAGGCGGGAATCTCTTACTAAGACTGCAGAATGATGCCGTTGCTGTAGCTTCCACCACCATCACTAGGCACACACCTTGCATGGAATGGTTGACACTATGCCGGCTGGCTATTTCCGTTTTCACAGACATGATACAATAGTCTCTGGTCAGAATTTTCTTTTGAAGAACTCTAACAGAACAGGTAAGAAGTTCCTGGCCAAGTCTTGCCCTGAATTGGGTAAGGATTCACCTGATTCCCCACTCTGAGGATGGTGTCGGGACTCTTGAATTCTGGTCACAGATATATCTCTGCAATCGTCACTCGTACCTAGGCCTAACGTAGACATGGTATTCGTAATGCATGAAACAGAAGTCAATGTGACAGAAAACAAGTCAGCAATATTGACATTACTGCAGTCAAGAGCTTTGAGGTTAACAACATCTTGTTAGAAAGCAGCACTGTGCTCGGAAACTGCACAGGGCCAGAGAAAGGACATCCCTACCTCTAAATCTTAAGATGAGAAGCATTGAGAATGTGGACATGGCTCCTAAGCCTTTTCGAACCTTTTTGGCGACTCAAATCTCAGTCATTAGCCGAAGACTTGCAAGGACTGGGCAAGCAAATCGACTGGTCCAGAGAAGTAAAATAATCTCCTGTCCCGTAGAAACATTGACCATTGGAGGACGGGTGACGGAGGAAGTGCGGCAGCCACAGTCATCATCTGGGAACGTCCAGGATTTAGTTAGCAACACATGATCATTCTGGATGTCCTCTAAATGTCATTCATGCAGGGCATCTTCAGCCATCCGCTCGTCGCAAGATGACTGATGAATGAGCGGATTGAGTATGATGATGCTTGCTGTAAGTGCATTCGGAACAGATACATCTCGTTGCTTCTTTGCGCCCTTGACACATCCCAAGAGAGCAGTGCAGACGAAGCAGGAGAGATCATGACACAAGTAGTAAGGGAGAAGGTGTTCTCGATCATAGGATTTCCGCTGTAGGTAGTTGCTTGGCTTTGTACTAGCACCCTGGTATTGGCTCCGGGATTTCTTACCAAGTTAAAACACATCCAACACGGTGGACATGGGCTAATCACTGATTCCAGGATGGACGGCTCTAAACACTGTTATTGTCAATCCCATATTTGTGGAGGAGGGTATAACCCCGATCCAGATGAGATGTGTTGTTTTCACGGGTTGATCTTCCTCCTGGCAATGTAGGAATTGGCCGGACGGACATTCGAAGCACCAACCGACACGCGTGATATTGTTACTGTTGGAACTTTGAGGGTTGGTCGAAAGCTTGGGCATCATCCTCGACAAAGAATTCTGTGTCCGACCTAGCAAACGAGGGTTGTTGCAAGGGCGTAGAGCTAGACAGCGGTGGCGTTACAGGCGTCGAAGGGCGTTGTTGCAGCGGGGAGTCGTACATGCTTGATGGTGGCGATAACCATATGTTGCACATCGATTCTGTACATTCCATGGTCCTAAGTTAATTGATTGGCCTCACCCATGCAAGTGTTCCTGTGGTAGATGTCGCGTTGGGCACCGTGGTTGGACTCGCGATGATGGTCATGGTACGGGGTCGTCGCAATGGACATCTCATGCTGGAGACGCGGCAGCTTTTGCGCCGCTTTGCGGTAGTGGTTGCTGGCAGAACTGAGTGGAGTCTAAGGTGGACACATATAGCGATGGGATTTGGCCAGCGTCGCGAACTGGATTCTTGGCAGTATTGAACAGCTTTGGGCTCTGGCACGCATTCCGTGAACTTGAACTTTCGAGGTATGAGTGATGCTTGGTCATTGATCGTTTAGAGCAGGAAAAAGGAATGATGGCCTGTCCACAACTCCACGCGTGGCTCCGAAGCTCGTTCTCCAACGCCAGCAAGGTCTTCAATATCGTCTAAAGAGTATGTGACTGAAACCCATAGTTGTTGGTCTATTGATACGCTCTTATGCAAGCATGACTGGGGCTGGTGGTTAATAATGGCATAGGCAAGGGATTGATTGGGATGTGCGGGTCAGGGAGCTGAACATACCTTCCCATTGCCATTCCTTCATGACAGTCAGCCAGTGCAAATCACCCTTGACCGTGTAATTGATGAAGCCGGCCCTTGTCAGAGGGTCAACTCCCTTTTTGAAAGCTGCAGAATCGGGAAAATCATTCGGAGGAGATGTAGCTCTTGGATCAATATTCGACGACTGGCCGTCATCATTTTGAGAGCGTGGGATATCATGGCGCCTCAACACTCCAACTTTAGCAGCGGCCGTAGTTTGTAGAATGCCAGGATGACGAGCCAGGTAATCGTCTCGCCTACGCCACACTTCCATTGTGACCTCTCGGCAGCGATCGACGATTCCAGTGTACATACGTGCCGACATGAGATCCCATCGTTCGCGCACCCAATCTCGATCATCCTCGTCAGTGATCTCACATCCAGCCTGTAGAAGGGGGAAAATGTGTGTGATGCTCGTTCGCGAGGTAAGCGGAACGGTGGCGAGAAAGATCAAGGCTTTCTGGGCCAATTCCAAGATGGAATGCGACCAGGGGAGTTCAGGCACTGCTTGGCGAAGCAGGAGCAGGGTTGCCCATCGATAGGCCTCGGCAGTTTGAATTGCGTCTGTAACATTGGCCTGATAGTCGACGGCACTTTCGGCTTCGATGGACGGAGTCCATAGGTCAATAGCCGTCCTCAATTCTGCAGCGGTGGAGATGATGGGAGGTGAATTTTGTTTTCCAGCTCTCATCAGCACGCGGCCAACGAGTTCTGCAAGGCGGCCCATCAATGGGAATAATGTGATTGCACAGCCCATAAGCGGGTCGAGCTGTTGATCTCCTGGAACGTGGCTGCTCAAGGCGCTGCAGGCATTGACAAAGGCTAGATTGTTGGCTGTGTTCTGCTCTGAACAGTTCAGGCGAGCGATAACGTCCATGTACATGCAGGTATTTGCCAGAAAGCTAAGACGACTCAGGTTGGCAGGGGTGGTTCGGCGATGACGATGTTGAGAAGCTGCTTCTTGAATGAGGGATTTGGCATCGTTGATATGATCGATCCCGTTTGCAGTCTTCTGAGGGTCCCAAGCTTGGGCAAAAGCCAGTGCTAGTCGGGTGGCGATCATGGCTTCGAGACCAGCAACATCGTCTTTGAAACCATGTGCGAGGTTCTGCATGCTGGATCGAAAATGGTGCAAACCAGAGCCGCGAAATTGGGGTTGGGTCTTGCATAACTGGAAGCACGTCATGGCGGCGAGTGCATGATAGAGGGCCGGGTAGCCTGCTGCCATTGGCCAGATCAAGGTTACCCATGGGCTCTTAGTGTGGTCGTCTTTGATGGAGAGAATGGTGCAGGTTTGATGTTCGAAGAGATACCTCATGGTGTCGAACTCCTCGTTTTGACTGAGGGAGACATCAACCATAGTGCGGACACCTTGCTGGTCAGAAGGAGTGGCTGGTGCCGGGGATCGAGCTAGGGCATCAATGACAGCTTCAATGCTGGGGCTCAGAGCAGCTCCAGACCATTGTGATCCAGGCCTTTGCTGGGAAGCCTCTGGAGGTCTGAAGAAGGGTTCAGAGGAGGCATCGATGGACCAGCGTTGGCGAAAGGTTTCATTGACGGCATTGAATCGGGATTGCTCGAGAGAATAGGCAAGATCGGCTGTCGACCGACCCTCCGGATAGGGGATCACATCGGACAGAATGTGACCTAGCTGAGCGAGTTGGAGATTATTTTCGGACGAAAGATCGTCAAGATCGGGCAGGTCTTGCTGTTGGAGATCGAATATAGTGCTGGTAAAGCTACCAAAGATGGAGCCAGGACTGAGATCAGTACTGCCAGACTCAATGCTGTCCGGGGGTAAGTGGGAGGGATTCATTGCACGAAAGGGTGGTATCATCAAGGGAGGATGATGGAGTGGCGGGGGCATGCTATCATGATGAGGCTCCTGGATCTCGGGGGATTCGGTAATGAGAGGCAGCTTATTTAAATCATTGTCACTGGTATGAAACTGGGACCGGGGGATGTGAGAATCTGAGGTCTGGCCAGGTTGAGAATCACTGGTCATGGGCGTGTCGGTGGGCTGAGATCCTACTGAGTTTGGGTGTGAGTTAGGGTGGTAAGACGAAAGGTCAATACTGATGGCCTTTACCTGGGGTTTCTGTTGGGCCATTTTTACCCTGGCCCATGGGCTTCCATCTGAAGAGTTTGGGGTAGCCCCCACAGGTGACTTTTCGACGAGCACATTGCTGGCAGAATGGCTTGGTCTCGTCGCATTTCATGCGTCTGCTTTTGCAGGTGATACAGCCTGAAGAAGACCTGGTCAGCGAATTTGGAGGAGAAGAGGGTGGGTTTAAAGAGGTATGATGGAGGTTCAGGGTGGCGTGGGTGGCTATACCGTTCCGGCTCTTGGACTGTTTACGGGCTGAGACATCCTCGTCGTGCTTAGGAGGGTTTCTGGGGGCGAGAAGCGGAAGAGAGGGCTCTCGCGACGGATCTGGCTGGGGAGGAGGTGGCATAGAAGAGGTAGGCTGGGTGTCGTTGTCGAGGGGAGAATTTGAGAAACCCAGAGGACCCAAGGGCGCCATGCGAGTAGCATGGTGAGAACGATACGCTCAATGTGAGAGGTCGAGGGAGGAAGCCATGAACGTCGACGATAACCAGAGGGTGGGAGAGGGCGAGGGAGAATTCGGTGCTAAGCGACGCAGAGATGCAGCCAGATAGTGCGGCGATAGCGCAGGTGCGTTGGGCCAGTGTGAGCCTTCCTCGTGGGAGAGTTTGTTCCTGACTTCTAAACATGGACGGGTAAGGAAGGAGGCAGGGTGGGTGGTATCTCCTGTGCAAGTACCGCCGACGTGTGCAGGTGGCAGTCAGTCGTGACAGTCCATATCTCTTTCCACAACAACTAAACTTTTAGGGCACTCGTTCCTTAGGAATTTGTCCTTAGGATTGCCTAACTGGGGTAGCAAGACCACCCTTTAGAGCCCAAGAGCCACCGTGCATAGGCGGGGAGTCTCCGAATCTGTTAGTCACCCTGACCAAGGCCGCGTAGATCTTTGGAGGGGCACGAGGGTTCTAAGGGCTCTAAGGGTTCTTGGTCGATCATCCCTCACCGAGAGCGAGTCGTCAGTATGACCCTCAAACTCCACAGGACATGTCCGACCTGTCAGAGCTCGTCCATTTCTTGGTTGGGCGATAAGCAATCGCTGGTTATCACCCAGTCATCATTGGGATTATGAGGGCGTCCGGCTAGCAGGTGCGTCCGTAGCGTCCTCGGAACGGCCAACCTGTAAGGGCCTACTGGTGACTTGTAGTCTGGAGGCGTCAGCGTCATTGTCATCGTCATCGGCACCTGTGCCTTCCGGGCAATGTATCCGACTTATACGAGTCAACTGACACGGCTCTCCATCCGAGTGTGGACGCTGTCAGCCCTAAGTGAGTCTGAATTCAAATTGACGCTGAACTACGGGATCTGGAACCGAGCAGATAACAACCACCCTAACCACCTTGCCCTCACTTATTGGACAACCCTGGAATTTGGAGGGCGAGAAGGTTTCCTACGACGCCTGCCAGTACGAGGCAGGTCCTATTATTGTAACATCTTTTCAACATTGCAGTCGCTCCTTCGCTGACACCTGGGCACCTGAACACTTGACTCATGTGACCATATTGCTCCTTCCATCTTTCTAATCTTCCAAATTCTTCCTGTCTCGCAATTCCACGTGATGCTTCTGCCAAGACCCCACAATACTCAAGAGTCAACCACACCAACACCCACAACTCGTACTCCAGCAATTGACGGCATGCTCTTTAGTTCCCTTTCTCTACCTCTATACGCGATGATTTGCACAGCTGGATGATTGTATGACTGCCAGGCGTGTCTACATGCTCAACGGTTTGTTTCACGCCTCACTTCACCTGCATCAATTCAACTGCCCACCCGTCATCACACATACTCCGTGCTCTCGTGCTGGACCAGGTCAGCCTCAAGTTCCACTAAAAACTGGACGGACTTTCTTTAGCATTCGAGACACTGCAATTGTCTCTGCATCAACAGCCCGCCCAGATCCTTGTAGGCTGTTGGTTTTACGCCTCACTCCGCGTTTACTGACCTCTCAATTGCGGTGTGGCGTGTCACTGTTCATCAATAGGCTCCTTCGCTTGACTGGAGCGCCACGAGCGCCAAAGATGCATCTAACATGGCCAAGACATCAGAAGCTTCAACAATACGAAGTACTCGGTGCGTGGCAGGACCCCTGGGCCCTGTCAGCCCACCTCTATCCCTAAAAAGCTTCGGAATTTAGTCAGCAGAGACTCTATCCATCCACATCGACTTATTTCCTCTTCTGTCTGAGGGTCAACGAGAGGAATTATGGGCGAGACATTGGTGGCTTCTCCCGTCGCAGTTTTCACGTGACACGACTCTCGACAGATGCCGTTGTACCGTCCTTAGCGTTTAGAACTTCGTCCCATTTCGCTCTGATGTCGCCGTTTCTCTGTGGCAAGGCCTCGAGTGATTTGCTTTTGACAAATCATCACGAACGCAGAACACAAAATCTGCATTTTATCTATTATGTTAATATTATCCCATATTGCTGTTGAATCTTGCATTCCCTGATCCCCTTGACGGCCCTACCGTCTCCTCACAAACTCCTCAACATGGCTTCGATTCTGTTTGTGGCCGATCTCGAGGGCGATAGGCTGATGAAACAACATATTCTCAGTCATTCTGCTCGCGTCAGCCACCAACGTCGGATGGCTGCTAAGGGCGCCTTGTTAGAGAACGACACAGCTCTAGTCCCAGCTAGAGGTATCAGATCCAAATATGGCCCTCACAAGTTTGTGTCAAACAGTCCATCACTTGCAAAGCGCTCAGGTCGAAAGGTGCAGAACATCGGTGTCATTCGGTCCATGTTGGAGGCGAGACGCATGGCAAAACTCCTCCTCGTAGAACCCACTCCCCCTCTCTGTTTCCCACCCAATGCAGCTGACGAGGCATACGCCGGTCATGAATACTTCGACTTTTGTAAAAACAACCCCTCCCTCCGGCCCTGGGATGTTGACTAACTATTATCGATTTAGATCTGAACAATGTCGTTCCAATTGGTGCATATGCCTACGAACCATTCAACATCTCCAGTGTCTTTGGCACCGATTTCATCCAGGTGCTCGCCGATCGGCAGGTCTTTCACCCAATCACCACTCTCATTCAAGGACTCATGGACCAAGCCTCGAGCCGTACAGCGTCCGAGTCATCGAAATTACTCGAGAGTAAGGGCAAAGCATTGTCTCTCATCCGAAAAAGTCTTGCCCGAGAAGACAATGCAGTTGACAATCTCGCAATCATGGCAGTAGCTTTCCTTGCTGCTGTGGAGGTATGTGTGTCTTGTCGCTTTCAACATTTGCCCGTTTTGACGTGGATGACAGAGTTTCTTTGGGGATACAGCTCCACACGCTGTTCATCGTCGAGTTCTTGGCTACATGGTCACTGCTGCTGGAGGACTCGACTCTCTGGATTACAATACAAGACACACTGTTTGCGAGTCAGTAGTCCCCCTGGTCTTGCCCTGTCTACAACTTATCTTGTGTTAACATTCCCAGATTCGAGATGGCCTGGGCGCTACAGACAGGTTACTCTGTGATTGACTATGAGCCCCCCACTGGCACACATGAAGAAACTCTACGCCATATTCCATATCAGGCACCCTTGCAGCCTACCACGGAAGATATTCCAGCAGGATTCCTTGACCTTGTTGAAGCCGGGAGAATGAGCTCGGAGAATCTAGAGACTGTCGAGAAGATAAGCCGTATTCATCGACTGACCGCAAATGCGAAGCAACTGAAATCGGCTAAGATTGACCTGAGCTCCAAGAACAGAAAGTATAGTCATTATTGGGAGGCTTTCCCACAACTCCGACCGAACTACCCATCTACACTGACTCTAGACGAAGTCCTTCAACTTGCTTTACTTCAATACTGTTGTTTCACCATCACGCCGTCCAGACCATGTCGATCACTGTACGAGTCAAGTAAAATCAAAATTAGCACACACCTGTGCTCCATAGATGATGTCAATGTCTTCTCACTAGCCGAGTATCGGTGTATCATCTGGGTATGCATGATCGCCATCTATGCCTGGCATGGACCATCCAACTCCATAAAGAAACCCGGACAGCTTCTTCTTGATCATATCAAGACACACTACCCATTTAAAGCACTCCAGTGGAATGCCCTGGAAGACGTTGTCAAACAATTTTATTGGACAGAAGCCCTGATCGCTTTTTGCAAGTACCAGTGGGAACTAGGACAAGACTGGGAATGTGTTTAGGTGAACATATCAAAATAGGAGAGCTGTGCAGCCACGTTTTGACTATAATAGATTTACCGGCAGACGTCGGTGTATCCAATGACTCGCCAAACGGCTTCAGTCTTCCAAAGTCTTCTTCCTTAATTCTTTGCCGCCACCTGCGCAACCAGTTGCATCTTCCATCCCATTTATCTCGTCATTTGTACGTGTATCGAAAGCTGGGATGCTCGTCTCCTAGATTGTCCCACTCGCGCTCCGGGATCTTCTGAAGTAGCTCGAGGCCGAATTCATCTCGAAGACGGTTTTGTCGCCTCAACCAGACGGCCAACGCTGCGGCCAGGGCGGCTTCCAAAACCACAAATGCCATGGCGACTGAGTAACCTGTCACGAAGCGCGGTGCTTCTCTCGACAGGAATATGTTGCTGGCGACAATAGATCCGACACTCCCCCAGCCCGTTTGGAAGGCGATACCGATTCCTTGTTTATAGTGCCCAGCAAGATTCATCAAGAGCCAAGTGACGATGATGGGTTGTACTGTAAACATGCCAGCGCCCGTGACGAATATCGCCAAATACTTGGTGGCGCTGGACAAATTCGCTTGACAGAGGAGCATGATATACCCTACCACCGCTATGGGACATCCAATAAAGACAAAAAGACTTCGTCGTTTGAAACGCTCACACAGTACCGCAACGACCACGGTTACCAGCGCGGATGCCGTGTAGACGGGGATAGTCATCAACTGGGACTTGGATCTCGAGTAGCCAAATTCTCGAAGAATTGTTGGCATGAAAAAGCTCAAGGCTGCCGTGGATGTCGAGATACAACAGAAAAGTAATGCTCTAGACTTGACATCAGCTGAGCCTTTGAATGCATCATGACGAGAACTGACCCAATGTACACTTTGCAGTCTTTTGCTATGCGCTTGAGCGCCGGTACATCTAGACGATTCATCCGCGCTTCAGTTCCTCGGAAGTCCTCCATTTTTCGATTGAGCGCAATTTTCTCATCATCGGTGAGTCGAGCGTTGTCAGATGGCCAGTCCCAGAGCACGAACCACGAGAGAATACCGACGACAATCGTTGCCAACCCTTCGACGAGGAAGATCCTATATCATAAAATCAACATCCGTTGAACAGGCACAAAGACCACGAGCGTCGTACCAGCGCCAGCCGGACAGCCCAGCGTACCCATCAAGCTTTACCAACGCATATGCCAGAAACTTCGTCGGTGAGTAGTTGAAACGAGGGACAAGATTCGGATGCAGGTGGCACTTACTCCGCCGAATGCACCCGCAACGAATCCATGTGACCAAATGAAGGCGAAGCGAGGTTGGATTTCCCACACAGAGTAATACATGGATATTAGATAAAGTACTCCTGCCAGCTGGTCAGTGCATGCATGCTGGCCTCCGAGGTTGGCTGACCAGGAGACACCGCAGATTCAAATAGACCTAGAAAGAGTCGACAGGCAACTAGAGAAGCAAAGCCATTGACAAACGCCTGGCACATGCAAGCCGTTCCTAAAGATGTTGTCAGTCCATGGCAGTCGGCGACATTGATCGTCCAGCCACAGCGCCCGCCTACCGAACAAAATGGTGATGGCACTCAAGTACGTCGACGGACGGATCTTGGCCATGATGATGTTACTGGGGACTTCGAAGAGGATATATGGAATCCAGTACAAGGAAAGGACAATGTTGAACTGGTTAGACCTCGGATCCATGCCCAGCTCGACCTCCAGCCCCTGGATGCGTGCATTGCCGATGCTGACCTTATCGAGGAAATTGAAAAGCAGGATCATGTAGAGTACTGGGAGAAGCTGATAATCGAGCTTGCGTATAAGGCTTTTTCGTGCAGCATCTTGTGACTGGGGGCTCTGTTCCTCCAAACCCTCACAGGCAGAAATGCCAACGTGCGTTTCGATTGTTGGTCCCATCACGATCGATGATGCTGCTTGTGAGATCTAGAACCGGTCGGACGTTCGAGCAGAGATAGCAAAATTGATATCGCGTAGGGTTCATCGATCATCTCCTCCACATGGCATAACGACCTAAGCAAGACCTGGCCGGGGCAAGTCCTTGGGCAGTTCAGCAATTGCTCGATATCCACAGCATCCTTAGCGATTCCCAGATTCCCAGATTCCCAGAGTCGATCGACCTGCAGAAATACCTGTGTCGTATATTGCTGCTCGTTATTGCCATCCCATTGCGCTTGCTCAATCATCAAGTTTAGCATCTTCAACGGAATTCCATGGCGTCCATACATCCGACCCATATCTCACGAATGACTAAGAGATTTGTCTGCAACACCCCTGCGCTGTACGGTGTCGGACCTGGTTGAAGTCTGGCCGAGCATTAGCCATTTTAAGTCGACGGGAGGGACCGCGCACCTTTTTGCGCAAGCCTAAATGGGTCTTTGGACCTCTGGGCATTCAAACACCAGCCACAATGCAGAACACATACGAACAGGCCTTTGTCATCCAGGACCAAAAAATCCACCTTCACTTGATTAGGTAAGGTTTGTCGATAGTGCGAGCAACAAAGAAGCAACCACTTGCGAAACCCCACCTCTAGGCTGCTTTGTCACGCCCCAGTGAGTTTTCTAGTGGGACGCACGGCTGGAGTACGGGCTAGCACTGGACTCAACTGGGGAAAACTTGGTCGGCCAGATCCTGACATCTTCCGTGATGACACACTGCTCAGAATTTGGTTCGCCCATCCCAAACGCTTCGTTCCATAGACGGGTTGCTGACGGATCCAGGAATGTCTCACTCCATGGCAAGAGCCTGATGCCTGCTTTATAAGTGTCCCAACGACAGCTATCCAGTTGATAATTGGCTCGTAGGTAGTCGACGAACCAATCTCGGTGCTGGTTCGATTCTGAAGCGATGCCGCCAAGGACAAAGGCCCACGCGAGTATGCCAGATGAAAGAAATCGGCGTGGATTGGTGGTGATCAATTCTGACAGGGACTCCTTGATCTCAGCTGCCAGACGTTCCCGCGCACTTCGCACTGATGGTATTGGGAAGAAAAGCGTGTCCGAGTATACTAGCAAGGCAAGTCGGATGGCATTCTCCGCCGCATGTCCGGGTTTGTCCTTTGACGGAGGACGAACGGAGCAGAGCCGATGCTGCAAAACTCCTGCAAGTAGACTTAGCTGGGACAATTGAATCGCATCTTTCTTTTGTTCCACAAAGGCATGGAGGGCTTCCGTCAGCTGCTGCACCGACCCCAAAAGCGCGGTGTAAGTACTCGAGTTCGACGGCAGACCGATCTCCTCGCCATCGAGCGAGTACGAGGGCTCAGTGATCGTATGTCCTATTCCGGGCATAAGACTCTCAGCACGGGACACACTATCGCGAAGAAGCGGGAATGGTGGCGGCTCTCCAGTGCATGAGCTGACGACGATTGAACACAGCTGGAGCCGTCTAGCAAGCGCTTTATCCTGCAGCATCTCCAACCCTCCTCTAGAACATGGTCAGCGAGATCTTGTCAACTCACTTGCGGGCACCTGCAAAGAACCAAGCAAGATCGATACCTTTGTTTGACAAACGAAATCCATGCATAGTACTGCCTATTTAGCCCAGGAGCTCTTACATAGGCATGGAAGTTGAAAGCCAGGCTCAGGGGTGTTGCTTGCTCATATCGATCAACCTCCCAGCTCCCTGGGCCAACCTCTTGAATCCCAAGCATGAAAATAGCATTGATAAGTGCGTCAGAGGCAGCTCGTTTTCCCGTCGCTTGAATCTGTTTGTTGATGAGCTGGATGGCAAAGTTCTGGTGCTCCATTTGTACGATGCCCAGCTGCCGCACGCTGGACGGGTCTTTGAACAATGGCAAAGCCAATGTAGCGATATTCGATACCTGGCAGTGATAATCCAGAAGATTCTGGGAGGCAGCTCTTCTCCTCGCCAACATGGAGGCTACCAACGCAGCTCCACGAAGCCCGGGTTCGTTTTTTGGGAGAAGCACATCAAACGCTGTAGCGACCAAGTATCAGCTGCAACTCTTTTCCCTAGATCTTGACAGAGCACGTTGCACATACCATACTCCCAAACATCGTGCATGAAGAGCGGCAGACGACGAGTAGGATTCGTTTCGAAAGGGTCGCGCTTGGATTGCCCTAGATACGATGTGGGAGAGGGGACATCATTGATGACGCGCTCTAGCCTTGACTTCTCTCTAATGAGAAACTGCTCTTCGAGCTGCTGTGTTTTCGAGCGATATGCCGCAACCGACCTTGGATTGATCAGATCATCATCGTAGAGGTGCCCATTCTGAGGTGCAGCGCGTTTTCTGATCACCAGTGGTAAGGTCTTACTGGTTTTCTTGACACGAGTAGTGTGAGCAGCGTGAGATCTGATGCGAGACAAGAGGAGTTCTTTATCTCTTGTGGTCCTTTGAGTCGAGGGGTCTTGAACAAACATAAACTCCGCCATCATCTGCCAGGTGTGACAAGGCGCATGAGATAGATGTGTTTCCGAAACATCTCGTGTGGATTCTTTGTTCGAGTTATAGATCTTCTCAAACTGACCAAGGTCAAAGGCTTGGGTACAGAATAAAACCCGCCGGAGATCGAACGAAAAGCGTGCAGATCATAGAATTTGGACCGTTTGTTGGTGACTTGAGGAAATAGTAGACAGCCGCTTCATGACTTCGCTTAAGGGCAGTACATTCTTGCAAGCTTAGTTATACGATAATGCGCCTTCCAGAAAAGGTCAGGCTCCATTTCGCCTGTCCATCTTGGGCAAACAATGATCAGTGCCAAAATGCTCTTGGGCCCGGTAGCGACATGCACGGTTGGAGGGCCGAGGGGCGGAGAAGCGAGCGAATTGAACCCCAGGGCAAGATGCCGAAACCCCAGTAGGACACTAAGCCTTCTAGCATACATCCATCACGCGTCCACAGCCCCTCGGCCTTAAACCAAGCATTGCCCCAGCCTAAAGTGTGCGTGCTTGGAGTTGGCCTATCATCTTCCGGATAAGATGCAGGGCAGGGCTCTGCCGTACTCCCTGCTGAGGCGATATTACCCTTTGTTTTCATGCAGGCAGTCATTCATAGGAGCTCTGAGCTGGTGGTGGTATACTAGACGAATGGCATAGGATTGGCCAACAGAAATGAGTAATGAGACCTCAATGCCAAATTTTCATTTCTTTTCACCCCTTGGACTAGAACTGCTAAATGAGCGACTATTTTGAGTAATCATGCAACAAGTAGAACTAGAAAGACTGCGAGCAGATCTCCTATGCGTTTCTTCTCTTCAGCTGGCGCGTTCTTCACAACTGCTCCGCTGGAAGTAGTTGTGGCAGCCGGCTCTCCTGCAGGGTGTGCAACCATAGCGCAGCCCACATTTGTTTGGTCAAACGTCACTATGTCGGAGTAGGAGGTCTGAAGAGGACAAGTCAGTAAATAAAGCAGCACACTTATGAACAGCCAATAAGTGCATACCGCTGATGCCATGGCTGGAAGGTATTGGAGCCCTACAATTCGAGCGTCACGCTGCCAAGGCAGACTTGGATGGACTGTCGAAAGGATCATTAGCCTCTATCTTGTATCGAGATGGGGGAGAACTTACATTTTGTGCGTTGCAGCAGACAGTGGTTGCGCCACACTGGCTGCCCGAGCCTATTGCCATCAGTACGACGCATTGAGCATCAAAGTGTGCAACGCTCACCTAGGACTTTACAAGTTGTATACTTTCCCTTGTTGTCAGTGTTGCAACAGTAGGGAGCAGCTCCATTGCCACACTGGTTTGACTGGACGTTGATTGACGGCGGTGCTGGCTTCTCAGGCTTGGTTGGCTTGCCAGGCTCTGGCTCTGCAACCGGAACAGCAAGTGCTCCAGAGGCAAGAAGAGTGGCGAGAGCAAAGAGCTTGACCAATTGCATCTTGAACTGTGATATCTGTGAACGATGGTTGTCGATCCAAAGAGAGCTGCTTTAGTCTTTCTGTTTGTCTTGAGCGAGTGCGATGAACAGGTCTCTGTAAATTGTCGAGAGCGAGCATACCTCGTTCTTTATAGGTTTTTGCTATGCCGAGTCATGTAATTGTTTCGTAGAGACCCCTCTCGTTGAATTTTGCCTTCATGCTGTGGCTGTCTGAAACCTCAGCGCGATCAAAACCTGCAGAAGGAATCGATAGCGGAGGCCGGCCAGAACATGTCCCATGTAGTCTCATGCATTTCGTATCCTTGACCAGAGTTTGGTCCTTCCAACCAGGTCATGATCATTGAGTCAAGCCGCTTCGCTCCTGTTCGTGGTCGCTATTTTGCTCAGCTCCACCAAGTTCCTTAGGCTTGTTCCTCGTATCGTAGTGATTATCATTCCTGTAATATCCACTTCGGTCGGTTAATAGAGTTAGATGTCTCTTTCTACTTCTACTTCAGGTGGCAGAGAAAGTGTAATCATTCTTGGTTGAGACAATGGACGGCAGGACTCGATGATGTTACGCTGAAAAATACCAAAGATCAGCGTTGAATACTTCACCTTCTGTGATACCTTGTACTGTAGACTGATTATGGACATGTTGCTCCGGACATATCTTGCTTGTCAATACAGCCAGTTACCAACTGGCGACAAACCGTCTTGGTTCGATCCAATATTAAATGGGGAGCCTAGAAGAGCGTAAATTTAGCTCAATGATCCCATGCACCTCAATCCAATTCCGCCGCTTGTGCCTGAACGAAACCTGGGGCACAGAGAACTCAGCTGATCGTGACAACACAATATTGTCGATCTCACGACCCTGTCGACGGCGACTCACCAGAAAGGTCAAGATAGACACTGAGGCGAACGGTTGGAGATGCTGTTCCCATTCGAACATTGATTGGTCAAGTGGCACAAGAACTGTAAATCATAAATCAAGCCTGTAGTCGCTTTAGCATAGGCCGCAACTCTAAACTGACGGTGATCAGGTTCTGGGACGCAAGCCGCAACTGCCGGTTTACGTAGCAGAATGAGAAAACCACTTGGCAGTCCGGCACTCCAACACTATGACAGGTGATAAAAGAGCCTTTGTTTCCCTAGGGGCGGCCCAAATGCCCGAAAAGCTTCAGGCGTGTGACGTTTTGGTCGAGGGTTTGGCCCGTTACAGAAGGACATGGAGGCTAGTTGGGTAGAACCTCGTAACCTAGTTGCCACAAAATGGACAAGTTGGTGCCGGTTCTTTCATCCAGTTCCCAAGGGGATTATAATAGAATTCGCTTCAAAGCGAATTCCCAGGACAGACATGAACGTTACTTAAGTGTGTGTGTGTACAAGCAGTATATAGCTTACAGACGCACCTGCCTCTGGGACATCTGTGGCCCTTCTCGATCTGACTTGCGGTAAGGTAATAAGTCGTCTTCATCAACGGTCGCAACCTTGGCACGCTACAAGAACAATACATGGAAGAAAAACAAAGGGGAACCACGATTTTCAGCAACAATGCCGTTTGGGGACTTTGTGATGCTGAAAGGTGAGAAGTCGATCGGATGTGGAGCTCAGAAGAGGCCTTTCTGGGCTAGGAACCGGGCGGGGAACGGCAGACGGGTCAAAAGGCGGGACATAAAGTGTAGCTCTTTGAGCGCTTTCGATCAAGTACAGTACCCAGTACCTGGTCTGACACACTAAGTAGGAATCAAGAACCCTCCCTCGCCGTCGTGTAAGGATGAAGACCCCCGGATTCGTTCGTGTTGAAGCCTTGGCAGGCCTGATGTGACATCTTTGTACCCTGTTTGAATCAAGGATCCCCTCATCTATACTTGCCCTTTCCAGTAGGTCTCACTCACACTGCCCAGCCCTACGAAGATACAGGCCATGATTGTCTACGAACCTTTCTGGGATTGTATTGAGTTCATGAGCCTCACCTGTGTTGACGGTCTCTGTATTGAATTTCGCTGCAACGAGACTCCTTCGGCACCACTTGTGGTTGAGATTTTCTCCCCATCCATCTCCAGAGCCTGTTGCTAAATCTGGCCTGCCGTTCAGACGCGGCAGCCGTCTTGGGCAGGCCGCACATGGCTATTGTTGTCATACGCTCGCTCCTTTTGATGTGCTGGGGGGCGATTGTTGTGATGGGCTACTGTCTTCGAGACTTCCTGTCAGCCATCCTCAGTACTACAGCAAGGGTCAAGCGGGTCTCAGATTGGCCACGATGACAATCGCTACAAAGGACTTCTTTTGGAGTGCCCCCCGCTACTGTACCATCTGTGTACCGTGTGCCGCTTGAACCTTTGAACGATCGGCGGCAGCAAGACAGGCAAGGTGACATGCCCGGGGACTACACGATGGGACATCGACCGCATCCTATTGTGCTGACTGCAAACGCCTCAAATCTTCTATCCTCGTCTAAGGTCCAAGGTCTGAAGATCTCGCCTGCCTCAGTCATTGTTGGCAGTTCAGCTCAGAGCATGATCAGCTTCTGTCCACCTCCAGCTCATTGGAGCGCAAGAGTCGTATAACTTCCTTAGAAAGTTTCAATGATCGGATCTAACTAGAGCGTCATGCATGTTCCTGACAGGCAAGCAAATATCTCGTCGCCAAACTTTGCGATATGGTACTCACTTTTGCCACAGGAGACTGACCCAGAACTTGCCCATGGCTTGGCCAAGAAGAAACGCAACAACAGGTCCTAGTAGTCCCCACAGGGATCAGAGCGGTATGGGTCTTTGGGGGCTTGCCGCCTTCGTCTTTGGGCGTCTTCGCCCAAACCAATGCTGGAAACACTTGCAAGTTCAAATGCAGTTTCCGAAGGCTTTGGACCGGCCCAGATGTCGGCTGCAGGCTGGCAATTGCTTTTCTGGAGATGAGATCTCGCAAGAATCCGCTTCTAGACCGGGACTTCTGTTCAGCCGCATCAGTTCACCGTCCCAGGTCCTATGGATGAAAGTCTCTTAGCGAAAGGACGATTTTGTGTCACCAGAAGGGCTGAAGAAACTACGTCGTCTCTACCCGTGGCCTAGGGAAGTCAGTCATTGAAGCTGATGAGGACCGCAAGGACTTTAAGCTGGTTATAATTTCATAGTGTCTCCCTCTTTCTTTCACAAGGTGACGGACATTGGCATGAGAGTACAGCTCACTATTGACTGTGGGAGATCCAGGGCTATCCGCCAGAAGACTTCCCCTCTGCGGAAGCAAGGCTGTAGGGAAGTGTTGTCTAACTACCTAGCTATCTAAGAGAGAGCAAAGAGAAACGACCTCAGCCTGTAGAGTGGACGGGCCAGCCCAGCCGGCACCTGCCTTGCTTGTTGCGGATGTAGTTGTGTTGGCAGGAACGGCCTAACAAAGGCCAGACTCTTTGGTTGTATCGGGAGAAATAAGTGGACCGTAGTTTCAGGTGAGATCAATCTAGGTGGAAGAGATACTTGGGTTGGGGGAGAAGGGGGGAAGAGGGCTGCTCCTTCTTACTATGGGGGCCCGGCCATTATATCATGGTGACCAGAGCATGAGCAGATGCCGGATGCTAGGAGATGTGGGTACCCTTCAAAGGGCGGGAAAGGGAATAAGAAAGCGTCCACAGAACAAGGTAGCTTTGCCCTTCCTCATGAAAAACCTTGAGCCAGTGAGAGGTTCTCCAGTCTATTCTTCCCTCGAGTGTACATAGTACCAGGTGTCAAAGATTGGGTCTAACGAGGAAATAGAACATCCAGCCCTTTATGAGGTATACAAGATACAACTATGCTTTGCCAATAGGCCTACCAATAGTGCACAGCCATTATACTACATTAGACTTTAGAAAACATGGCACTGTCTAGCGAAACGTTGTTCGTTCTTTGGCTGATGACTCTCATAGAGATTGCAATTACGATCCGTGGAGGTTCAAGATCCATTAGACATCAATATTTGATACAACATCTTGCTCAGCAGTTGGATAAAACCATAGCATCGAGAATATATATCATCTTTGTTATGTTACCAAGACAATGATGATAAGTGTGTCCTTCATCTCTTATTTGCTCCCCACTCTTAGCTTGCAAGACGCCCATCGACAATCTTTAAACTTAAACCTTCTCCTGAGATGGTACATTTTCTGCCAGGGAAGCTCGCTTTTCGGCATCGATACTAAATTGTCTGTGTCTTTGCTCTTCATCGGCAGCACTGCCACGAAGTACGCGACGGTGATTGGGGTTCAGACCCATGAGCAGGCGAGGTTCGTCGAAGAACTGGACGATTCAATCAGCGAAAGCTTTGTAGTAAAGATTTGAGTTATAACTTACCATTTGATCGACCTGTTCGAGACTGCGACCAGAAGTTTCGACTCCAAAAAAGTATGAAAGGGGAACGAAGGATGCGCAGACAATAGCCCAGATCCAGAAGAAGTTGCCGCCGATATTGTCGATGCCCACAGGGGTGACCATGACGACAACAAAGTTACTCATCCAGTGAGAAAAGACGCCAACAGCGGTAGACTTGTTGCGAACTCGTAGGGGTTGGATTTCGGCCGAGTAAGACCACGAGACTGGCAAGATACCGAGGGTGAAGCAATCGAGGTAAAGGAACATGAATGCGACTGCTGCTGCGGCTGCCGAATAGCTTGTTCGAAGGAGGCACCCGGCAATGATGGCCATACAGACTGCGCAACCTGCGGAAGACAGCATGATAGTCCAGCGACGTCCAATTCGATCAATGTAGAAGTATGGTGGCCACGAGAAGATGGCATATTGGGTGAAAGCGACCGAGGCCAGAATCAGCGACATGGACTGTGAGTACTCGAGGTACACACGCAGGATATAGGCAAGATAGTATGAGAGGACGTTGATTCCACTCCATTGATTCATCATGTAAGGACCCATACCCAGACACACGCGTTGAAGATTTCGTGACTTGGTGGAGTTACTAAATACTTCGCCCCAGGTAGGTTCATCGTCGACGCCCTCGGCGGCAATGTTGTCGAGAATCTCAGAAAGTTGTCCTTCAACTTCTGGGTCGTTGTCTGGCTTGTTCAGAAGGCGAGCAATGACGCGTCGGGCATCGTCTTTGCGTCCATGCTGGGCCAGCCATCTCGGTGTCTCGGGAACCCAAAGACAACAAACCAGGACCATCGCGGAAAAGAGAACTTGGCACGCAATGGGGAATCGCCATTGCATCGAGCTGTCTGCGTAGAGGGTTGCAAAGCAGAGCCAGGAGGCGATAGCAACGCCGATAATGATGAGAGCAGATTGAACCACCAAAAGAGCGCCTCGGTTGTGTGCCGGTAGAGTTTCTGATTGCAGGATGGGGACAGCCACGGTGCTGAGACCAACTCCAATACCAGCGATGATCCGCGCCACAAACATCTGCCAGTAATCGTAACACGCTGTCTGGATGACGGCACCGACAATCACGATTATGTTGGCATAGATGATGGACTTCTTGCGACCGATCTTTTCGCCAAAGACAAACGCCGCCACGGCTCCGAGGGCACACCCGATATCGTATATGGCGGTGACCAGACCACTCATAGTAGGGTTGGGATTGCCCAGCATCTCCTGAAACCGCTCGCCGACGAGAACTCCTCCGAATAGACCTTGATCATAGCCAAACAACAGGAAGTCAATGCCAGACGTCAAAAGAATCATAATCAGCAGGGGCTTTCCCCTTGTTTCGAAGGAAACCATCTTGAAGATTTGCCCAGTCGATGGGCAGATGGTGGAGATTTGGTGGAGTTGAGTTTGGGACTTTGGAAGGAAATGAGCAACAACAGATGTATATATATATACGAAATTTTATGGTTGTGGGACTGGCGGAGAAAGGGGGAAACTCCTCACGTGTTACATCGGATACTCCGCAAATGCATATTTCCCGGGGAACGTCGTTGGTAGAGATGGAGAGGTTGCAATATGAGGCTCGCAGAGCAGAAGATGAGGATCTCCCGGTGTGTATACCCAATACAGTAACCCGGCTCACTGAAGGAAATTTCTCGCGGGGCTGGCAAAGTCTTGATTCTAAAAGTGGATCTGGGCTTCGTGGAGTCGTCGGTATGCGAAGCCTTAGGAGTAGTCAAGTAATCCGTGCAATGACGTATTCCAGCTCACCGCACTCACGTCGCATGATAAAGTGGCCTCTGAATAGACTAATAACGACAACCATGAAAGTGTCCATGGTTACAGGATGACTAGTTGGCATTACAGATCTTCATCAGAGTTCTCAGTTCGTCTGGGGAAAGCTTCTAGAAAACGACATGGCGTCGATCATTAAAGTATGTTAAGCCTGGGGTTTTGCCCCTACTCCGTAGAGTCACGATCCTAAGACTGCAGGGCGATTGGCACACGGAATGTCGAAACTCTTAAGGCAACCCGCAAGAAGGCAGTAGGGTTACCCGTCAATGACAAGGGAAGCTGTCGGCAATAGAAGTAACTAGCCGCAAACATCTATCCGTAGCAAGCTCAAAATATTTACTAACGTTACTTTGGGGTGGAAATCCAAGAAACGCCAAACTTGAATGAATGGTGGAAGCAACTGGGCTGACGTTGCTTCTTAGGGCGCATGCCAAGACTAAATACGAAGGTGGAGCGCCAAGTATCTCCGACCGTGGCGGGATTTCCAAATCGAGGAGTCCGGGAAACTCGTGACCTGGAGGTTTACCCCTTTGCCGGATATCGGCATTTGAAGGCGGCTTGGAGTGTAGACCATCACAACTACGGAGTAGGCGTGGGCACAAACAACAGCAGGTTACATAGTCCTTGATGCTGTCTTTGAAGAAAGTTATCCGGTCTGTAAGTATTCTTCAAGTGAAAAGGGACATTCACGGACCGATTTAAATATCCCAGACCCAAACAAATCCCGAGCTCGTTATGGGGGGGATGATTCTCGACTCGTTGCAAAGGTCTGGATGAGGGTAGAGTCAGTTTCCTGGTTAGCGAACCTGGCTCCTGCTCATGCCACCGTATGCTAGTCGAGACGAGAATATAGACTATGGCGACATTCATTGGTTCGCGTTCGCCTTGAAAAGTCGCACACTTTACCGTCGGATGACTGACTGGACCCCCGTTTTGTCAACCAGACAAGATGGACGGTACTTGGTTTAGGGTTAAGTTGCGGATTATCAGGATACTCATTATCCTTTCTGACTATTTTATGCTGACTGCAAGAACGTGATGCCCATCAACTCCTGCAATGCGGCGCTTGCACTATGAGAGACAACCAGCACCTCTTCTAAATCATGTTCGGAATAGCAAGGACGAAAAGACTTTGCAATCCAAGAATGACATAGCCTAATCCAAGAATGGCGAGGCGCCTACCTCCGTTGGTTTCACCATCACCATTACTTACATTCCCACTGCCGCCGGTGGCGGTGGCGGTAGCACTTGGGCTGGCAGTGGTTGCGATGCATGTTGCCGGGACTGGGGGATCCTCCAACGCAGCAACGGCGTCACAGATATTTGGCTCTTGTCGTGGTCGTGGTTGGTTGAGAAGATGAATTGGTGTAAGCCCGATGACCGTCGCAGGATGTTTGAAGTTGGGGTCGAACCTCCGCATCAAACGTTTCGAAGGAATGATGGGTTCGTTGGAAAATGGTGCTGCATCTGGTTGACAAACGGTTCCTGCATCAGGTAACGTTCCGTCCTGCCAATAAGCTCGCACGAAACCTGAGGTACAGTTCGATGGACTTGCGGTAGAACAATGACCGGCTCCATTATGCTCCAACACGACACTGTCGACGAAACCGGAGCTGGAGTTCTGTGCTGAGACGAGAGGTGTCACAGGATCGAACGGCCCGTTGATAAAGAGGATAGGGTGTTTGGTATTTACACCTTCGAAAGATCCTTCGAATATCTCTTTGGCTCTGGTTGGCCATGTGGCGCACGAGTAGAGGATGCTGATTAGCTGGTCTGCGCCGAATTCACTGATGCCTTCGTACAACTTCAACCAGGATTCGAAATCATCAAGATCTCCGGCAATGTTAACCCAGTCGCCACAAGTGATAGCGACCAAAGCCTGCGGGTTAGATATCTGGAATGTCGCCAGTGGATCGAATTCACGCTTGACTCTGCGAGCTGCTGGGGTTTCCGCTTCATAGAATGCAGAGATATTTTGGGCAACAACAGGCCACTCACTAGGGCTCTTCAAGTTTGTGAACAAGAGCCCAGCTACCTCCGCATATCCCTGACTTTCATCCGAATCGGAGGATAGAGTAGAAGATCCGTTCTTGAGATTGTTCAACAACGTGAAGAACTCGTTCTTCAGATCTTCGCCTAAAAACCCATCCTTAGCAAGAGAACAATATTCCTGCCCAGCAGTAGCACATGTCTGGAAAAAGTGATCCACAGCTGGATCAACGTCGGTAATGGCTTCGGCGTTGAGACCGCGATAGTAGTCGGTGGGGTTGATATTGCCATCCAGTATCATTCGGTCGACTTTTTCAGGGAACATAGCAGCTATGGTCGAGCCGAGGAGGGTGCCATAGGAGAACCCCCAATATCGTATCAGGCCATCAGGATTGATTGCCTCAGATACTGCGTTGACATCCCGGGCCGTAAACGCGGTGCCAACAAGCTCTCCCAAACTCCGATGCACCGGTTGTTCTGCGCAATACTCTCCTTGATCTTTCAAGGACACAAAGGTTGAATTCAGAAACGCCGGATCGCTTAACGACGTGCCCGTGCTTTGCTCAGTGCACAACTGAGGGCATTGATAAGGGATAGTCAATCCTACTCCACGGGGATCCCAAGTCACAATATGATATCCACCGCCAGAATCACTACTACCATTAATGCGAGGCTTGGAGGGCTGAGCGATGGACTTACTCAAGGTAAGATGTTTCAGATTCAACAAGTGATTGGATCCCGCTCTCTCCCGGTCCGCCCGGATTCATGATGATGGATAGGCCATCGGATGCATTGCCGGTCGCCGGTTGACGGACCAGCGAAAGTGTCAAAATTCCTTTCTCAAGATCGGTATAGTCGAGAGGGACTTGGAAGGTGCCGCACTCGAGCGTCGGCTGTTGATCAGTTGGGCAGGGAACCCAGTCAACGGTTTGGTTTTGGGAAAGAGGCCCAGTGTTCAGAGCATAGCCAGGGGGACAGGTCTGTGCGTGCAAGACTCTGGCAGAAGAAATGAAAAGAAGGATAAGCGAAAGAGTCGTCATGGCTGGAGATCAACTTTCACCACGACACTGTGCAACTTGTCTCAAGAGCAAAATGTAATTGCCATTTTCGAAGCTGGGGGTTGATATAAGTTCAAAAAAGCAAGTTCGTGGATTGTACTAAGAAACAACAATGACTCTGCTACAACCCACAGATGCCAGGCAGATGGATTCATGGCGGATCCTTTCTGTTGCACAGCGTACAGCCTGGCTCCTTGTTCACATTCGCAGGAATTGGGCATGATGAAGTTACGTGTAGGTAACGTCTCATTGGACGCGATAATATGGGAGGAAGCGAATGTTGGTCAGGACAGGATCGCGCTAGGTCGTAGGACGGGTACTAAAAGAAGCTGGTGGCTGTCCAGATCCTTCTCCAGATCCTTCAAGGTGAACACGTTCCTTCAATGGGGAATGGCCCCCTGATCCGCTAAGCGCTAATCTGCTCAGCCTCTCGCCCTGAATTGTTGCCGAGTTTCATCCTTTGGAAGCCCCTCGGCCCCCAGCAGTGCCTGAAAGGTAGTTTGAGGTGCACCAAGGTGATAATTGCCCGAGAGGTAACATACTAGCGACCGGCCTGAAACTCTTGAGGATGAAAAGGATTGCAATGCAGATGGATTCAATCCGGTAAGATCTCGGCTGCAGATCAGCCGATCAATCGGCCCATGTTGTCGTGTACATAAGTGACATACTCGTATAAGGTGCGCTAGTCGGCCCCAATGCTTCCATGATCGCTGTCTACTTCTACAATACTCTCACACATGTCGAGAAATCGAGTTCGGTATTCGGGCGCCGCTGTCGTTATGCTCATTGGACCGTGACCAGTGAAAAAATCCCAAACATTGATCAACGCCGTCATGAACTTTGCATGAACCTTGTGCTTGGCCCAGAAGAAGTCAAGAATGACTGCTCTGAAAAGGTACTTGCCATCCCGTGATGGAATGCCAGATCGCCAGTTTGGCGGATCCAGAAAGGGATCTCTTGTTGGTGCCTCGTTTTCTGTTGGGATTCGAACAAGCATCAGGCTATAATCAACCGCGTTAAAATGCTCGAGAAGTTGGGTGTCCCTCTCCAGCTGATGCTTAAAATCCTCAGCTTGCTCCCGAGTGAGGAGGATCTTGTCAGGAAAATAATCGGCGAGTTTTGATTTGGTAGCATTAGAAGCGAGTCGCCCTCCAGCAATATCGCGCTCAGGGAAGAAATAAGAGTTTGGTTTCAGGTCAAATGTTTCCCAATTGGACGGAAGATTCTGCCCATGCAAGAGATTCTCCATGACCAGATGGTAGGTGGGAGCGAATCCTAAAAGACCCCCAAGACTGCTGACCTGCCACCCAAGAAAGTCCATGATCCTTACCAGAAGCGAGTCGGGATCGGCTTCCATGTGGCTGACGTAAGGCTTCAGAAGGTCGTCACGGAAAAAAGAGTGTTCAAACCGCCGTGGAATGGACTTTATTAGGTACTTGTCGTCCCTCGTGGTGAAAAAGGTTGAGCCTGAATATCCCATGTCTTCTTTTGTTTTGAGCACATCTTCGTGGTCAAAGCTAGAGCGGTAGCTTTGTTCTGAGATGTGCCAGATGTTGCGACGGAGATTCTCAAATGACTCGGGCGCATGTTTGATCAGGACTAGTCGGTAGATGTAGAAGGAGGCCCGTAGAATATATAAGATCCGATTGAGAAGGCTTGGATCACTCTCATTGTTGCTGTTTGATTGAATGGCGGCGATTATGGAGCGCGCTACTTGCTTGTTCCGGCGGTCCATAACTAGTTCGACAAGATATCAGCAAGTTTGCGTATCTACTAGCATGCCTCGAGAATGAGGTATCATTGTACGTAGAATGAGAAGGTTGAAAATGACACGAAGCATACAGTTACCATTATTGATTGCTACACTCCTTCCCTTTGCGCCTTTGGGGGAATGTCAGCCTGATGGATGTGACGTCATTTTGTTGATGGTTCAAGGAAAGAGTCACTGGAGGTTAACGGGGGAAGGAGCGTCCCATTGGTTGCTTCTTGGCATATGTTCACTCCGTCGACTTACATATCTTGAGCAACGAGTTGTCGACGAGACTTTGCCTCATGGTGCAGCTCAGTGACTTTTCGGCAGGCTAAGCAGGATCGACGAGTCAGTCTCGTGAGGGCGAGTTTCTGTGACGGAGGCTATGACCATACCACCTCGGTAAACCGGCTTTGGTTGCCCTCAACCCCACACTTCGGCTCACGAAGGTACGAGGTACAATATCTCGTATGTCAAGTATCGTGTTGGGGTCGTGTAACCCGGCCGAAGGCCTTTCTAGTCAATGCATTTTCCGGATGAGGATTCAACATCTCTGTTCTGTTTGTTCAATGTAATCTAGGTCCGATATATGTCCATGATATCAAGTCTTCTCATACACGTTCAGAGCCATGCCGCAAAGAATCTACACCAACACTGGCCCTGAACCATTTCCCAATGTCCCGAAGCTGGACCTGCTGACATTCTTACTCGGTACAGATATCTGCAGGTAGAACTTTGGGCCGTGACTGACAAATTGTGAAGACTCCGAGCACAGTGTTACCGCGTTGTCCGAAGAGAACATTCCTCTACATACTGATGCTGCCAACCCTGCCAACTCAGTTAGAAAGAATGATCTGATCGATCTCACCCAGCGAATCGCTTATGGCTTGCGCCACGAGTACGGTGTCGGCGCCAATGGTCCGAGCAAGGACGTCGTCACTGTCATCAGCTATGGCCAGCCTTTAGTTGCGGCGGCCTTCTTTGGCGTCGTTGGTGCCGGAGGAGTCTACTCGGCGGCAAGCCCGTCGTCCACTCTTGCAGATCTCGTTCGACAAATCACGATCGGCACAAGCCGACTGATCATCTGTGGCGCCGAGTTCAAGGAGTTGGCCACTCGAGCAGCTCAGCAATGTAAACTGCCTCTGGATCGAATCCTGGTTTTGGAATCGTGCCCCTGGAGTCTGGCAAGCCTGTACGGTGGCATAGACGTTATCGCTGATCAGCGGTTGCCTTGGGAGAGAATCACCGACCCAGTGGCGTTGAAAAAGAGCATCATCACCATCCTATGGTCATCAGGGACGACAGGCCTTCCCAAAGGTAAGCACAGACAACGCACTACCATCACGTGGATTGACATCTATAGGTGTGATGCTCTCGCACGAGAATTTGGTGACAGAATGCTATGTTATATCTCTATCAGGTCGAGCATGGGCAGCGAAACAAATCGAAGCCGGCAAGGAACTCAAACCCTATCGAACACTGGCACATCTCCCAATCAGTCATATTGCTGGCTTGTTTGGCTATCTGATTGCACCACTCTACTCTGGCGGGCACGTTTACTGGTTGAGAAAGTACGAATGGTCCAAGTTACTCGAGTACGCCAAGAAGTACGAGATCACTGCATTCTATACCGTTCCGTCCATATATCTTCGTATCTCCAAGTCGCCTGACGTGACAGATCAATTCAAACATGTGGACGCGGCATCGACGGGAGCAGCACCTATGGACGGTGATCTCCAGACAGCCGCAAACTCCAAATTGGGACTGGGCGAGACTTTTATCGGGCAGACATGGGGATTGAGCGAGACCACCGGCGCAGTGACGATGATGCCTCGAGGTGAGAGTGATGTGACCGGAAGTGTTAGCCCGATCCTGCCGACCGTTGAAATAAGGTAAGTCTGATAACACTAGTAAAGTTGGAGACCAGGACTAAACATCGGTGGTAGAATGGTGGATGAAAACTACGAAGACGTCGAGCCAGGCCAGGAAGGCGAAATGCTGATCCGAAGCCCGCTCGTCACCCAAGGGTACTTCAATAACCCCCAAGCAACAAAGGACGCGTTCCACGGCGACTGGTTCTGCTCTGGTGACATTGGAATCATGCGCAACGGTAAATTCTACATTGTAGATCGAAAGAAGGTGAGTTGGACCGAAGGGAAGTATGAGCTTCAGATGTGCTAATGGAGAATCCAGGAATTGCTCAAATACAAGGGATTGCAAGTTGCTCCCGCGGAGATTGAGAATCTTCTCTTTACGCATCCCAAGATACAAGAGGCCGCGGTGGTGGGAGTTAATATGCCCGATGACCCAGGCACAGACCTCCCAAGAGCCTATGTTGTTGCTGACCCATCTCAAGTCACCGAGGATGAGATCAAGGACTTTGTGAAGCAGAAATTGGCCCCGTATAAACAGCTACGTGGCGGTGTTGTTTTCGTGAACGAGCTGCCCAAGAACGCAATTGGCAAGTATCTTAGGCGAGAGTTGCGAGATCGAGCCAAGAAGGAGCTGGGCCTCGTGAAGCCTTCGAAGATCTGAGGGCTTGCAATGCCACGAACTAAGACGATAGAGGGTTGGAATGAAACTCATGCTGTCGAGTCAAGATGCATTTTCAAGAATAGAAGCCAACAGTCCGCCATGAGACGACTGATATGTAAAAGCGCCTGAGAGACACAGACATTGGTAGGAATGCATCAAAAGTTATAGCCCCAACATGCAAGGCAGTGGATATTTGTTCACGTCCCCTTTAGTCACTAAGGGCCACCCGCATGGAGGATCCCGAATAGCCACGCGTATTAAGATTTCGGATGTAGACGCTCTACTCTGGGCAAAAGCAAGTCATGACATCAGGACCACAATGACAGGGACGGGGCACCAAAATCATGCACTGCATGAAATGGATTATCTGAGGTCTACGTATCGGTTGATCGTACCATTTTTCAATTTCGTCTTTGACTGGTGTTTGACTGGGGACCTTTTCTTACATTGACGGCTCTCCGTAGCCAATCTGAGCAGATGTCGAACTCGACGCTGGCAGACAATCATTCCAAGCTCAAAGAGTTCATTGCCGTACGTCAGCAACATGATCCATCTAATGACCACCTCGTAAGAAATTTCTTCTAACATATATGCCATCTTGGTTGGGGCCTAGTCTATTGCGACAATACGTGGGGACTTGTCCAATATCACCGCTCCACCATTCGTCCTCGATACCAAATCAGCAGTTGAGCTTCCAGCATTCTGGGCTGAGAGACCTTCTGTGTTCGTGGCTGCTGCTGCATCGAACAATCCCGCAGAGCGAGCGTTGTTGGTTCTCAGATGGTTTATATCAGCGCTGCGTGATCAACAGTATGCAGGGCGGTCTGCCGAGGAAGGGGTCAAGAAGCCCTTGAACGCCTTTCTGGGTGAGTTGTTCATTGCCCGCTGGGAGGATGAGTCGGGAATCACCAGGCTCGTAAGCGAGCAAGTCAGGTATGCGACATATCCACCCGTGGCTCTGGCCTTGTGCTTTCCTCAATGACTTACTTGTCAATATAGTCATCATCCACCGGTTACAGCGTGTCGAGTATGGAACGACGAACATGGGGTTTCCGTATGTCGAAGCTTCATTAGCGCTGGCTCAATGCTGACTGATGCAGGCTGAAGGATACACACGTCAAGAGATCACCTTCACGGGCAATGTGAATATTCGACAAATTGGGCATGCGACGCTTCATCTGCGCAAACATCACGAGACATACCTGATTCCACTCCCCAATGTCAAGATCAAAGGTATCTTGACTGGTTCGCCATATCCAGAGCTGGAGGGAACGTATCATATCCCGTCTACCAACGGATACATGTCCAAGATTGAATTTGATGGCAAAGGTATATTTGGCAGTTCGTCCCAGAAGCACAGTTTCAAGGCCAAGGTCTATCGTCAAGGCGAGGAAGCGCATCCGATTTATACGATCTCAGGACATTGGGACAATATCTTCGTCATTCACGACGTCGCCAAAGATGCAGACATTGAAACATTCGACATAACGACGGCCAAGACGACACCTCTCACAACTGATCCGATTTCTGAACAAGATGCCTGGGAGTCTCGAGTGGCGTGGCGTGCTGTGTCAGAGGCATTGGAGTCGGGTAACATGCAAGGCGTCGCAGATGCTAAGTCGAAACTGGAGAATGGACAAAGAGAAATGAGAAAGGGAGACGGGGATGGTAAAGACTGGAAACGCCTTTTCTACGATGCATGCTCAGAAGATCCGATTGCGCAGTCGCTCCGCCACCAGATTGGTCAGGCCCTCGACCCAAGCGAGACGGTAGCTGTCTGGAAGTTTCGTTCGGAAGATTGGGACCAAGGTGTGTTTGAAAAGCCGTATCGAGGGACCTTGAGGCCAGATAACAGTCATCCTGCAAGAAGTCCTGATATATCACAGCCGGACGTCAGCGAGAGCGGCGCTGCCCCTTCGAATGGAAACATATCTGGAATTCGAGTGGAATCTCAACATGTTGTTTTTAATCATCCTGATGAGGATGCTGGAGATGACAACACCAAGAGCCAGCTAACCTCTCACAGTGAGAGTGAGACTGCAGACATGGGAGAGCCAGAGCGACGACAAGTTGAAGACTTCCTCCGAGATATGCACTCTAGTAGGAAGCGATAGAGTCGATCTAGGTGGGGGTCGTGCTGGATGAAGTGTCGAGGATTGTTTACACCTCATTCAATACGCGGATCTAGGGTAGACCTGGGTCGGTTATGAAGAGCTAGGTAGGAGACTGACAGGTCAAGATTCAGTAGGCGTCAGACCACTGCACCTTTGTTGTTTTCAACCTCGTCGCGTCGAGGATCGAATCAACAGAATGAGTAAAAGTGTGGGGGTTTGAACAAGACCACCGCTTAAACGCGCGTCCCTCGGCATGTACATATGTATGTATGCATGTGTTTGTGCCCAAACCGGCCTAAGTAGTAACTTGGTTCCTTTGCACTCTAAGGGCCTGCCTCGGTATCTGCTTCTGGCTCATGGAGCGGTGATGTTTAAGCGCCGTATTCAGAAGTAAAATGGAGGTTCCGTTCATCTAAGTAAATCCAAGTAAACAGGGAGTTCCAAAGATCCAGATAGCCCTCGGCCCCCCTCGGCCCAATTCACAATTGAAGACTTCGAATTCTGCCTCTCCAGCCTCATGGTATTGTTAGAAATCCTCTCTCCACTTCAAGTGTCAACTACTTGGTCGGTTCGCCCCGAAGTGACCATGCACGTTTCTCGCAACCTCACCAGTCGTATCCGCCAGCTTTGGATTTCCGAAACCCGAAACCGACCGGGTTCAAATGATCCTTAGAAGTCTGTCCTGGATTGGCTTGGTTCACCGGGCCTGTTTAGCCGGTAGAGCGCTTACAAGGGATATATGCCCTTCTGCCCCGCTAGGCCACCTGGAGAGGTCGAATGTCGATGTCTCTTGTAGCGCAAACCAACCAGCTGAGACCAAGTCAGCACAACACTTGTACATCTGCATGGCCCAATTGCTCAGTTTTGCACCTCTAACGTGATTGTGATTGCACTGGGCGATCACATGCAACAGCGAACTCAAGGCCAAAGGAACATATCCTGCAATAAAACCTTGCCTGCGTTGCATTGAATGAGCATGCTAGTCCTAGGTCTCATTACTGTACCTCCAACCATTATTCATCCCACGGGCTGGGTATAAGCCTGTAAGTGTCAGGCCAAGTTACTCTAACTACGGTACATATGTAACGTATGTACCGAAGGTTGCCAGCGGGGCTCTGTACAGCATGGTTGGTTCCGGGGTCCTGTGCATGTTGCGCAACCGTCATTCGACATGGGGCTCACGGCTGTGACACCTCCTGTACATTTGTCCACAAGGTTCTAGTCTAGGGTTGTGACATACATATTCATATGACAGCCAGCTTTAATTTTGGAACGACTTCTCCTTCCGCTCTGTGGCTCACCAGTCAGAAGGATACCGCAATTCAGATCTCATGGCAGATTCCCCAGAGAAAGAGATTGTCCCGGAGGAGCAGCCTCAACCGGTATTTGTTGCACTCATCGCTCTCATGTACATCAAGGTCTCATTCTAAACCAGCCGGCGCTCGAAGCGGATGTAAACGACAACGATTCAGCCTTGGGGGATGTAAGACGAACCAGACCCTGGCCTTCTTATGGGGACCCTGCCATTGCTAACACACTGGTAGGAAGGGGATTTGACGTCGACAGCGTCGCTAACTTCGAGTATTTATCACTACAGGCAAGAAAATGGACGAACCTACAACAGTTTTGGTGATGGTATGAGATGTTCGTCTGACCAACCCCTGCTGTTGCTTACCTGTTGCAGCTTACATTTTACCGAATGACGAGGTATACCCATTTGCGCCTTACCCCGTGGCCTCTTCAGACTGACTAAATGGCAACCATAGGCAGAACTCGACCGTCTAGGTGAGATTTTGTGATTGACATAATTACTTCAGTGGCAATGTACTTATATTCCCTGCCCAGACCTCCAACACCACCTGATGAAGTTGACGTTCGGAGACCGATTAACCACGGTAAATTTCGAGGAAGGTAAAGAACTCCAACGAGTCTTGGATGTGGGAACGGGCACTGGCATCTGGGCCATTGAATTTGGTGAGTGAGCCACGTGGTATTTGTGACACTGGGGCCCCAAAGCTGATCACACCGCAGCCGACCTCCATCCCGAAGCTCTAGTACGTCTCGAATTGATGACACAGTGAAAACAGAGGATTCGATGAGATTGACTTGGCCCAGATTACAGGGGTCGACCTGAGCCCTACGCAGCCTCCTTTGTAGGGAACCCCCATCGTGACCGAGAAATTGTATCGCCCAGTACTGATCCTAGTCTCTAACTTAGTGTCCCACCCAACGTCAGTTTCGAGATTGTCGATATTACGAAGCCGTGGTCTTTCTCATACACGTTTGACTTTATTTTTGCGCGCATGATGACTGGCGCTTTTGGCGATTGGAAAGCCTTCATTCAAGAAACTTACGAGTAAGCAGAAACCCGACACAAGAAAACTGGCACAGCGGTGAATGCTCAAAATCCTCTGACAATGTCCAGCAATCTTAACCCCGGTGGAGTGATCGAAATCCAGGATGTCCATTTTGATGTCGGGTCCAGTGACGGCAGTCTTCCTGAGGATTCAGCTCTAAGAATGTGGTCCAAATATATGCTCGAAGCAAGTCGAACCCTTGGAGTACCTCTTGACAGCGTGCTCAGCGTTAAAGCACAGCTCATTGAAGCCGGATTCGAAGATGTCCAACAAACAGTCCAGCTCTGGCCGATGACATGGTGGCCCAAAGATCCCCGGCACAAGAAGATCGGTAGGTTTGCCCTGTTGGCCCTCCTTCTGGTTTCCCCTCTTCCCCCACTGACGCCACTCTGCAGGCCTGTGGACTTATCACAACATGTCGGGCAATCTTCTTGGAATCAGCGTGGCGTTCTTTACGCGAGGCCTCGGGTGGACGGTGGAGGAACTCGAAGTCTTCCTTGCTAAGGTCAGAACCGATATGAAGAACACTCAGTTTCACGCAGTTTGGCCCATGTGAGTTTCTTCAACTTGGCGCATTTCATTTTGTGGGACCATGCATCTAACCACCATACTTTCAACTATCATAGATATGCTGTCAGTGGAAGGAAACCCAAAGCCTAGTAACGACTTTTGCCTTAGGAGTGGGGGTAATGCTTTTGTAGGTTTGGAGGGGCAACTCAGAGCAATGTCATGCACAAACTACCTACTCAATGATCACTGAAACAAATCCCAATCTGGACCTCTCTAGCTCGTTGGTTGGTGTTTCTTTCCGTAGATCTATCAACAGGATCCGCAGTGACAAGCTCCCCTCCATGGTTAGTGTCTCGGGGTAGACATCTATTACGGCGAGGCCCGCAAGGCCCGTTGCATCCGGCCCGTGCATGGCATTGATCAGGTTCGTTAATTGGGCTCAGGTGCCAGTAGTAACATTCACTAAGGCACGCGGTCACAACTCCCGATCCCTGCTTGAGGTGACCCCCACGGTAGCCAGAGCAGAAGTCACGAACAAGAGAGAAGGCATAGAGGGTGAAGGGTAGTTACCAAGAGGGGCAATCCCTACTCGTACTTTCGCATCGTATGTACCTACGAGTACTGAATGTACATCCATCCAAACCATGGAATTCCGTAACTGAAATGGTGATTGTGACTCGACCCACCTGACCAGCCAACTCACTCACTCACACAGTCACAACCGATGCATTCATTCCCTGTCAACTCACCCCCTCGACAAATGTATGTTCGTTTCTATCACCAGACTTTCTCCTCCTCCTATTGATTTCCAAGTTGTCGGGACTGTTTCGTGTCACCGAACTGACTTTAGACAGGAAAACGGGCCCCAAACCCAGATCCTTATTGAGAAAAAATTTCCCACCATTGACATGTCTCTCCTTCTCACCGTCGTCGTCCTCCTAGTCCTGGTCACTGTATCAACCCGCGTCGTCTATAACTGGAGTCGCTTACGGCATATTCCTGGCCCCCGATCCGCAGGATGGTCGAAATGGTGGCTCCTCAAACGTACATGGAATGGCACGATCCACATGGAAACTGCAGAACAGATATTCAAACATGGTAACATCCCAGGTCATCATGAACTGCAGACAACGCCAGAACTCTGTCGAAAAATAGCATACTAACAAACCCTCTACGCTTTCTTTGACAGGCCCTCTCGTTCGAATCGGTCCAAATGAACTTGTGACCTGCGACCCGGAAACTCTTCGAAAAATCACCGCCGTTCGAACCCCATACCTTCGATCAGATTGGTACGACGCCATCAAAATCGACCCTGATCGTGCCAATATTCTCTCTGAACGTAATGTGGAACGCCATCAGTCTCTCCGCGCGAGAATGGCACCCGGCGTACGTTGCAGTTGCAACCTTCCCATTGGGTAGGTGTCCCCTTTCTAACCTAATCTATTTACTTAGTATGCCGGAAAGGAAAATCTGGACCTGGAGAAGTCCATCGACGAGGTCGTCGCTAGCTTCATCCAGCTGATTGAGACCAAATACTTGTCCACGGATTCCGAGTACCGTCCATTGGATTTCTGCAAAAAGGCACAATACTTGACTCTCGATCTCATCGGCAAAATTGCCTTTGGCAGACCCTTTGAATTCATTCAAAATGACACCGATATGTTCTCGTACCTCCAGACCACCGAGAACACCATTCCAGTCATGATGTTAGTGAGCGTGTTTCCATTGCTAGCTCAGATCTTCCAGTCACCGCTCTTGAAGAGTGTTTTGCCTAAGAACACGGATGCCTATGGCTTGGGCAGAATCATGGGGTAAGTGTCATATATCGTTTTCAACCCGCCCTTTGGTTCTTTCGATGAAAAATTGAAAATCGTTGGTTCAGCCTAGCAAAAGAGGTCGTGCAGGAACGTTTTGTGCCCGACGCCAAACGCAAATGGGACATGCTCGGCTCATTCGTCGCTCATGGCCTATCTCAGGAGGAAGCCGAGTCTGAAACTCTGGTACAGATGTACGTGTTCCTATTCAACACCACTAGTCACCCACCTGTACTATCTATCGTCTTCCTTTTCCCACTAACACTTTAGTCAAGTCTCGCTGGAAGTGACACGACCGCATCGGCCATCCGTGCCATTATTTTACATGTCATTACCAACCCACGAGTCCAGACCAAGTTGCTCAATGAGATCGCGGCCGCCAAGGTCAGCAAACCCGTTACCGACGCCGAAGCAAAGGCACTGCCATACTTGCAAGCGGTTATCAAAGAAGGCTTGCGTATCCACCCACCAGTGACGGGCCTCATGCTGAAAGTGGTTCCCCCTCAAGGCGACAATGTACTGGGATACTATTTGCCACCAGGGACCAAGATTGGATATTCTGCCTTTGGCCTCTTCCTCAATCCCAAGATTTGGGGCAACGACGCGAAAATCTACCGCCCAGAGCGCTGGCTAGAAGGGACGGCGGAGGAGAGGCGCCGTAAGGAAAACAATCTGGAGCTGGTTTTCGGTGGAGGGAGGTCCCAGTGTCTCGGAAAAGCCGTCGCGGCGATTGAACTGAATAAGGTTATTCTCGAGGTATGCGATGCAATATGGAGACCGGCCTTCCATGGATTGGCCATTGGTTTCTTTCGAACTGCAGCTAATTCGACCCGTCGGGTCTCTGTGTAGTTACTGCGAAATTTTGACTTCACCGTCGCCGATCCTCAGAAGCCGTGGACCTCGTTCAGTGCAGGAGTATTCTTTGTCACCGACATGTGGCTCCGCGTCACAAAGAGAGAGCCCCAAATCTAGGGGCACTCGCTTCCCCATGGACCAGGAGAATCGGGAGTGCCACGAACGTGGACAATGATATGCTCTGCGGTCTCTTGATGCTTCAATGATTGAACGAACAACTAAATGGAGGGCCTGATATGCGCTGGCATCAGTTATCCCTGTTTCATTGGGGGTGAATGGGCACATGCACCTAGATTGATGAGATGAATATGACATCGCACATGCAGACCCATAACAATAGGGTGGCACAAAGTCCGACCTTCGCAGGGCAATTGATCGTTAACATGGGGTCGTTCAAGTTGATAGCATGGTCTTTCAGCCCAAGACTTTCCTAGTCTATCTTATGCTAGCACAGATACAAAGCACAATAAAGTCAGTTGTAGCTACGCCCGTGGCACATAGCCACTGCTCATCACCAGGCAATCTTGGCCACGAGTCCACTGGGCCACCTTCTCACCGCAGCTTTCCTCAACTCATCAAGGGACAACAGTCCCAAGCCAAAGGTGAAGGGCAAGAACCAGAACTCCACAGGGACATTTTCGCAACCCAAACTCTCCATGCCTGGGACGAGGGTGAATATGAGCGCCACGACCAGTGCAAATAGGATGGCGGGGAACAGATACACGTTCCGGGTCTTCGCGTTGAATAGAGGTGGGTGAGAAAATATGCTCAAGTGCCGCGTGCGAAGAGCCATCAAGTTGAACCACTGCATCACCACTAGAGTGACAAAGTAGATGCTGCTAGCGACATTGAAGTGGTAGGTGACATCGTCTGACGTCTGGCCAGCTGGTGGAGTAATATTGCCGAACGCGAACCACAGATCTGCAAAATGCAGGCCGTTGCGGTAGAGGTACCAGTAGCTCATGGCAAAAGAACATGTCGTCTCGAGCAAGCCAATGAGCCCGTACGATTGGGCCAGGAGTTTCCAGTCCACCAGACGGTCATGGTTGACGTCTCGCGGGGGCCGACGCATGACATCCGCCTCGGGGGCTTCATACGCCAGTGCTGTTGCGGCCAGACAATCGGTGAAGCAACAGATGACAATCATGAGAAATGAGGATAGCACTTGGGGAAGACCGAAAACAACGCTCGTCATAACAGGCCAGAATTCGGCGAAAGATCCGGCGGGGAGAAGATAGGCAATGGTCTTTTTCAAATTGTCAAAGACGACACGACCATAGAGGACTGCCTCCGGGATTGCCGAGAATGACTCAAGCAAAACCATGTCGGATGCCTCAATCGCAATGTCGGAGGCAGAGACTGGGGAAATGCCAATATCGGCCTGCTTAAGGCTTGGAGCATCATTGACGCCATCGCCAGTCATCGCCACAACATAGGCATTAGACTGAAACTCTTTGACGATGCGAAGCTTTTGATCTGGTGTAGTCCTTGAAAAGACAATTTCCGAATATTCCATGGTCAAAGTTTTCCACTGATGTTCCGAAAGGGTCATGAGTTCTGATCCAGTCAGCACAATCGCTTTGTTTGTCAAAGGTAAGGCATTGGATTGCTTCTTGGCTTTCTTTGACAGTTTGGGCGCCTCTTGGGGTGGATATCTTGGGAGATTGTTGATTGAATGTATTTGGTGCTCGTCGACAGTGATGATACCACACATGCGAGCAATTGCCTGAGCTGTGAGCTTGAAGTCGCCGGTGACCATCATGGTGCGAATTCCTGCTCGACGAAGTATTTGAATGACGCTAGGTACTTCGTCTCGTGGAGGATCGACAATACCGACGAGCGACACGAGGCTAAGTTCAGTCTGCGCAAAGCGAACTGCCTCGGTTTCCCAGGAGTTGTCATTGGGATGCAAAGGCAAGGATCCGGCTGGTGCATGTTTGCGAGCGAGAAGAAGAACTCTTTTTCCCTGGCTTGACCATACATCTTTGGTATTTTCGATAGAGGCGCGAATGCCGTCATCGAGGTCGTGGAGATTGCCGTCCTCTCCCACATACTTTGAACATCGAGCTAGGAGGATGTCGGGCGCTCCTTTGATCAACAACAACATGTCGTGGTCCATGTTGTACTGCTGAGCCTCGGATTCACTGAGACTTGTCTGAAGTGCGGTTTGATCCTCGGTAGAAACAACACGCAAAGCATACTTGTTCTTCGAGTTGAAGGCCAGGTCGAATCGCTTTCGCCACTGCTGACGGACGGAGGATACCGAGCCGAGACTTTCTGAGAGCCGTAGAATGGCTTGGTCAGTGGCATCTGCCATGATTTTGCGTTGATTCAATGGAAGATGAGTTGTTGTTGGGTCAAATTCGCCAGCGTTGCAGACGGCGCCTACCATCTGGAGCTGCTGGAGGGCCTGTTTGCATGACTTGGAATCGGGCTTCTCCACAGAGACGTCCTGAACGGCTTCCACGGCCGTGATCGTTGTGAAACCTAGGAGGCATTCCGTCACAACCATTTGATTTTTGGTCAATGTTCCTGTTTTGTCTGAGAGGAGGACGGAGACAGAACCCAGGGTTTCGACCGTTTTGAGTGACTTGCAAAGGATGTCATTTCGTTTCATTATGTTGGCAGTGATGGTCAGAGATGCGGTCAAGGCAATAGGAAGACCTTCAGGAACAAAGGCAATGGCGACGCTGACAATGTTGACGATGAGGGTGGCGACGGGCATATATCCAGGGTGCTCGTGGCGAATGTAGCCTGCCCACACGGCCACGACAATGATGTTCATGAAGATCATCAAGGAGACAATGATGGTGACGAATCGAATGATCTCCCTTTGAAGAGGGGTGCGTCCCACCGAGGGCTGACTTGTCAGTTTCGCAATGTGGCCAAAGACGGTCTTGTCACCGGTGGAAACGACGACTCCAATGCCACTACCCGATGTGCAATGTGTACCTTGCATACCAATGCAGCGAGTTTCGAGGTAGTTGGAATCGGTCGACTCGGTGACAGCAGCCAAGGGTTGGGATTCTCCCGTGAGAATACTTCGGTCAAACTTTGCATCCGAGGAGACATCAATGAAACGAACATCGGCGGGGAGCTTATCGCCGGATTTGAAAAACAAGACATCTCCAGGAACGACTTCGGAAGCTTGAAGAGTCTGTTTGGCACCTTCTCGGAGGATGTGGCAAGCCTCGGGAAGCATTCCGGTAATACTGTTCATGACTCTTGAGGATGAGAAATCCTGCCAGGCATTAAAAGCAGCCTGGATGAAGAAGACTGCAAGGAGAACGATGGCCAGGGCCAGATTTGCAGGAGCTGGGGGACTCCCAAGTGGTTTCCAAGAAATGAAAACCAATATGGCGCCCAAGAGGAGGATTGAACCGAAGCCCCCAAAGAAATAACCAAATAGTTTCCTTCCCAGTTGTGATGGAGGAGGGGAGGGGACGTTACGTCCATATTGCGCGAGTTTTTCTTTTACTTCAGAAGGGGTGAGGCCGGTATCGACCGAGGTTTTCAGTCTTTCACAGATTTGATTGATTGAAATCAAGTGCCAGTCGAGATTTCCAACATCTGTACAGGTTGAGCTGATGCTTAGGACACAGACTGAGAGAACTCACCGATAGCAGCCTTTTCTCGAGCGTCCTTGGCCTGGGCGATAGCCTGCTCTTGTTGTGACGAGATGTTGTAGCTCAAGGTTCGGTATTGAACGGGAAGAGCAAGGGCAGGGTCAATGACACGCTGACCGCTTCGTACGCTTGATAAGGAGTGGATGGAAAAAGTCGAGTTCACTCGTTGTAGAGGATAGCCCATTCCATGGGTAGAAGGACCAGCGGTGGCGTCATTGTCCTCTTCGTCGTCAAAGTAGCGGATGCGACGTTTTGCAGCAACAGCAGGTGGGAGATCATCATCCTCTCCAACACCTTGGTCGACCATAGCAGCATCTTTTTCAAGAACACTGTCGAAATCGTCGATTGCGACCATTTTTGTGCGGGAAAGCAACGAGCAGAGGAGTGAAAGGCAGGGGAGTGAGGGCGCAAACGACAGGACCAACCAAGAAAATGCAAGCTTGAAGTTGCAGAAGAAGGCATGAGCGACCTACATGAATTTATCTCAATGCTGAGGTTCGCATGGTTCTCCCAGCTTTGGCCATGTTGCAACCACAGTTCTATAATGTGCGCCTGTGAGTCTATAGTTGCGCTGGTCGAGATCCAGCACGTGGTGAAGAAAAGTCAAAGGCATGTCCTCAGGGCTGAGCATCGACCCAAGTCGAGGACGAGTGTGATGCATGGTGTATGCGTGCAAATAAACACAATAAGCTCTGGTACAAGCTCGGTTGATGGAGCAGCTAGAAGCAAAGGGGCAGGGAGCAGGGAGGAGGGAGATGGGTTGGTGGGGGACTGTGCGCAATCAGAGAAAATGCCTCAGTGATTAACGAATTGGGGCAGGAGGGAGACGAGTCGTAGAGACGAATTTGGATGGTTGCAGGATAGAGGTAAGTTGTAGACTGGGAAGTATGAGACTGGTGGAAATTGTGGCAGTGTACATGGAGTAGCTGAAGTTTCTTGAAGAGGTGGTGATTGACAGACTGAGTGGATTGGGAGAGGAGAAGAGAGAAGGGAGAGGAGAAGAGAGAAGGGAGAGGAGAGAGAAATCTGGAGGACGAGGAGGAAGAGGAGAGTTGGTGGGAAATGGAGCACGGGAAGGTACCACTGTGTGCATGCGCGTGCCTGCCACATGTGCCTATTATTGTTTATTGGAGGTAATTAGGGCAGGCGCGACCTGGAATGAAAAGTCCCTCACCTAAATTACCCAGATACCACCTTCCTCAGTTGGAGTGCCCCCCTTCTCCCCCAAGACGCGTCGCATCAACCTTGGAGAAGCCTGGAGCAAGTGCCGCTAAAGGGCGACTTTGGTGTGATTTTGGTGTCTAGGGGGAACCCTAAAGCTTGAAATGGCCCAAAGTCCCAAAGTCATGTTTGCCCAAGGGGGTTGCTCACGATCCATCATGCTCTGTTCGCTCGTCCTCAACCACAGCCAGGCCCAGTCCAGATATCAGTCAGTTGGTAGGGATTCCAGCTGACTGCAAATACAGCCCATCCGTTGCATTGTGTGCGAACATGAGTGGAAAGAAACCTCGATAAAGATGAAGCAACTCCTGCACAGGTGCATAAAAGCTTCAAGATTTTCAATGTCTTCAAGAAACTCAAAAATCTCCTCAACCGCGATTGGGAGGTCGATCTTTTCAAGCTGCTGTCATGTACTCCGTAGATTTGTGCTGGGGGCTCATCTCCTGGTACCGATGTGTCAAGCATTCTCCTATATGATCTCCATGTCTATCTATTTTACCCACCCTTCGCTAACTTCCAGCGGTCAACGCCAAACATGCATCCACCGCAAGGCCCACCCGTCCCTGTTTCTGCCGGACAACATCGTCAATAACCTCTTGGTCCAGATTCGGGAACATGCCACACAGCGTCTCAACTACCGTCCGATGCTCTGCTTGCTGAATGCGTCGTGCCTCGGCTGCCTCGGCGCTGGCCTGTCGTGCGGCTGCCTCTTGTGCGTCATACGAAGCCGGCGAGGTGTTTCCCTGGCGTGGTGGTTGAAAAACCGCAGGGCTCAGCCTTGGGGCCTGTTGGGTCGGCGCTGGGCTCGCCCGTCGCTCTTGTGAGCTGTCCTGGTCCGAGAAGATGCGACCAATTGATGTAAGTGGACGTTGAATGCTGCGCAGCAGACCTGCCACACTATCATCACCTGTCATATCTGAGTTGCTTGGTCCCCCTCGCACATCTCGGCGAGTTGGGCTACTCGACGATGCCTCGATCGAATTCCGGGGAGTGAGGTCTGTGCCGCCCATGAGTGACTTTTCGCTTGCCCCCACACGGGGACTCGCCGCCTCTTCGGCAGAGCGGTTCTGCGCAGCAATCTCTGATACTGCCTGTTCCACATTACGCTCAAATTCGTCGTCTGAAACAGTGAGCGTTGTCCGATCCAGGCTTTCAATGAATTGGATAGCTCCAGATAGTGACGATAGATAGTATCCTGCTTCCCCGCCCAGTTTGTCCTGGTTTCGGAAGCGGAGAATATATTGAATGTTGGACACGAGATGTTCAGGATTCGCCTGGAGGACCACGTAAATTAAAAGGGGCACGAAAGAGTCCGCTGATGTGTCGGAGCTTTTGGCATTCTTCAGCAGCCCAAAGATCACCTTGCAGCAATTCAACACGCAAATCACCTTGTCTCGCGGAGCCCGGTAGCCTTTGATCTTGAGGAGCTCCTGCTGAGCCAGTCGCAGAAACCTTTCACCATTGGAGCCCACTGGAACCAGGTCCAAATGTTCTTCTCGGATCCAGCTGTAGATGCGGATTTTCTGGCTCAAGATCTCGTCTCGTTCGACATCTTCTTGGTGTTGACCACGTCGACCAGGGAGAAGCGCTTTTTCCGCGTCCTTCCTCCTCCCTCGTGACCGTGATCGTGCTGGTTGCGCTGGTGGTGAGATAGCTGGAGAGAATGTTTGTGAGTACAATCGATTCATGACCAGCTTCTCCATGCCCTCCTTGGCATTATCAAACTCATTGTCGGAAACCTCCCGCCACACATCACATACGGCCATTTTGTTGGTAATGAACGCCAGGAAATCCCCAATGATCTTGACTTGCTCGTGCACCATCCACTGCTTCTTCCCAAATTCAGTCAGGAATGATCGCAGGAACTTCGCCACTGGGTCGGCAGACTTGTGTCGCAGCTGTTCGAGAAAGCGGTGAAAGTCAAAGGGAAGTTCTGGCTCAGGCTCTGGTGGAAGCCTCAAGGTGGAGAGTGATGTCGTCGACCCGGCCCCTGGGCTTTTCAAGGAAGCTTGCTCGCTAGGCGGGGCGGGCGACGGGGATGCCAATGGGTTTTCCGATGTCGATGCCACCGGGGACGAAGCAATCGCATCCATATCTCTTGACCTAATGTGATCGAGGCTGGATCTTCGCGGTGGAAATCCAGTCCCCGTCCCCAAGATCGGTCCTGTAAACTCATGTCTGGGGGACATTATATCTTCTTTAGTGGGAGCTGCTGACGCATCGTCGAATTGATCCATAATGCTCTGTATCTCTGACTCTGACTCGGCCTCATTTTCGCTTTTGCTTCTTCGATCCGACACGCGGTCATTCGTATCTTGATGATCGGGGCCATCTTTCTCGTCATATTCTTCCTCCACTGGTGACTGTCGGACCGAAGGATGGCGTGAGATGGTGGGCGTCTTGGGAGTAGGGTCTCGGTACGGCTTTTCTCGTTGGGAGGGTGGTTCAGGTGGAGGGGGTGTAGAAGGAAGAGTCTTGGTAGAAGTGTCGGGCGCCGCTTGGCGGGAATCAGCGTCGGCGAGCCGAAGGTCTTGAAGCTGCTGTGTGGGTTCTGGGTCACGATAAACATGATGTGTTGGGGTGGACGTGGTATCGGCGGACGGCGGCCCCTGGGCGTCCTGCGGTACCGTGTGTCCTTGCTCTTGCGACTCCAAATCAATTAGATCGGGACCATCCTCTGAGGGCAAGGCTTGACTGCTTGCTGCCTCACTGGCATGTTGGTCCGAGGTCGACATGAGAGGCGTGATGGCTACCAGATTTGTGATCTGCTCTGATCCCTGGTCGGGTGCCACGATCGATGGACAGTGAAGTGGAGGCCGATGGCGAGTTCAAGGCTATGGACCATCCCATCAGGCCATGGTTTATCCAGTTGAGGTCAGGGGCAGATGATCAGTGGGACGTCTCAGAGACACAAGAAACTGCCACGACTGCGTAATATTGGGTGCGAGGCTGAAACGCGATCGGCCTTATCTGGGGGCTGATATGACGTGTTCTAGAATCTTTGGCAATACCTTTGTGTTGACACTTTCGCGGCTCCGCTATGTGGGATTTGGTGACAACGCAGGGATGGAACGATCTGTTGCCTGGCCCACAACCATCAAACTGAAGTTGGTTATCGTGTTGGGAACTGTAGTGACTGAGGAAAAGGAAGATCGAAGGGCCCTAGACAAACAGGTCAGATATCTTGGTCTGCACGTTCTGCGTCTCAATAATGGCTGGGCTCTTGAATCACCTTTTTGGTTAGGATGCCACGATGCCCGGGGTATGCGGCGGGACCTAAGGACAGGGTAGAGCTCTTTAACAATACTCCGTAGGTGAGTAATTGCTCGGTGGGGTTGAGGCTACTTAGAGCCTGTCTCCCTATAGGCGCGGCAAGCGAAAGCAGAAGAGGATCTTAGGCATCGATCAGCCTTGGTTTTGTTACTGGGCAACTGGCACTGGTCCACGTTTCAGGCTTACCACCACCTAAACTCCGAACGCCTTACGGCTGCTTAGTTGCAGCCTCGCAGGATGTTCTCGGCACTATCAGTCCAATAATAAGTTAGCAGGCATGGCCATTTGTATGGGGCCAATCATCTGCTACAGCGTGACTTTCCTTGGCATGGAACTTGCACATCTCATTCTGATTTCAATCATCACTTCAACACCTCATACAGGACTCAATACCCATAGAGCGAGCAGATCCACCAAGTGTCCTGACGTGTTATCGTCAAGACCACGCTAGCTCATGTGTGGTATCTTCTTTTCTCTGAATCGAGGCAGTCCACTCAAACCTACCGACCAAGCTCTTGATGCTCTCAAGTCTCGTGGACCTGACAGTTTACAGTCTCTGGAGCTCATTGTCCCGGTGTCAGAATCCCAGGATTTCCATCTCACTTTTGCTTCCTCGGTGCTCGCACTTCGAGGGGGGCATGTCCAAGAACAACCGCTGGTAGATCCAGCTTCAGGGTCTGTCCTGTGTTGGAACGGCGAGGCGTGGAAGATTGATGGTCAGACGGTCCAAGGCAACGACTCTACTCAGGTGCTGCAACTTCTTGTCAAAGCCTCAAACTCCCAGTCTCCGCAGATTCAAGGCGCCAAGGCCATTGCGGAAGCTCTCAACAAGATCGATGGACCTTTTGCGTTTGTCTTCTGGGAGGCCCGCACTTCAACAATCTACTATGGCCGAGACAGGCTCGGTCGTCGTTCCCTTCTCCTTCACCAATCTACATCTACACCAGATCAACTAATAATTTCTAGCACTGCCTTCTCCCCAATCACCTTGTCATCCAGCGAGGTCTCCACCACTTCAATCCGCTGTTTGTCACTCTCGTCCGGCAGAATAGTCCAAGCCACATCCGGGTGGCAAGCCCCCTTGCCTCAGATCAACAAAGACACACATCCAGTCGAGCCTCTTGCGGCATTGCCCATCCGAAGGAGTGTGGAGCAAACCGAACTGCACCTAAAACAGGCCATCCGTTTACGAGTCAATGACATCCCCGACCACTCACATGCCCATCTGGACTCGATGTCTGCGAAGGTCGCTGTCCTTTTCTCAGGTGGCCTAGATTGTACCCTGCTCGCCCGGCTTGCGCACGATGTACTGCCCCCGGGAGAGCCAATTGATCTGTTGAACGTAGCCTTTGAAAATCCCCGTTCCTTGGCCGCCAGGAAAGATCACCTTTCCTCGCCTTATGAGTCATGCCCTGACCGCCTCACGGGACGATCAACGTTCCAGGAGCTTCAAGAAATTTGCCCTGGGCGGTTATGGAGGTTTGTTGCCATCGATATCCCATATGCGGAGAGCCTGGCTCATCAGCCCACGATCATTGATCTGATGTATCCCCACCACACAGAGATGGACCTCTCGATCGCAATGGCCTTGTACTTTGCTGCAAGGGGGCAAGGTGAGGCGGTCGCTACCTCTGTTGGTTCTGATACCCAGAAAATACCCTACACATCCACCGCCAGAGTCCTGTTATCAGGCCTTGGTGCAGATGAATTGTTTGCTGGATACGCTAGGCACGCTGCCGCATTCACGCGTGGCGGATTTGAGGCTTTGGCGGATGAATTAGAACTTGACTTTGTTCGCATTGGTTCCCGCAATCTAGGACGTGATGACAGGGTCATGAGTCATTGGGGTAAGGAAGTACGCTACCCATTTCTGGATGAGGACTTTGTCCGTCACAGTCTCGGACTTCCCGTGTGGGAAAAGTCAGGGTTTCGGACTGGGAGGCCGATTCCAAAACACTATGACGAATCAAGGAGAGCGAGTGTAGCTGCAGATCTTGAGCCTGGAAAGCTTCTCCTCAGACTTGTCATGTGGGATCAAGGTATGAAGCTTACCGCATCGGAGAGGAAAAGAGCCATACAATTTGGAGCCAAAACGGCTAAAATGAAGATTGGAATGGGTCGAGCGAAAGGGACTGATCTCTTGGATCCTTTGGCCCCAATACAGTGAGATGGTTGGAATGGGAGCCACTGTCGAGTATTTAACTCTGGATCATTGATGCAGCGATGATGACGGATGTTTCAGCGGTCTGTCTTTGACGATCCTGGGATATCTACAGATACTTCTGAGGCACATGGTTGACGTGCTGGATGTGGCATCTTTCCAAAGATGTAACTACAACCGCCGAACCTGCCAGTGAAGTGCAAAGGCAAGTCTGAGCTGCTACTATTATAAACAAATGGCCTGGAGGGAGGACCGATCTTTGTGCCACTGGCCTACCACTCGCTATGGATTGCTTGACTATACTTAAACTTCAAGCAAGCCGACGCTTCTTCCCCCGGGCGCCGCCCGGAGAGCTCTTGTTACTGGGTATCATCTGCCCAGACTCCGATCGGAGAAGTGCGACTATCGGCCCACGGACCCGAATTCCCCTCCTCACACCCATAACGGGACGCTTCAGAGTCATAATTATTATTACTATTCTTCCATCTAGAATTTCGAAAACGTGGGGATCTGTTGATCGTTTGACGCTAATGATCAAAGGGCGTGCAGGAAATCGCCAGCCTCTACTTTCATGTCGACATGGCAGCTATGCATGAATTCTCATTGAATTGTATTCTGCTGCTCGATAGTCAATACACCTGAAAACGATGGATATTGTCTCTTCGCCTGCTGTTCAACTTGTTGCTTCCAACACCGACAATGAAACACATGGTGAGGTAGGACTGTTAGTCGAAGAACAAACGAGTAAAATCCCGCCAGTCGATGAACCAAAACCACCGTCAGCCACGCACAATGGTGATCTCGAATCCCGGTTAAACATTGACCGCCGTTCCATCGACGTTGAGGACCCGTTGGACCAAGTGGCATCCGATGACTTCCCCGAAGGAGGCCTGCAGGCATGGCTCGTTCTGCTCGGGTCATTTCTATGCCTCTACGCCTCCTTTGGCTTCATGGTTTCGATAGGCACGATCCAAGAATACCTGCACTCGAATCAGCTTTCCCACTACACAGCTCGAGACGTCGGTTGGATCCCCTCGGTCTTTGTCTACCTCTCACTCGGCCTGGGCATTTGGGTCGGTCCTCTCTTTGATCGGTACGGACCACGATGGATTGCCTTGCTCGGTAGCATCAGTTATATCATCATGATGTTCCTTCTGGCGGAATGTCGGCTTTACTGGCACTTTCTCCTATGCCTGGGTTTCTTGGGGGGTATTGGAGGAGCCACGTTGTGCACAACAGGATTGGCAGTGGTCAGCCACTGGTTCAAACGGCGTCGTGGAATGGCACACGGACTGGCCATGGTTGGATCTTCTTTTGGTGGCACCACTATCCCTCTTGTCCTTCGGTCGACGTTACCTCGCTATGGCTACGCTTGGTCCATCCGCATCTTAGGATTTGTGTTCCTGGCATGTCTAGCCACGGCCAATGTCTTGATGAAACCAAGGCTTCCTCCTTCACAAGAGGCAAAGACACGAAGACTCATCTCTCTGGGTCTGTTCGGTGATTTGAGGTTCACCTTTCTGACCATTTCCGTGTTTGGCTTTGAAATCGTCTTGTTCGGAGCACTAGGTATACTTCCAACCTACGCCAACTATGGTGACAACTACCCAGAGGCGACTGGCTTCTATGTGATAGCGGTCATGAATGCGGTATCTTGCTTTGGCCGGATTCTCCCAGGGTATATCTCGGACAAGATTGGGCGATTCAATACTCTTCTCATCATGATTGTTTTCACCCTTATCGTCATGCTGGTCCTGTGGCTCCCATTTGGTCACACCAGTCTGGCGGCTCTCTACGTCTTCACAGCCTTGTTCGGGTTCGGTACGGGAAGCTGGATGGCACTAACACCTGCTTGCATCGGTCAACTTTGCCAGGCTGACCAATTTGGCCGCTATTATGGAACTCTATATTTCATCGCCAGTCTAGCGACTTTGATTGGTGTCCCCATCAGTGGTGAGCTTGTACAGGCTGTTAGTCCACAGATGCTGGTGGCATTCATGTGTGCCGTGCTTGGCTTGTCCATGGTGACATTCGTCTTGAGTCGATGGGCTTGTCTGGGTTGGAAATGGGACTGGCGGTCCAAGGTTTAGCTGAGACAGGAGGTGCTGAGGTGAGGGCAATGGGGAGCTGGTGTGAACTTGAAGATTCTGTATCTTTTCTGTTAGCGGCATAATCGGAGTTAGCATGGTCATGAGAAGACAGGAGAGATGGTTAGCATTTGTTGGCGGTTGGCGCTTCCAATAATCATCGTCATTGAATATCTGGACTGTGTGGTTGGAATCAATACAGCTTAGGTCAGCATTGCATGCGGTAGCCCAGTCACTTGAAAATTCTCGGCAGTCTGGGGAACATCTTGGCAGGCACCGCAGGCACGAGGCACGAGGGCACGCCAGGCAGAGCAGGCAACAGCTCCTCATGGGGCTCTAACCACAGTAGGTTCCTAGATTAAGTAAAGTACCTGGCAAGTGGTGTGTTCTTAGGAGACACCAGGCGACTTTGGCGGTCTTTCAGGGAACTTTGAGTCTGTTCTAAGCACACATCGTAGCGGGAACTGGCCTAATAACTGGCTTAATTAAAATATTTGGCCCTAATTAGCGTCCTAATTCTGTAGTACCTGTCCGCAGGGCCGAACATCACGCAGTCCGTCTTAGTCATCCACTAAGAGCCAGGCCATCCCATCAGTCCATGTCAACATCAGCTTTTGGCTGCAATTCCAACAAGGGCCATCGTCATCACCAACCAGCGACTTGAGTTTCAAAATATTTCACTCTCTCTCACCTCAACCAACGTTTCCCATTTCTACCTTCTGTCTTCATTGCCAATTTCCCACATCACCCCAGCACCGCTTACATTCAATCTTCTCAACGTCGGCCTGAGCCCGCATTTCCTAAGTTTCGACTTGTAGCCTCGAGCAAATCCCTGGTACACACAACTACCATCTAATCTTTCACAACCCCTCGAACCTAATCTACCGAGTCGTCCAATTCGAGTCCACACGATCGAGATGCCTGAAGATGCTGAAGTCAAGGACGACCGTCGCGATGACAAGGAGGAAGTCGCTGATGAAGAGGTGAGCAACATCAATATCTGATTGGGTTCACCCTTGATTCTGACAAAGTTGCTGTACAGGAAGAGATCGCAGCCATGAAGCGTCGTGTAGCCGAGATGGAATCTGAAGCTGCCAAGTTACGGGAGATGCAGAGTTCGCTCGATCCGCACGCCGAAGGAGTGCAACGCGAAGACCGAGAAGATGTCGACGCGCGCAGCATTTTCGTGGGCAATGTCGACTACGCTGCTACTCCCGAAGAGATCCAGGCACATTTTGCCAGTGGCCCAGGCAGCATCAACCGAGTCACAATCTTACTGGACAAGTTTACTGGTCATCCAAAGGGGTGGGTTTGAAAAAATTCCTGCGTACATGCATTACACATTATTTTCCCACCTCAAGAGCCGGATTCATTGAATTTTAAAAATCACATCTTTTCATGCTACCTGGCAAGAGATGGATGGCTAATTGGCATTTCGCGCAGGTATGCTTATGTGGAGTTTTCAGACGCTGGGTTGGTGGCTCCGGCACTCATTCTTAATGAGAGTGTTTTCCATGGCCGCAACCTCAAGGTAGGAGACCATACTCGCTGACCCAAGAGCTCTGCTAACATGATACATCAGGTCGTCCCCAAGCGAACCAATCTTCCTGGAATGACTAGAGGTCGCGGAAGAGGTGGTCCCCGTGGCGCAGGCCGAGGCGGATATCCTGGAGGTGGTCGAGGAGGTTATGGAGGTGGTGGCTACGGCGGTGGCAGCTCATATGGCGGTAGCGGATTCGGAAGTCCTCGAGGAGCGCCAAGAGGAGGTAGTAGCTTTCGAGGTCGAGGTCGCGGTTATGCACCTTACTAAGGGACGGTGAAGCTGATGTCTATTCAGCCTGCGACACAATTGCAAGCGACTGTGATGGCGGCCTCTATCAAGGGGTATAAGACCTACAGGTTAGCGCTACCATGACCCATGTGCTGTGCTACTGGGACACGACGTGTCGATGACAACCACCCATTGACGGGATCAAGGGAATGATCGTTTGCATAAGGACATCTCGCCGGAGCGGCCAGAGTGACTAGGAGATGGATGTTGGCAGACACCAGGAGTAGGCATGGGTTTAAGAATTTGCCAACGGGCATCTCTCCTCACGCGACCTCACGAGTTTATATGTGACTAGTAGCATGCATCCAAGAGGCCATGGAAAATATAGTCTTGTTGACCGCAATGAGATGTGATTAATATAGCGACAGACTTTCAAGACGCACTTCTCGATTTGGATCAGCCGAAAGGAATTCAATATCCGACACATGGGTTGTGTATGGGATACAGAGTGGCGACACATAAGTAATCAGGCAGAGCGGCTACCGAACTCCATGGATATTCGTTATCATAGTCGACTTAAGTACTACCCTATATCAGATCGTGTGTCCTCAAAGGCAAACTTGAGAGATTTTGATGAGATTCTGGGGTCAATTAGGCATTAGTCTGGGTATGATCTACCAACCATATAACCCTGTACCAACGACTTATAGATTAGTGTAGAACACAGTAAGATGGATGGTATTATCTGAACCTCACAGCCACCCACCATCAAAGGGGCAACTTATCACTCGTAGGCCTTTTGTGTTACTTTTTGAGGACTATTACAGCTCGATAAGAATCTCTAGGGTCTCTAGGGCCCACTGTTCTTTTCACTGACACCAAACTACCAAGCAAAAAAGGTTCCTCAATCATCGATTCCTCGCCACCCTGTTGCATTCCGTACCTATTGCGATTGGTAGTCTTATGCAATCATGACCGATCATGACTTCACACCCATTGGTCCCTCATACAACCACAACCGCCATACTGCGTGTTCGTTCCGCTTGCAAGCATGGATAGGTACTGAAATAGATCTGGGTTTTGATATGTGGATATCTTCTTGCGTGGTGCAAAATACACTCAGGTATGTTTGCATGCCACGCCACGTATCCCATTTCCGAGAGCAATGTGTAGCCAGTCCATCAAGATTGGCTGCCCGTGCTAAACAAGGAAACGACTACGATAAGCGTACGAGTAAATTGGGTTGGTTGGTCGTTGGTTCACTCGACTCGCCAACTTGTAAGAGCCCGACTCTCGGCTTCAAGGCAAGTGGACTGCGCCTCGTTTGTCTTGCCCCCCTCTCCCCAGGTCATGGAGTTGGTGTTTAGATTGCTCCGAAAATCATTGTACAAGTATGAATTAGACACCTGCCAGGACAATATTTCTCTCGTTTGTGGAACATGAGGGCCTGGTATGCAGACAGATGCTGGGCGTAGAGAAACCAAAGAGTTTCCCACATAGTCTGCTTAGTTGCAGAAGCAGAATAGAACATGAGCCATTAACTGGAACCATGAGGTTAGGACCCCCTCCACCTGGATAGGTGCCTAAGTCAACCAACTTTGATGCTGAACCAGCAGCTAAGACTGCGGATAGCCACCGTGAGTCAGGGTAACCATGCATTGACTCCACAAGGGCCGAAAGAACCCCTTTCGCCTTCTGCCGGTACCCATACAGCCACATCCGGGGGGAGCTGGAGCTGCCTCGAGACCCCCCCGACCATAGCCCTAGGTATTCGTAGGCGGACCCCGAGGACCACAACGGCACTCTAGGCATCCATCCCCCATGCAAACGCCCCTCTGTCGCCCCTCGGCCCTCGCCCTCGTCCTTGGGCTCTCAAACCATGCCTGCAGGTGCCAGTCCAAGTGTTACCGCAGCTGTAAAATGGCGAATACGACGAGACAAGCCACCTCCAGACTCACAGTGCAGAGAGAAAGACCGACTGACTGCATCGCCATCCATCGCTCGCCATCGCCAACATCCACCTTAGATTTCCAAGTTAACCCGTTCGTTACTCTACCATCTCTCTCATAACACTCAACCACATCGACTTTCCAACAGGCAGGGCCTTCTTCATCACTCTTCCTGCCGACAGTTTGTCCCTCTGAAGTTATTTCCAATTCTTCATCCCGTCTGCAGTCTACCCCGCCCACATCAGAGCTGCGCAAGCCTGACCTCACCCGCCGCTCTTACGCGGCTACCTGTTCAGCATGCCCGAGGGAAATCTGCCTGCGTATGTCTTCTTTGCCATGATCGCTTCATGTTCCAACGTTACTGACTATTTCTGTCACAGGGACCCCAATCTCCGAGTCACGAGTACGTAAATACCTTCAGTCTTCACTCGAGTCTGTTGTTCACCTTGTGCTGACCAAGAACAGTCATCGCTGCCGACGGGCTGTACAAAAGAGATGTCTTTCGTGAGTATCATCAATCATCACATTCCAAGGCCTCTTGACTCATATCTGTCAGGTTTCCCCGACCCTTTTGCCGTTGCGACCATTGGTGGTGAACAAACGCGGACCACCTCGGTCATACGAAAGACCTTGAACCCTTATTGGAACGAGGTCTTTGACATGTTAGCCATCCGATCCTTCCCACCTGCACACTTCAGCCTAACCTCCACCCTAGGAAAGTGACCGAGGACAGCATATTAGCCATACAAATCTTCGACCAGAAGAAATTCAAGAAGAAGGACCAGGGTTTCCTCGGTGTCATCAACATCAGAATTGGCGACGTTTTGGACCTAGACATGGGCGGAGACGGTAGGAATGAGCCTCAACCAAACAACTCACACACTAACTTGATGCAGAAATGCTGACCCGCGACCTGAAGAAGTCCACCGACAACCTCGTGGTCCACGGAAAACTGATTGTCAATCTTTCCACTAACCTCACCGCACCTCCTCCCACCCAACAGAACCGCCCCGCCCCAAGCACCGCCCCCAGTGTCAATGGATCGAGCTCATACCCCAGCAACACCAACGTCAACGCAAATATGCCAGTTCGTAGCAGAAGCCCTGTCCCACCACGTACGACCACGTCGGGTTCCGGGGAAGCCAGAGCAGCTCCCCTCACCGCAAATGGTTCGAGCTCGACCTTGCCTTCAGCCAACGGCACAGGTGCTGCAAGATCTGGCGGCTTCAGCTCGTTCGAAGATAGTCAAGGTCGACTACCCGCAGGCTGGGAACGCAGGGAGGATAATCTCGGCCGAACATACTACGTGGACCACAATACTCGAACCACCACCTGGACTCGACCATCCAACCACCTGAGCGAATCCGAACAGAGGACCCGTGTTGAGGCAAACATGCAAATCGAACGACAACGACACCAGAACCGCATGCTTCCAGAAGATCGCACAGGATCCAACTCGCCCAACCTCCAGGATTCTCGTGGAACATCTCCTTCGCAGCCAAACGCCGTTTCCATGATGGCAACGGGAGCCACCACCGCGGGCACTGGCGAGCTACCAGCTGGCTGGGAGCAAAGACACACTCCGGAGGGACGAGCTTACTTTGTCGATCACAACACTCGAACCACCACTTGGGTCGATCCCCGGCGCCAGCAATACATCCGGATGTACGGAAACAATCCGGCCGGCAACAACACCACGATTCAACAGCAACCCGTTTCACAGTTGGGTCCTCTGCCGAGCGGGTGGGAAATGCGACTTACCAACACTGCACGGGTCTATTTTGTCGATCACAACACGAAGACCACGACATGGGACGACCCCAGGCTGCCGTCCTCGCTTGATCAAGGCGTGCCTCAGTACAAACGTGATTTCAGGAGGAAGCTCATCTACTTCCGATCCCAACCCGCTTTACGCATTCTCTCGGGCCAGTGTCACATCAAGGTGCGCCGTGGAGCCATTTTCGAAGATTCGTATGCGGAGATCATGCGACAGAGCGCTACCGATCTCAAGAAGAGGTTGATGATCAAGTTTGATGGCGAAGACGGCCTTGACTATGGCGGTCTATCTCGGTAAGTGAAGCACACCGTCGATGAGTATGGCGGACTAACAGGTGGTAGTGAATTCTTCTTTTTGCTTTCGCACGAAATGTTCAATCCCTTTTACTGTTTGTTCGAATATTCGGCCCACGACAACTACACTCTCCAGATCAACCCTCACTCGGGCATCAACCCAGAACATCTCAACTACTTCAAGTTTATCGGGCGAGTGGTGGGCTTGGCTATCTTCCACCGTCGCTTCCTTGATTCGTTCTTTATTGGAGCATTCTACAAGATGATGCTGCGCAAGAAGGTTGCCATCAACGACATGGAAGGCGTGGACGAGGAGTACCACAAGAATCTGACGTGGACCTTGGATAATGACATCACCGATATCCTAGACCAGACCTTTTCCATTGAGGACGAACAATTTGGTGAGACCAAGACCATCGACTTGAAACCAGGTGGTCGAGACATTCCGGTGACGAACGAAAACAAGAGAGAATACGTCGAGTATGTCAAGACTTTCGATAATATGTTCACGTACTAACAAATGTGCAGGTTGGTGACGGAGTGGAAGATCCAGAAGCGTGTTGAAGAGCAATTCAATGCATTCATCACGGGGTTCAATGAGCTGATTCCGGCGGATCTGGTCAACGTGTTTGACGAGCGAGAACTTGAGCTCCTGATCGGCGGTATCGCCGACATTGACGTGGAAGACTGGAAGAAACACACGGATTACCGTGGTTACCAGGAACAGGACGAGGTGATTCAGCACTTCTGGAAGGTGATTCGGTCCTGGGACGCGGAACAAAAGAGTCGTCTACTCCAGTTCGCGACAGGTACATCGCGAATTCCAGTCAACGGATTCAAGGATCTGCAGGGCAGCGATGGCCCTCGGCGATTCACGATTGAGAAGGCAGGGGAGATTAATGCTCTGCCTAAGAGTCACACATGGTACGTTTTTGTTGAAGATGAGATGGAGGACGGTTATACTAACAGAGGTTTCAGTTTCAATCGACTTGATCTACCACCATACAAGAGCTATGATGTGCTCAACTCGAAGCTTTCAACGGCGGTTGAAGAAACACTCGGGTTTGGGCAGGAGTAAAGATGTTGATACAGACTCACATATTCGAAAGTGTTTAGTGCGATTTTGGCACGTGACTATTTATGCCACAGGGACGATGGCGGTATATGGTACCTTTGCACAGCATCATGGGGAGGCTGCCACTCGATGTCACGAGTCACGGTTGCTAGTCTCGGTATTGTTAGGTCGTGGAGACCACATTGTGGCAATGATCAAAGCTCAGCAACACTGGCATGGTGGAAGATGTTGGTACCATAGAGTGGGTTGAGTGGATGATTGGACGGTGGCAAGTCCAATGGACGTCCCGTCCCGTTGCCATACGGGAGCAAGCCTGTGTGTCGGTGTACAGCCGGGGGACGAGCATAGGGAGAAAAGAGAAAAGGTCGAGATGACAGGATCCTGTTGGAGACTGGTGATGGGGGTCGATGCAGCCGAGTCAAGGACGAAGAGGGTCGAGCGGTGCCCTCGAGGATGAAGCCTGGTTAGACACGATATGAAGTTGGTTTGGGACATGAAATGAAGTGGCGGGCGTTGAGGGATATTGCTAGGTAGGTCTTGTTTAGTACCTACCTTGAGACAGAGTAACCACCAATGGACTTTTTGAACCCAATAGAGCGTTTATTCTTGAAGGAGTGGGTTGTTGAATGATAGATTGACGGATATTGGGCCAATTCTATTGCTGGCCGAGGACAAAGCACGAACCGGTACACGACCACGTGGAGAGGAGCGTTCGTTGGAGTGTTGGCGAGTGTCTTTGGTGTAACACGGCACTCATTGCCCACCAGTCGAGTAAGATACGAGATTCGAGATTCGAGATTTCGAGATTCGGCGGACATTGACCCGGCGAGAGTAAGTGGTACTCCATAGTAGATGGTTTCGACGGGAAAAGACCTCGGCGTCATCGGCGTGACGTCCGATGAGAAGAATGAATACCCCGCGCCGTTACGAATGACGAAAGAATTTGTGTCTGTCCTCCAGGCTCCTCGGAACAAATCAGTAGAGAAAGATGCGGAGTGAGTTGATCATTATTGAATGACATTAAGGCGGAGGGGTAATTTTACAACATCTGGTCGGTACTACTTAGTGCTTCCTTGAGCTTGACACGATACAATTTGCTTCTCTTACTTGTGTACACATCTCATCTTCAGATCTTCATTCCTCTTTTCTTTGTCTTTTTGTATTCCTCTCTATCATTTCATTCCACTGTCAGATACCTGAGGTACCAGACACTCTGAAATCTATATTTCAAATACCTACGGGATCTACCGATATACATAGATTCGTGCGGGGAAGGGACGACTGATTATACTGTACGCCGGAGAAAGGAAAGAAGGGATCATTCCACTCACTCAATCACACACACAATCACTCACACACAATCCACACCAGCGTAGCGCAAGACACAAAATCTCATTCAACAACCTCAATTCAACATGGCCTCTACCATGAAAACAGCAAACTCCCTCCTCAAGGCCCTCAACACCGGCTCCGGCCTATCCTTTGGAGCATGGCAGATGTTACCAGGCACATACCTCTCTAGAACGATTGCTCGATCTGGCTTTGATTGGGTGTGTATCGATACAGAGCATGGAAATATTGCAGGTAAGTGTTTTTGATATCTATCTATCTATCCATCCATTTATCTTGTCTCCCCTAAAACCCATCCAAAATCAAATCCCTTCACTCACCCATCTCCCCTCCTCGCAAATAGATGCCGAAATGCATGAATCCGTGCACGCCGTATCCTCCGTTGGAGTTTCACCTATCGTTCGCATCGCCGCCAATGAAGGCTGGATGGTCAAACGCGCCCTGGACGCCGGCGCTCATGGAATCATCGTTCCCTTGCTTTACTCGGTCGAAGACGCCAAGAAACTGGTTCAATCTGCGAAATTCCCTCCTGTGGGAAAAAGAGGGTTTGGTAGTCCGTTTTCAATGGGGGCTTTCGACGTCAAGGGAAATTTGTCCGGTCTGGAGTATATGAATAATGCTAATGAACATCTCCTCACGATTGTCCAGATTGAGACCAAGGAGGCTTTGAACGTGGTGAGTGCCTAAGTATCTGATCAGTGTCTGTGGATGTGGCGTGTCATGGCTTCGCCAGCTACAATGCACTGCACAAAGGGCTTTGGCTGATGAAATCGTTTCTTGTTTTTTTGTTGTCTAGGTCGAAGAAATCGCAAGAGTCGACGGCATCGATGTCCTATTTGTCGGACCCTGGGATCTTGGTAACAATATCGGTCATCCCGTCAGAGGCGATTTCGATCCAGAATTGAAAGAAGCAATTAGTCGAGTGCGAAAGGCTGCCGCTGCTGCGGGTAAGAAGTCGGGCATTTATTGCCCTAATGGCGACTTTGCCAGGAGATATGCCGATGAGGGTTTCCAAATGGTGAGTTGATGCTCTAGCTGTGTCGCCTGCCACGTTGGTCGTCATGTCATCTTGTTCTAACCCAAACCCCCAATTTTCAGATCTCCGTCGTCAATGACATGACTGCCGTACCTGTCTTCATGGCCGAGTCACTGTCCAAGGCAAAAGGCACTTTCGGCCATGCTGCTGCACAGGCTGTCAAGGGTGCAGCATACGGTGCAGCAAATATCATCTCGGGACAGTCGAAGGTGTAGTAGATAGAAGGTTCCTCTTTTTTTTAGTCGGGTACAACCTTCAACATAGAATCCATTCATTCTTGGGTGTCGTCCATCCATCTTCACGACTTCCCCTCCACCACCTCCTCTCCCTCATCCATTCCCACCACATCCACCGCATCACGTACTTCCTCCGCCGTGAACCGATGAAATAACTTCTTCTTCGCCGAGTAAATGGTAGTTATCTCATTTGGCTTCAGATCTCGATCGATATGTAGGACCGGAACATCGAAATCGTAGATCTGTCGCCAATTCTGATTCTCTGGGGTCATGATGTCGACTTCGGAGTATTCTGTCCCTTTATGCTGCTGCTGCTGCTGCTGCTGCTGCTTTTGTTGCTGTTGTTGGAGTTTGAGATATTCGCCGACATTTGCCTTGGCCGTATCACATAATCCGCAATTCGAACGAGTGAACAATGTCAATCGAACCATAGGTCGGAAAAGTCTAAGTGTGGCGTGCATGGTGGAAGGTGTGCTTTTTGTACGGATGTCAAATAAAGAAAAGAGATCCTGGTCAAAGAGTACGCAAAAAGCTCCTAGTGATGACCTTTGAAGGTTGAGCTAGTAGGTAGGTAGGTAGGTAGGTAGGTAGGTAGGTAGGTAGGTAGGTAGGTAGGTAGCTTGTCACCTGGATCTTGTTGACCGGACAATGTATACCTAGGTACGTTGTATAGGATTTTGAAGTTTAATGATACTTGGTAAGGGTGAGGCAAGGTTGTCGAAATAAGGAGGTTCCTATTATTATTGTACGAATACTGGTACCTTATTTTATGTCGGTAAGAAGCTCTGAGTGATGTTCTCACACGTGACCTCTCCTCAACATCTCTCTAAACAGCCATAATTCAAACAATCTCTCCCTTTCTTCATCTCTCTCTCACCCTCTCGCCTCTCATCTTCTCTGCGACCAAGTCTCTCCCTACAATTATTGGCCATTGCCTCTCAAAAGTGGGATCGCACCGTCATCGACGTCATCAAACTCAATCCCAATCCCAGCCACGGTTGAGTTTGTCACTGACCCTCTGTTGAACGATGGAAGTCTGGCGGCCGACAGGTCCAACATGACCATTTCCGGTGCGACTGATGGATATCCAAGAGCGATTCAGCCCATTACCGTCAGTGTCAGTGTCAGAGTTAGCGACTGAAAGGACATTTCCGTTTCTTATTCTTGACAGGCACCGGTCTATCGTTCCAGGAAGCTGAAGCCGAAGCCGAGATTGAAGTCAATGGCAACGGTAACGGTAACGGCAACGGTGTGCTCGTGGGGATATCAATATCCATCCGATCTGGTCCGTCTACGGACGTGCTCATATCCATTCGATCTGGACCATGTACATCTTCAAAGTTCTTCCACCGTTCCAGAAAGACCATCGCCCCCTGTGGATCTCTCAAAACGGCAATTGGGTCGCATGAGATGAATTGAGCAACTAGTCGGGCAAACAGGTTCAGTATCTCCGTGTTTTGACTGGTGTTTTGATATGATTGTGCCACTCTCAGGATAGTTCCACGCACAATCCACTGGTCTGATGTCGCTGTGTAGTTGTCCATGTAGTGGGTGCAAAATCGCCGGAACCTAGCATCTTCGGGGGTTTCGGGCTGAGTGAGGTTGGAGGGGGGGTTGTTTGGGTTGGTGTTCATATTCATGTTGGTATTGCTATTGATATTGGTATCGGTGTTCTGTTGAGGAGGTGCCATCGTTGGAAGGTATCGAGGACCTTTGTTTGACTCTTGTGAGTAGGGATCGGGCTTCGATATGGTTTGGGTGCGCACTGTTGCACCGAACCCTGACACCGATGTGTATCTGGTGAGGAGGAAGGAGTGAGGAAAACGGTGGGAGATATCACAACAAGGCCCAGACACAAGCTTGGTTGTCGGTTGTCGATTGGATCGTGGAGAGCATCACGGCTGTCAGTCTTGTGAGTGGATAGTGAGCTCTTGGGGGACACAGCGAAAGGAAAGAAATGGGAGATATATATAGCTTGATGGAGGCTGGTCAGAAATGAATGTGTGACTGGTTGAATGAAACACGATAGGAAAGTGAAGCATTCACAGCTGTCCTCGTGGGGCCTCAAGATCAGTATTCACTTTTCCAGACATCACATTAGTCCATGTCACTCTTATGTTCACAAACAGATCAGTGGATGACTGGTCCAGGGTCGGAACCTCCGTGGCGGCCTCATTGAATAATGAAGAAGTCGATGGACACATGATATGTTGCTTGATATGTTGGTAATACATACTGCCATATATGAGCTATCATCATGAACATAGATGGGAGGTTCTCAGAGGATGAGACGTTTCTCTGTTGCAAGTATCGGCTAGCTATATGATCAGCAATCCTAGGACAAGTCCAACATAATCTGGATCCTATTTCCACATTCACAGCATCACCACTGACACTGGTCCTCGTAAAGGGCAGCCTATAAAGAAAGGGACTACCATTGTCAGGTCGAAATCGGGTCAAAGCCTCATCTGGTCCGGACAGAGGAGCAAGCAGAAGGCTGAGAACGATATCCTTCCTTCCTTTCGCTTGTCAGTCTCCTCTTCTACGCTGTTCCTGCTTGCCTGGCGGATCACGGCTCCACGTGGGTCAGAGGTAACTCTGGCGTAAAAGGAGCCAGGATTAGGAGTTTGGATGATGCGGCCAGTGTACTCGTAGGGCCTGTCATCGGTGTCGAACCATCTCAGCCTGAAGCCTAGCTCCAGACCAATGGTCTTAAATCCCTCTCTCTCACCATCGAGGGCCACATTGGGGTGGATGCTAAGAGTCTTGGTCAGGGAAGAAGACCGGAAATGTTGAGATCTGGCGCAGCTGCATGAGAAGAGGCTCAATACTTAGATTCTCGTATCATGCACAGATTGGACTGATTACCTTTGCCCCAGGGCGCAAGCTCCAAGGGCAAGGTATCTACTTCCTGAAATCCATATTTCTGGTAGAGTTTCTGAGCAACAGGAGTTGCCTCGACGTAGACAGGCATTGCCCTATCGTCGGCTCGCTCTAAGCCCCAGTCGAGGAGCTTTTTGGCGGCGCCGTGGTTTTGGTATTTCTGTGTGGTACCAAGAGCGGCAAGATCTGTATGCGTGCGGGGGAGTTGGTGAGGAAAGGGTTGCAAGAGGCACTGATTTGGGAGGGGTGAACCTACAAGCATACGGACGACCATGACCGATATGATTGGCCACAACTTCTTGCCGTTTCTTTTGGCTATTTTGCATAATCTTAGAGCCGGCGTCTTTGTTGGCGTCATTGGGAAATAGAAAGTCGCCATGCTGGAGGTCAGAATCCTCCTGGTTCGGGGTGATGGGTGGGCAAAAGTGCCAGACGGCGAAGCTGATTACCTCGCCCTCCATGGCTTCTTTGACGATCATGAGATGGGCTGTGAGGTCATTGTCCATCTCGTTCTCGTATGACCGGACCAGGTGAGTGAGGCAGGAAAGAGTTGGGCCATTTGGAAAGACGGTGGAAAACCCTGGGTCTGAAGCACACGCAGCGAACTGAACTCGAGCGACGGCTTCTAGATCGGATGGAGAAGCAGGTAGAAGGACAAGAGCAGGCATCTATGGGTCTGGAATGGGCGCAAGTTTCTGGTGCCGAAGACGTCGTTGTAGTGGTGGCGAGGATGAGATGAAAGAAGTTGAGATATGGAAGGACAGACACGTGAAGTGAACGACGAGCTCACGTGGATTCAAATCATGTGACATGGCATGAAACTTGGACTGTGTTCGGTGATGCCTGCCTCGTGTGACAGCCCTCATGCAAGTGTTCTTTCCAGATTGCATATCAGTGGATCACCCTGGCCACACGTGATGATATTACACTGCGAAGGGGGCAATCTAAGTACATGATTCAATCGCTTGAGTGACAAGCACTTGATTCCAGTGCTGGCGGGCGGTTTTATAAAACAATAATGTGTCCGCTAGGTATATTCGGGCTGTTATGTGGTCCAAAAGGCCAGGGGAGGGAAGGCCCTCGGCCCAGGGACGGGGCTACCGGGCCATGACGAACCCGAGATGGCGCCCGCAAAATCCATGGTCCAGGGCCTTAAAGCCTAATTATCTCTCCGCACAGGCTTTCCCATTTGAGGGATTCAGCCCTCAGCGAGACCCCTATAGGCATGCAGGAAAGACTATGGAGGCTGAATTTTTAGGCAAGGTCGTGCCTATCGGTCCCTCTCGTGCCCTCCTCCTGATCAATACAGGCCATGGGGCCCTCTGTTGAGGACTTTTTGTAGCAAACATTGCCTACTGTACAGACTTATTTCGACATTCTTATCAGAGGACACCACCATGTCTAGGACCATTCAAGGTACCACGAACGCATGAAGTCAAGGTTGAACCTGCATTGACATGTCAGTTCATCTCTGACAAGGCGCTGATCGGCAGACATTTGGCCCTGGTACTGGTGGTTAATTTTTTGGCATACTTTCTCCACCGAAATCAAAACGGCGATCCCTTGCAAAACTGCAAGGAACCGACCGCCAGACCAGACCAACTTGAGCTTACGGGCCCAGCACATCCTGGCTTCAATCCAGGAAATCCCACGCCTCGAGGTCTTGGATCACCCACTTGATCTCTTTGGCCCACCACTGCCCGTCATCTCTGCCAGCTCGCTTCTCCAGTGCCAGGCTCTGGAGTCTGGAGGGTGTCCTCCCTGCCCTGCCATTGCGGCTCCCAGCACCAAAGCACCATCGCCTGTTTTGACTCGATTCTCTCAATTCTCCCACCGTCTGCACGTCTCGAATTTGTCCCCGTCTCCTCCACCCACCTCACGACCGCAACCACGATTCATACCCGCTTCTTACGACGCCTCGATCCAGATCTGACCCAAGAACAATCCATTATATCCTGCGCAAAGACCCGTCCGATTGACACACACAATCTCAGGTCCGTGCGACCTTTCGTCCTGGCATGACATCCGTTGGCTCTGTGCACGGGGCCATTGGCTAACGCCTGTGACACCATATTGAAAAAGTCCACACGTCAATCAATCTTGGAGATTCTACAACTCCATCGCCCGATCGGGCTTTGACCATCTATTCCCATGGCTGGGTTTGCGCATGCCCACCAACACACCCACCCTCCTCCCTACGGCTACGATGCCCCTCCATCTCCAACTCTCACAAACCCGGACATGATCCTGCCATACAATCCCTTTCTTTCTACCAGTCCGGTGCCTCTCCCATCCTCTCCCACCCTGCATGTTATATCATCTCCTCCCCCGCGGCCAGACTCGGCCGTGTCGCTGAGCTCCGCTCAAGGCGACCCAGAACTTCCTCTCGAGTTTGGAGTCGCTACGCCAGTTCGCCTGCCCCTTCGATCCGTCCCGCCCCTCAACACAGATTTCAATAACTACGAACACGGAGCCCCTCTGAGCGACATTGGAGAAGAGGCGACTCCAGTCTCAACGAAGAGTATGATCAGCTACACCTCCACCGTGCCAGACCCCCCGTCTCCCACCCCCGCCGCCCGCACCCCTGTCCTGACGGATCGACCGAGAACACTCTCCTCGTCGAGCAGCGGGTCCGATGTTGGCGACTGGGAAGACTTCGACACCTCCAGGATCATGAATGGACGGTTGGCCGCCGATGTCGCCAAAGCAGAAGAGGAGGATGCCGACGCGAATCCCAGTAAACGGAATAGCGCCATCACCACGACTGCCGAAGACGACATGGTGTTGCTCAACGAACGTGCAGAGAGGATTCTCGAGCATGCGAGGGAGAGACTGGTGAGCATGGAGGACAATTTGACCAAGGCGCGCCATAGCATTCTCATGTCACCCCGATCATCCCCCAACATGAACGACGTTCACCAACCTGCTGGAGGGCTATATCGCTCCATCTCACTGGCGGGGATCAACAACCGAAAGTCTCGATCTCTGTATCCCTTGGTCAGGATCAATTCGGTAACCCACTCGAGAGGTGGCAGCGACTCCACTCCCAACACTGCGCTGAAACGTTTGTCCATTATTCCAGAGAGATCGGCAAGCGCCTTGGAATATGGACGACGGCAAGAACCACCACACCAGTACCAGCATAACCCGCAGCAGCGGTTGTATCAGGAGCATTCTCCATCATCCCGCTTGGTCGGCAATTCTCCAGCAAGCAGCAGTCGGACTTTCAACTCTCCACTCCGGACGCTGAAGGAAGCCGACGCCACCCCAGATACACCGAGCAGCTCCAACACTTCGCCAGAAAACTTCCATCCACGCGGTCTTGGTATCAACACCCTCGCAGCCGGCTCCAAAGAGAACATATCCATGGTGACCAGCAGCCCGACGACCGCTATTGCCCGCTCTCCGTCAGCTACCTCGAGTCGATCGACCAAGGAGATTCGTGAGCAAATGACAGGTCTTCGAGCAAGAATTAGTGATCTCAAGGAGAAGGCTCAAGCTGATGGTGCATGGAGACGTAGTATCCAGAGTGCCCGGACTCCAAGTCCATTCACCAATTCTCAGAGCCCCGAACAATGGTACACCGGCTCTCCAGAGTACAAGGCGGCAAAGAGCCCCATAAATACAGATGCCGGTGTGGGGTGGAGTCCGACTCGACATCAGAGAGACAATTCAGATTCCAAAGTCCCTCCGTTGACTCCACAGGCGCAGACGTATCTTAATGTTGAGCAGCCGACAACCAACAACTCTCGGCTGCTCAGTGAGGCCAGGACCGATAAGAATACCCCTAGCTTCCACAAGTCTATCCCCTTGGCCGACCTCACTGCGGTCAACCCACACTCGGTGATCCAAGAGTCGCATTACGAGGATGCCGCGCAGCAATTGGACGACGATGATGCCATTGCCGCTTCGGAGGAGGAACAGATCTACCTGAATGAGGTGCTTCAGGAAAGCCTTGAAGAAATCGAGCCCGAAGTGCCCGAAGTGCCGGATCACTTGCTCAACGATGGCGCCGCTGAGCGACACGAGGATAGATTGGATGCTTTTGATTATGAAAACATGTTTCTCCACAGCGCCATGGGCAATTACAGTGGAACGGGGACGCGAAGCCTGACCCCCAGCGAAAGTGACGGGAGCAGCGTTGTCACGACACGAATGTATCAAAACACGCCCTCAGATGATGGCGAGGATGACGGTGACGAGACTGCGGTAGATATCAGGGATGATCAGGCATCTACACCTGTTCAGGAGTTGTTCCCTCAGTCGGTAGTGGTGGGTCAGTCGCCACTGCATCTTACTGCCCCTCCCAAACCGTGGATGAAGAGCCTACGAAGCAACAGTATGGACTCGCTATCCACACAGGCGACATTTGCCACGGCCGCGGAGGACGATGCAGTGGATGCCCGTGCCGGCGCAGGTGAGGGCGAGGATAGCGACGACGAGACTCCTGACGAGATTCTGCAATGGGGCAATGGGGCCGGGACAGGGTTTCCGCAACCGCCTGTCAGTCCACGTCGGGATCGGGCGACGTCAAACTGGCCCATACCCACTCTTGCTGAGCGAAGTCAACCAGATCAAGACGACTCTCCGCAGAAAGCGGCCACAACGCGGTCGGTCTTGGCCAATGGGAATCCCACTCCACCATGGTTGTCGCCACAAGCCAGCTTTCCGGCTGACCACGGACCGCCAGAGACGCAGCAGCACCACCCGCCAGGAGGGTTGACGAGCGAACCGCCTGTGGATCATCCTGCCAACACCGAGATCTTGATGGAGAGTCTGATCAAACTGGCCGACCCCGATTTCGGTACCAGGGACATGCAAGGACCGATGCGCTTCTCTGAGGTCGATAAAGACCTCGTTCTGGATCTTCTCCGTGCGGTTGGAGGGGTCTGTAATAATATATTGAAGGCGGAACGCAAACAGGAGGTTCGGACCGTCAAGGTATTGAGACGACGACTGGACGAATCGAGGAAGCTGCTAGAGGGGCCAGGGGAAGACTAATGGAGGAGGATGGGGGCGAATCCAGACTGTCGGGTCGGATTGACGTGATGTTTACGAGAGGCGCCCATCATCGAGTGCGATATTTCCGGGATGGGAAGGCTACGGCTTGAACTCGGGCTTGAGCCCCAGAAGACAGTGAGATGTTGATGTGGACCAGGTGAGAAGACATGTCTTGGATTTGAATGTTGATATTGAGGTATATACCCAACGGTGTGTCTTTTGTGGCCAACTCATGATACGGTTTGATTATGCTTCTTTCTCGATCCATTTGACAGGCGGCCAAGTCGCCAGTGTGTAACAACGCGCTTATCCGGCCTCTGACGCGGAGCGGCGGACAGAGGGGCGAGATCCCTGGGCGCGCTGAGGCTGAGTTGGAGGGCGTGAAAGATGGACTGATGGTGGGTCATGTAGGAAGCAGCCGCCATCGGCGGAGGGAGCAGAGATGGGTCCACATATCGGTCATCGTGCTATGCGACTCATCCTTGCAAACTGCACAATTGACCAATAAAGTCTGGCCACCGAGGACGCGGGAGGTGAATGGCGAGTCGACGTTGGTGCGAGATACGAGGCTGATCCTGGCCATTAAGGTCCTGGGTCAAGTTTCTCAAATCTGAGATCAGATTTCTTGGCAATCACGACCAGGGTCAGTCTCTGGGGGAAGGCAGGTGCCAGTCAACTTGGGGGAAGGAACTACCCATCACGACAACGACAACTGATAACAACACGGATGGCAACCGCGCCCACCAGGCCCACCAGGGGCGGACCTTCCTCAGGCTCAACCAGCCGACCAACGACCAACGACCAACGACCATCGATCATCAACTGCAACTTGTAGCCAGCCTCTTGAACCTCTGTCACCACCAACGTCCAACTGGCTCTTCTTTTGCCCATGAACCTGTGTGGAAATTCGCAAAGCCAGTCACTCTTGCTGCCTAGTGGCTTGACACTTGGGCTCCCGCGCGTGCCACTACTGGAAGCTGCTTCGGTCATGCAACCTGAAGTCCGCACTGCAGTTGTATGTTCAGACGGCCGTCAACGATGATTCAAGCCTACAACGAGAGAGAGCAGCCTACCAATATGACCCGGATGGTCATAACAACACTTCTCCCATCGTCGAAAGGCATGGTGAACTGGCGCTAGCAAGCCATCAATTTTGAGTTCACCTCACTCATCAATGCTGCCCATCCACTAACCCACTGTACCTCCAGAATATAGGCCACCCCAACGCCTGGCACTGAGGTTTGACAGTGGCGTGCCCCTAAGCAGAATCAGGAGACCAGATGACCGCCCCTGTGGTGACGTGCATATGATCGATCCTGGCGCGCTCTCTCTCTCGAACCAGCCAGGAAGCCATTAGCTGCTCAGGCCAACATATTGGGCTATTCAAATCCGCCTCATGTCCACATTGGTCATGACTAAATAGACCCCTGCTCACCATTGCTTGCTCCAACCCCAGGTTGGTCTAACCTTCGATTCTTGACCAACCGATCACCCAACATCTCGCTTCCCCTCCTCGCTCCACCACCTCAGATCTACCCATACATGGCCATTTGGCGTGAGGAAAGCTCCATTCTGCTGAGTGTTCGGTTGTCATGCTGGAAGGAGGCGTCTTATTTGGCCAATCGCTTCTGGAACAAGATCGAGATGCTGTCTGTTTTGTGAGCAGACGGAATATCAAATCTCGAAGTGGCAAGTCCACAGTGGAACATGTTGGTACAAGCTAGGTCTGCATCTACTTCTGGCTGGCTGGCCCAGGGTTGTGCGCGTATGGTTTGATTCCTTAAATACTCTCATCCTCCTTGTTAGATACTTCTCTCTCTCGTCACCGTTCTGTCAACTGTAGGTGGAATACTGGTTTTAAATTGCTACCACACGTGCTTGGACAGTTATCACATCTTGCATTGATTGTTCACATCCAACGGCGGCACCTTGTTTTGCAGCATCTTCAGCAAAACACACGTGGTCAGATTCTCGGCCCTCAAAGCAGAGCCAGACGATTGACCGACCAAGAGAGGCGAGGCTTCTCAATCAGGGGAACGATGGAGAAACACAAGATATACCCTCAAGGCAACATACTTCCCCCGATATCAGACCTCCTGAGGACCGTGCCTTCTAGGCCGGCTTTTCTCTACCCACGGGACTCAGAAAGAACACAGTCCACCTTACCTAATTCACTCATTCTCATGACCATGCCCCAACATGACAGCGTTCCACATTATGCTGGAAGAAGATCCCCTTGGCGGGACATGGATCTGCCAGATGGAAGAAGCGACCACTCCTTCACCGGGAGCCTCTCTTCAGTGGCCTATTCCATCACCGCCCCCGCCTCGATATCTTCTAGTGCAGGTGAGGAAGACTCAGACGGCTTTGCATTACTTAAAATTCTTCTCCGAGAGGATCGTCCCGACATGGACGCCGTTAGGCAATGCATCTCCGACATCCTGGACGACAACGTCAGACCAGCCCATAATCAGGGATGGTACCGCCCTTGCAGCCCTGATAACCAATTTGCTGCCGAATTAGAACCATGGATCCGAGGTCAAAGCATGAATGAACTAGTTGAAACATATTACAAACGAGACCCCAACCGAGCGACTTATGGTGAGCGGGTGACAATTCCGCGTCGCATCGGGACCAAGGACAAGTCTCAAAGTCCGGAGATGAGCATTGGCATGTCTGAGGAGGAACTGAAAAAGGACCTGGTCAAGCCTGTACCCGTGCCCGGGGTCAGGAGAGAAAAGACTCATGCAGAGAAGGAGCAGGAAAGACGAACCCATCATCGGGAACTCCAAAAGGAAGGGGATTTTAGATCTCCTGATATTGTTGTGGTGTGTGGCATCGAACATGCAGATAAAATGAAGGAGACCAACACGCAACGAGCAAAGGGTCCCGGGAAATACGAGCAACTCTGTATGGCCATTCTCTCTCAAGAACTCGGCGGTCGAGTGGTACAGTCAGAGCATGACGGGCGACTTAGGGCCGAGCGGATTGTGTGGATGCTGCTCGACTGGATGCTTCGCCAGACATTGTCCAGGCCAGGGGGCAACCATTGCGGGCCATTTGCCCGTCTGCGTGAGCACCAGCCGACCGAAAGGAACATCGATCAACCTGCCCGTAAACGAGGACCTGATGAGCTCGAGGAAGAGAAGGTATACAATTGGCGAGATGTGCATCTGGAGAGCGACAGTGACAGCTCGACTGGGTCGCGGAAACGGTACAGAAGCTTGCATCATCCGCATCCTACGCCACCCCTCTTACAGAGCCTTCCCCCGTCGCCAGCAACAAGTTCAGAGTCGATGCAACCGCGGATTTTTCTTGGTGGATTGATGTCAAGTCACGATAGGCACCGGCTTCTGCATCCCTGATGACTCCCGTGAACACGCCCAACCAAAACGGCAATAACTGTACAACACACATGGCCAGCTAACGACGACCAACATTCGACATATTTCGGGATCCCGGGTGTAAAATCAAGCAGAACCAGATTATATTTGACGACATTCTTGCAACTGTACTATTACTTTGGCCATTTTTGGACGAGGCAGGTTTGCTTTCAGATCAAATGTCGAGAAGACCCTAAAAGCGGTACTATGGGAGCTAAAAGCACAAGAGACGAGCATTGGATACTGCTGGTCATGATTTGACAATTCACATTTGCTGTTTGAGAATCAGAAAAAGTCCATCGAGGTATCTGGGCTTATCCCTCCACAGAGAGGCGTGAATGTATGAAAAAGGGGGCATGTTGGCGAGGATGGTTGCACAAGCGTGTTAATGATCTGCCGTATTAAAAGTCGAGGTCTACGGAGGAGGATACTCGCGAATGTGCAGTAGTGGGAACTGGAATACGAGTACTCCGTGATTGCCTCCTGCACTCTAGCACTCTAGGTCCCTCTAGGCATCCTTATTTTAACCAGTAGTGCCTAAATCAAATGATATTACAGTAGTATGGAGTTGTCCAAATTGGACCTCCCGCGCCCTGGGCGCCCTGCCCCAGTAATCCGACTTTGAGCAATTCAGGGATTGAGCTCCTACGGCTTTTCCCACCAAGGATCGAGAGGTTTGGAGGATTATCATTGGATGCTGACTTGAACAATTCCAATTGCCACCTATGGTGTGCTTGCTGGTTTACAGGGCTACAGGGTTCCAGGGCTCTAATAATTACCTAAGTAATTGAACTTCTCCCAGTGGCCCCCCGCCCCCCAAAGACTCAGAGTCCAAGACTCTCGGGAGGCGACTTAGAGCCCGACTCAGGATGCACAGTCACCTAAAAGTTGAGAGGTGGCCCTGAAAAGTGTTCGCATCTGAAAGACTTGCTCCCTCAGCGTTGACTGGACCGCCTTTTGGTCTCCTGTCACCAAGGAACCTGAAGTCTGTCTTATCCGCAAACTTGGAGGCATCCCAACGCTTCTGATCCACACCACCACCACCAACTCCTCCTCCGACAAAAGAGTGTAATAACATCATTGCATCTTTTTCATCTCATTCTGACCCCGACGTCCACCCACTTGGGCCATTTGTACATTACTCTTCCTAAATACCGTCGAATTCTAGGGCTGCTAGCTCGTGCTCAATCCACCAGCGCAGCTGCAACTGTCCGACCGCGCCTGCCTCGAATCTCATACGACCTCATTCGCACCTTCTTGTCCCTATCGCAGTCGCACTTGCACTTGCGTCGACTCCGTCCCTTTCCAATCTCGATTCGATCCTCGACTTCAACCTTGGATCACATCCTCCTAGCGAGGCTCTTTGTGGTCCTCCCTTCGTCTGATTGACCCATCCAAACTCCGACACCTGTCCATCCCCTGGACCACCTCAAACATGCTGCTCGGAAAAGGCAACGTCACATGGAAGTCGGCCAAGAGCAGGTTACCACCATGGAAAGCCGTCTTGATGTTCCTCACTCGGACACGATTCCTCGTCGCCGTCTTGCTGACGGGGCTCATCATTCTACTATGGAGAGGGATCACCGTCTCGACACAACAAATGTCAAAGTATGCTGCTTCTGCCTGATACACCGTTGCAATGTCCGTGTTAACCCTCGCCCACAGTTTTTACTGTTTTGGCCCTGCCAAACCTCCCATCGAAATGAGCAATAACGAAATGGTCGCCTGGAACCAACACCTCCAGACCCCGATCCTTTTCAACCATCATCAACCCTACGAGGTCAACTCTACCACCATCCAACGTATTGACCTCAACCCCATCGCCTCTACCCCCAGAGCTCTTAGCAACAAAGAGCGCGTCCTCATCCTCACTCCTTTGCGCGATGCCTCCCCCTACCTCATCAAATATTTCGACCTCCTGACCGAGCTGACCTATCCGCATGAACTTATCGACCTGGGTTTCTTGGTTGGTGATTCTTCCGACGACACCCTAGCCGTCCTCGCTGCAGAACTCGACAGAATTCAACAAAGGACTGATGCAATCCCATTTCGCAGCGTTACCATTGTGGAAAAGGACTTTGGCACGGATTTGAAAATGGACGTTGAGTCAAGACATGGGTTCGCCGCCCAGGGCCCGCGAAGAAAGCAGATGGGCAAGGCTCGAAATTACTTGCTCTCGGCAACCATGAAGCCAGAACATTCTTGGATCTACTGGCGTGACGTCGACATCGTTGACAGCCCTAAGAAGATCATCGAAGATTTTGTCGCGCACGATCGCGACATCTTAGTTCCCAGTGAGTGACTGAACGACCCCCGGTTGTACCGGAACTCCTATATAGCTGACACATAACCTTTCAGATGTCTGGTTCCATCGCTACGACCAAGGCCGCGACATTGAAGGTCGCTTTGACTACAACTCTTGGGTTGAATCCGACAAGGGTCGCAAATTGTCCGCTTCCCTGGACAGAGATGTCGTTCTTGCCGAGGGATACAAAGAATATGACACCGGCCGGACATACATGGCCCGCATGGGTGATTGGAGAAACAATAAAGATGAGGAGATCGAACTCGACGGCATCGGTGGTGTCAATATCTTGGTCAAGGCCGACGTCCATCGATCTGGTAAGTGAAAACATCAATCACCGAATCTTGGGCATGACTGATAGACTCAGGAATCAATTTTCCCTCGTATGCTTTTGAGAATCAAGCTGAGACGGAAGGCTTTGCCAAAATGGCCAAGAGAGCCGGTTACCAAGTCTACGGTTTGCCTAATTATGTTGTTTGGGTAAGTTAATATGTGAATCGTTCTTAATCGTGGACACGGGCTGATCAACCTGCCATACAGCACATTGATACAAGAGAAAAGCCTGGAAATGCATAGACGTCGAGGAAATGATTTCCTCTTTTGCAAAATGGTCGGGGATCTCTGTCGCACACGCGAAAGGTCCAACCGCTGATTGGGGTGGCCGTAGAACGATAACATATTCATGGTTATCTCTACGGCGGCAGACCTGGTGTCAAGGTCGATGCCCAAGTTTACGACGGATGCACAGGTTAATCTTTGGAAGGGCGCCGATTGGGTATGGGCACCACCCGGCGCTCTAGACGTGTATATCCTGCCCCAAGCTGCCTTCGTCTTCCGGAGACGTGGGGTCGGTTATTAGGAGGACGGGGAGAGCGATGTTTCGGCGTACTCGGGGATTAAAACGATGCACAATATCATGAACTTGATCACTATGAATTTAGTAAGCAACTCGAGTCTGTGTGGACCAAATGTTGGTTCAAGGCTGCAACTGCATGCATCGACAACAACATGCCCTCCTGGGTCTAAGCTAAGGGGGAGAGACTTGCCCTGTCAATGAAAGTCGTTGGAAATGCGGGAGATGTACATGATGGTGAGGTGGGAGGTTTACATGTAGACACGTCTAGGTTGAAGTTCTTTGTTCATATTCGTATTCGCGTCTATTTCCACTCATCTAATAAGACTTGTTTCGAAATATACACGCTTATCTTGTGAGATGGAGACAATGATTCGCATCTCTAACAACCTCGAATTTACGATCAAGAGCGATCATACAACAAAAAGCTTGCTCATCTTATCATACCCCAAATCCGTCATTCATTCATTCATTCATATTCCCCAGTAACGCCCAGACACCGCTCGCTTCGGTAAATGTCGCTTCGCTGCAATGAACCCTAAAATTATGAAAATGTCGAAGATCAAAACGAGAAAGCCTAACAATCCAACCACATGGCTCCGTTCAAAGCGTGGTCAAGAAAAGATGGTGCTCTTCTCCTCCCCGGTCATTGGACCAATCGTGATCTCATCCTCTATTCCACCACTCGCGCATGCTGCCGTCAGGCTGTGGCATTACTGGTGGGGTTGCGGATGGTCCAACCCCATAAGAGCCCTGCTGGTACCCTTGGAAAGATAGCTGATGTTGAGGGAAGTTCGTCTGCTGGATTGGTGAGAAGGGGGATTGAGGTGTCGGTTGACCAAATGGAGTTTGTGAGGGGACACCAAATGGAGTCGTTGACGCTTGACTATACGGAGTCTGCGAAGGCGGAGAGTACATGGTTGCTGGGGAAGAGTAGTACATGTGGGCGTGTGGGCGGACGGGTGATGAGATCGGATTGGAGTTTGGTAGTGGCGAGTTGGAACCACTATTGTTGATAGCATTGCCAAGTTCAATCAATTCTGCCATGCGACCTCCCGGAGTCTCATTTTCAATCACGTCTGCTTCATCCTGGCGAGAGGGCGTAGAAGTATTCAATGGGCGGTTAGAATCTTGTACAGGAAGCGGAGACGCGCTCTTTGACTCAGGCGGTGGTGACTGGCTGACACTTTGCGTCCGTACGGGTGTGCCGGATGCGGCTCTATTACTGACACTACCGCTGCGACTGACGTTGCCGCTCAAGTTGGAAGGCTTGTACTCGTCCCAGTTGCGTCGACTGACGGGAAGGCGATCTGGAATGCCCTCGTCCCAAGTGGAACCGGTTTTATGCTTGAGAACAGGTCTCAGATTCGAGCCTGCAGTGACTTCGACGCTCGCACGTCGATTGTCAGATGGAGGATCATTCCATGACTCTTGTGGCCGCCAACCTGTTCGGGCATCATTGGCTTCCTGCTGGTCGCGTAAGGTCAGGATGGGTCGGTCTTCGATGGAGCCTTGGTCAATGTCGGTGCCGGTGCGCTGAATATCCAACGAGCGAGTCTCTCGCCCGATTCGTCGTTGTTCATCGTACTCGTCTCGGAGTCCTTCCCACCTCTGATAGTTCTTCACGCGCTGTTTTTCGCGCTTATGCTGTACAATGCCTTTGTGGCCGAGATAGATGGAGCCGAAGATGAGAGAAGTCATGGTCTTGACTGGGCAGCCAATTCCGGCTCAGATCGGATCGCTTTCTATGACCGTCTCAGTCAACGATAGAGGTGAATTGATTTGAATTCCTATGCTGGGAGCTTTTCTATGAGTGTTCAAGTGGATTGGCGACAAGAAAATACTCCTTTTGTCCTTTGAGCTGGACTCCCTGATGTTGAGGATACTCGATGGGTTTCCCCGCGGACCTGTAGAGAAATGGAGAAACGCGGATCAAAGGGACAGTAGTGGAGGAGCCTGTGGGCAGTCGATTGGAAATGAGAATTGATGGGCTAGTTCGTAGGATATATGTGCATGGGAGAGACGAGGAGACTGAGAAAAAGCAAATACTAGGGTGTTGTATATATTATAGACTCTTTAGAGGGAAGGGGGAAGAAGGTTAGGGTGTCGCCACGAGATGATGACAATAAAGGGCAGATTGGAGAAGACCGGCGCAGAACTGCGGTGGGCTAGACCGATAGGGCCAGATGTCCCCGGGCAGCAACGGGTCATCATAATGACAGATAAATGACTATCTGGCTGAGTCGGTAGCTGGGACAAAGTAGCATACCTGGCCAGCGGGAGAATGGAAAGGCACGTTTTTGCGATCGTCACGCGACGAATCAAGTGGCGAACGATGGTCTCTGGCGGGGAGATTCCAAAAGCATCCGGATTCTTCTGCGAAAGACCATTGTGACTTTGTACGGTGGTTTTGAGAATTCTTCCTCAGCCTATCTCATTCTTCCAGGCGAACCGCAATCGATGCCGATGCCAGAAATGCATAAGAAACGGCCGAAGTGGGCCCCGGAAGACAAGGAAAAGAAGAGTAAAAGAGAGGTCAGAGGGAAAAGATGCGCAACGATGAGGTCAGCAAGCCTTCGACGTCATTGGGTTGGAACGGAGAGTTTGCCCTTCTGGGAAGGGTCTGGAATTTGGACTCAGGCCTGAGGTAATTAGGCGCATAAACTCCTAACTGGGTGGGTGGTTGATGTGCTGGTCAAGGCGAGTTCGAGGGTCGACCCGGTGGAGGAAGAGAAGCTAATCGACAAGATCGTCGTGCCAATTTTGAAGTCAAGAATATGCAGATATATATCCTTGGTCAACTTCCTTGATTTCTGCCAATTGGGCTTTGGGTTCCTGTTCCGTACACTGAGAAGGTAAGTTGGTGTTGAGAGAGAAATGGAGCATGGAAGCCTAAGATGACGACCTGGGAGTCGTGGTTGGAGGCAGTCGCAGTCCAGCCCACTACAAGATCTAACCCAGGTCCCTCTTTCCTTTTGCCTCCAGTCCTGTTGGCACGAGAAAGCAGGCAGGTGCAGGTGGGACAAGTCGGCTCTTTCCTTCCACACATGATTTGGACCATTGCCTCTCGCTGGGTTTCTGCATTGTTGTAAAAACACGTGCCACTCTAAAGAGAGAACTCGAGGCATCAATTAATAAACACAGATCCTACATGTCCCTGATCATGTCCCTTAACCTTTGGATTCGATTTATCCCGCAGCCTGAACGATGATGAAATCATGAGTGATTTCATGGGCGGTCCCGCGGCCAGGTGGAGAAATACAAACAACATCACGTGTTATCGGCCAGAATAACGGGTTACTCCGCATGGTAACTCGATTGGACGCTATTCAAAAGATGAATCGACGAATTCATCATTACACACCACTCCAGACATTTGATTCCACCTCCTCCATGGAAAGTTTGCCCCAATTGTCCCTTGCTTGATACATTGTCGATACCACAAGCAACATGGCTCGAGTCAACACGCCAAAAGCATCAAACTGGAACCCTCGTGTGAGCCCTCTAGCCCTTGGGGAAAGACCCTGCTCTGACACTTAGACAACAGACCGTCACAGCTCCCATTGCTGCCCTGGTAATGGCTGGCCTCCTCTACACATACTCAGTGACCTCTATCCGAGCTGCCAAGCGCAATGCTAGGCTCCACCGAGAGGCTGACGGCGGTCAACTCGACATGCGCAAAGAGAGCCTTCGCAGGCACGGGGCTTTGAAACCGGTCGAGGGGACCTCTGGCCTGGAACTCTTTACCCAGGCCCGCTCGGATGTCAAATCAGAGTCAAAATACCTGACTGAAAAGAAGGCCAAACCATTAGGAGCAAATCAACACGAAGAAGTCGGTCACCCTCGTACTGAGAACGAAAGCAAGCTCGAAGGGATGCGAGACCTGGGTGCATTGGAGAAGTGGAAGCAAGAGCAGTCCAAGTCCTGATGTGTGCACCTTGGATCCTTCAATCGATACAGAGTTTTTGGGTTGATTGAGTTGAGTGATCACAACACCGATTCTGATCGAGTGGAATAGTCCTATCACCTCTCTCTTCAAGCATTCGCCTGCCCCTCTCTACTCCGCCTCAGCGAAGAGGCTTCTCGGGACCGATAGGTGGTTGAATCCCAGGATCGCCTTTAGCCACTGCTCGTTGATAAGCAGTCCGTTCGGTCACGCGCTTCAGGTAGGCCAGGACGGAGTCGTAGCCGGCGAGGCTAAATGGAAGAAACATCTTCATTGTTGTCAATGCACAGACGTTCATGATGTCTGCAGCGGTGAATTCGTCGCCCCCAAGCCACGTGTTGGTGCGGAGTCGGTCCTGGAGGATCTGCAACGATTTTTCAAATCCGCGTAGGGCAAATCTTGCTCCCACATCGCTTGGCGGGGGTTAGACCGCGAGATTTAGCTGTGGAGGCGGGTTGCGGGTTGCGGGTTGCACGTAGCCATCGCCAAAATGCAAGAAATACAGATAGTCTGGATAGTTGGCAGCTGTTGGAGAGGTCAATAAGTTTCCCCGGCCATCCTTGGTCAAAATATATTCGACGATAGCCCTTGATTCTGCGAGAGTGACGGTTCTATCTTGGATCACTGGAGCAGTTATGTTATAGAGGCCATGGCCTTGACACCAAAAGTACCAACCATCTACATGTGTATCGATACTGTCATGCGCCAGCTGCCTATTCGTAACAGCAAGGGCCTAAGGTAGCCCCTAGTAAGAGGCAAATATTCTCGAGTTAGGTTGTTGGGTGTCGCCTAATATCTCACGTGTCTCTATAGCGCAGGATCATGGTGTAGGTAGTACACACACACACACCCACCCACTGATAATCTGGGGGAAGGCACGGGGAAATCCCTCGACTCGCCAATCGTGATGCAAGCAAGGCATGTTAGGCACGTGCAGATGAACTAAACAGGAAGGCAGCCCAGAGAATGGGATCACACGTGTCTACGAAGTTACGCTGCACGTTCCCCATTCCCCGTTTTCTGTTAATTTCTCTTGTACCAAGGTCTCCTTTCCATTATCCTCGTCCCCTGTTGTATTTGAGCATTCATACATATACAATGACCACGCTGAAAATAACCTAATCCCTGGAGAACATTGTGCCCACTGCAGCAACTAATTGCCTCAGGTCCCTGTCAGTTGTCTTTAATCCCCAGGATCCACAACTCCAGTTATGACGCATCCTGTCGAGTCTCTTCGAGTAGAGCCCCTCTGCCCAGGAAGCTTACCTGCGCTTGCCTTCTCGCCTCGCACGTTCGCTCGCTCGCTGATATTTTCCACGCCCCATCTCGGTTGTACTTACTCACCACTTTGCAGACCCTTCCTCAGTCGCCGACTCACAAGTCCCCAACCAGAGGGCCTCAAACTTTCTTCTCCCTTCCCCTCCCACCGCGCTACAAGCTCCAGCCCAACTTCAACACTTCCTCATGTTGTCTTCTCCAGCCAGGAATCCGTCCAAACTTGTCCAAAAAGTATGAAACTACTGGTTATCCCCAGTCACCTGACGCGCTGAACCTCTTCAACTCCGCACGACTACATGGGCGACAAGCGACCGTTCTCCTTCTACTCCCAATTTTTTTCTTGCTCATTTGTCTGCGCCTCTACGCCGACAACGACCCATTACAACTGTCATTCTTTATACCGTCGTCAGAATGCCTTTCACAGACAAATCACTAATGCCTCTCGTCTGCTGAAATCCCCTCCATCCTCCTTCCTCGAGCCCGATATGGTGACGCACCTTGGCAGATCTCGCCTCTTGGCCAACGTATAGCATTGCCATCGGCAGCCTTCTAAATCTCCAACCTCGCTCTCGTTGGCAGGCATGGTACCAGACAGGGGGCCAGTCACCTCCGCCGTGACCTTGGTCATGATCGTGATTGCCACCGTCTTTGTCGCCGCAAGATTCTTCACCAGGATATGGTTGGTAAGATCCGTCAAACAAGACGACTGGTGGATTCTAGCTGCTTGGGTCTTCGCCGTGGGCTTCTCAGCCTCGATATGTGTCGCTGTCAAGTATGGTCTGGGCCGCCACAAGGTCGACATCCCCGAGTCCTCCTTCCCGTCGTTGCGAAAGGCCGAGTACACCTTCTCCATCCTCTACAATCCGGCCCTCATGCTCACCAAAACCTCGATCATTGCTTTCTTCCTCTCTGTCATGAGCAAGGATGTTGATCCCGTCTTCAAATGGTGTAATTGGTTGACCCTTGCCGTCGTCAACGTCGTCGGCTTGGCCTTGACCTTTCTCAACATCTTTCAGTGTCGACCTATTGCCGCTGGCTTTCAGTATCCCACCCCCGCCGACGCCAAGTGTACTGACATTGTCACCCTGTACCTATCCTCCGCGCCCGTCAACATCATCACCGACATTGCCTTGATCTTTTTGCCCATGCCAATTCTCACCAAAATGCGACTTCCACGCAAACAGAAAATCATCTTGGTCGTGACTTTCAGTGTTGGCATCTTTGTCGCCATCGTTGATGTTATTCGCATTGCCTACCTTCAGAATGCCACTCTTAATCGACTGTCATCCCCCGATGCCGAGTCGTCCCGTCACCGCATTGTGGAAGACAATGACTTCTCTTGGTATGCCAGCCTCAGCTTCATGTGGTCCGCGGTCGAAGTCAGCCTAGGCATAATCTGTGCCTGTGTGCCCAGCCTCAAAGCCCTGTTCTTGAGGTTCATGCCGCGCTTCATCAAGGACGATGGTATGACCTCAAATGACAGCTTCGAAGACTCACCTCCAGCACCAGCAAGTGTCCCTTCTAACAACAATTTCTCCGGCAATGCATCGATGCTCAACAATCCGGCTGCGTTCAGGAAACCAAGCGTCAAGGAATACGTGGGCGATGACGACGGCGACCAGATGGGCTTCCTCAACATGCTCTCGGGTCCGGTGGAAGACGATCACCTGCAGCTATCCAGAACAACAACGACACTATCTCGTCGAGCCACCAACAAGAGCACCGCCTCAGATTTTGGCTTTGTCAAGATGTCAGGACGCAGAAACATGTTGAAACTGAGCAATCGGGAAAGTCTTTGGCCTATTGCCGTGGTGACGGTGATTTTTTTCTTGTGGGGATTCGCGTACGGTCTACTTGACACACTAAATAGTAGGTTTCAGCAGGTTGCTCACCTATCGACACAAGAGGTTCTTGGCCTTCATGCTGCATACTTTTCGGGATATCTGGTAGGACCCTTGACGCTTGGTCGCTTTATCATGAAGCGTTATGGATTCAAAGCCACCATGATTGTGGGTCTGAGTGTGTATGGGTGTGGGACCTTGGTTTTCTGGCCATCGGCCGTCTTAACCTCGTACGGAGCCTTTATCGTTTCCAATTTCATCGTGGCGTCGGGTTTGTCGTGCCTGGAGATTGCGGCAAATCCCTACACTGCCTTGTGCGGTCCTCTCGAATATGCTGAGGTGCGCTTGAATCTGTCCCAAGCGTTTCAGGCAGTGGGTACGATTTGTTCGCCACTGCTCGCAGCCAAAGTCCTTTTCAAAAGTGTTGCCAGTGCAGCGTCCTTGGTGGATGTGCAGTGGACGTACCTGGGAATTGCCATCTTCGTCTTCCTCCTGGCGGTGGTGTTCTACTATATCCCATTGCCGGAAGCCACAGATGAACAGCTCGAGGAACTGGCAAATCGTCGGACAGCGGCATATAATGCCAAAGTTGGACCATGGAAAGTGGTCTACGTAACTTTGGCACTTGGGGTGGGCGCCCAATGGTTTTATGTGGCACTCCAAGAGTCGGTCGGCAACAACCTCCAGCCCCTCGTTCAACTGGTTCACCCAACTTCGAATCTGCGTCCTTTTGATTTCCAGACGATTGCACATACGGTCTTCGCCGCAGGAAGATTTCTGGCGGCCTTTCTCAATTATGTCATCAAGCCACGATACATTCTCGTTGTCCTTTATGTCGGGTTGATCACATGTTTGGCGCTGACTTTGCATCTGGGAGGGACGGCGGCAGCGGCTATTGCAGTCCTAACCTTTGCGTTTGAAGCGGGTATATTTTCTATCATCTTCGCCATCTGCATGCGTGGACTCGGGGCCCACACCAAGACGGGATCAGCTTTCATGACGGCGGCCATTTGTGGGGGTGCGGCTTTTCCACCATTGCAATGGGGCGTGGCAAATCATCGGGGACTGCAATATTCATACTGTATCCCCTTGGTCGGTGCGGCGTGCGGATTAGTATTTGCATTATACCTGAACGTGGTGCCCGCAGCACGGGTTCAGGTGGACCCTATCCACGAGCGAAGAATCGATCGACGGGAGCGGAGGATGATGCGGCAGGAGAGCGCGCAATCGATGCAAGATGCCAGCACACGACAGTTTGGATTGGGGGGGATCATGGCACGGCGTCGCAAGAAAAAGCAGGGCGAACAGAAACCCTCTGTGGAGCATGTGGAACGACAAAGCTTGGCATCACCGTCATCGACGGCGGGGGGAATATTGGATGTTTTTAAAGACAAAGGCTTGGACGAGCCTCCACCGGTGCAGTTGAAACAAACCAAAGGTCTAGTGGCCGAGCTTGCATTGTGGCCCGGTGATGAAAGCTCCGAAGCAAGCGGCAGCGGCAGCGGCAGTCGCAGTCAGCATCTGGATGGGGAAAAGCATGAATATAATGTTTCCGGAGTCAGCGGACGGGACAAATCACATGGAATGGGTACAGAGCTGCGTGTGACCAAACATCGGCCGGTATGGGATCGGGACAACGAGGATGATAGCGGAGATGAAGGGATCGACGATTATCACGCCATGATGAGGAGAATGTCCAAAGGGTAGGCAAAAGAATGGGGGAAATTTGAAGGCATTGAGATCTAGGCGGGTTTTTGTCAATCAAGTATCACTGCTGCGTTTTAGCGAGGGAGGCAAGTCCGATGGGGTCCCTGAGGTTGGGGACCCCTGGTATACTACACCGACTGTCAATGGTGTAAATAAAATATATAACGATCCTAAATTAAAGAGTAAAACAGTATTTGCATCGCGACCAAAGCCATCATCAGCCACTGTGCCAATGTATCTATGCCACATTGCCACATTGTAATGTTTTTGAAATCTCGACAGTTCAAGTGTTGTTGGAAAGTGGATCCAGCCATGCTAAGGATGGGATCTGCACACCTGACGTGTGCATATGCGTAGATATGCATGGCATCTAGGTTTTTCGCAGGAATCATTACATATGTATACCACACATGGAAGGTAGGATTCTAGAACGAGGTTGCCGGAAGTGGCCGAGATGTCAGTAGAGCAAAGTACGTATGGAGGAGCATGTCAGCATGGGTAGATGACCAAGAGTCGAGCAGATGGGCCATCGAACTGTACTGAAGAGAAAGAATAAGACTTGGCAAATGGATGAGATGAGTGGTGTGATTTCCGTGAAAGGGTCATGCGTGAGGAATTCCGTGCCAAAGAATCAATCAATCATTCTAAAGGTCCCAATACGGCCCGGACCAGAACAGACAACACCAGACCAGATGAGACGAAAATGTAATCACAGCCGGTGTCGGACAATGAAAAGGACAGGGAGTGTGTTTGGTCATGGACGACTGGGGCCGGATCATGTCCACATTATTGAATGTGTTGGCGATGGAACCTACGAGCACCGTACGTACCTACCTAGGTACTCTACTCCGTAAGTCTGTAGGTAAAAACACCATGAACGAATCGCTGGTGGGTGGCCAAATAGGATAAGACCAGGACCATGCCATACCATGTGTTGTGTTGTGTTATTTGTTGAGCACGAGTAGAATGCAGTCCAAGTTCAAAGGTCATGGCAAAATATCATGCAAGGTACACCGAATCCATTATCGATAACAGGGCGTGCAGGGCCACCAGAACATGAAATAAGCGTATCTGGCCCCGGTAAGGACTCGCCTAAAAGTACTTATTGGCCCCTAGCCTCGGCCAGTCACGCCAGTTCATCGCCCTTGGGCGCAAGCCTCATCACCACTTATCCAATTTAGGCGTGGGCTCGGCTGTACCTGAAAACACGTTGCGCTTGGGACGAATCAGGGTGGAATTCGGGGGTGTACCGGGGGTGGCAGAGGGGATCCCCCGTCGGGTGTGCATAATGGATACGGAGTACGGAGTACCTGCTTGAAAATTTTATCGAAGCTTGCAAACATGCATTGCATTGCATTGTATGGCACCTTGAGTTGTCATGTTGGGAGCGGAGGATTTGATTTTACTGCCATCTACTGCGAGTTTATGTGTGCTCTATGGAGGGGCTCTTACAATGTTTCTGTGGGAGTCACTTGTCGTAGGAGGTCGGTAACTAGGTCATATCAGTCACTGTCACTCATCCGATCAATCAGTGCCACGGCCCCATGAAGCATTAGCCATGTTCCACTCTGAACTCCATCTTTCAAAGAAAACTTCACAGACTCCGAGAAATCATTCCCTTCGAATTCCCAACTGGTCCAAGCCCCAAGGCCACTCCCGTCTCAGTCCGCACTCCCGAGTTCCACAATATTCACACTTTACAGCACTTTGACCCTGATGGATGGAGCGTCTTTGCTATCCACCAGTGCCACCCGCACCCATGGCGCTCTCTCTGAGAATTGCAATTCGAGTGCATTTTCCATCACTGATCCATGAGGACAACAGAAAGTGAATGCAGGATAGAGGATACAGCAGAGAGTGTGGTTCGATACAAACGTGAATGGCAGGCCATACATCGTGACCAACCAGCTCTTCTTTCATTCTTGGTTTCAAGTCTTTCTCCTCTCTCTTTATCCCACTACTACCGCAAACGCTTTCTTCCTTTCACTCTTTCTCTTGCACACTTCACATATCCTCGTGATCATTCCTTTCCTTGCCCATCGATTCATTTCGATTTCACTAGACTCGACGTCTTCTATACCTACATACTCATTCCTTGAGAGTGCTCTATCGACACAGGCTTGTCATCGCGACTCCTTGAACGCTCATTGCAACTGATTCAAGAATAAAATACTCACTCACTCACTCACCCATCTAAACCAATTGGACTCCATACTATCCATCTTGTTGACCAAGCTTCTCCCATCAAAATGATTGCCTTCAACAACATTCTTCTCGCAGCATCGCTGCTTACCTGCCATGTCATGGCCGGCCCTCTGGCTGTAAAGCGAGATGTCAAGACTTTTTATGAGACTGAATATATTACCGTTACTGTCACCGAGACAGTCACCGTCGGCGCCGGCGCAGCTCTGGTCACACCTCCTCCGGATCCTGCCACGTCTTTTGCATCCGGCGCAGCTGCCTTCCACGAGGAATCATCTGTGGTATCTTCGGATGCGTCAGAAGCACCTCCTGCGCCTCCTGCGCCCACTGACGCAGTCGAGCCACCTCCAGCTGTCCCCAAAACGGTCAGTGTCCAGCCCAAAGACACCCCAGGATCCTCCTCTGCGAGCTGTGAAGGTACTGGTAACCTTTGTGCTGGGGACGTCACTCACTGGGATGGAGGACTTGGAGCCTGTGGCTGGAACGTCAACACCGACTCCGAATATGCCATCGCCCTTCCCCATGGATTGATGGGCACTCAGTCCAACGGCAACCCCTACTGTGGACGTACGGTCACTCTGGTCAACCCCGTCTCTGGCACCACTGTGACTGCGACGGTTGGCGACAAGTGCATGGGTTGCGAGGGTCGTGCAATTGACTGCACCAATGCTCTTTTCAACGCCATCACCGACGGCAAGGGCGATGGCCGCATGGCTGGAATCCAGTGGTACTTTTCTTAAACCCACTCATTACCTACTTTGGAAAGTCCTTAGAGACTCAAACGAGCTTCTGTGAAGCTTCCTCCTTCTCAATGCCACCCTGGATGGATGATATGATGGATAGATCTGCATTCCAGGTGTTTGCACACGACATGGAAATGAAATGATATAACTGTGCCATCTGAGTCGAGTACCTGCCCCAGGTAGCTCGGCCAACGTTTATGACATACGATTGACGACGATTAGACGACATGGCAGAGGTTGGCTGGCATAGAGAGAACACATAACAGACACACGTGATAGACCCAACAGAAAATCAATCAAAGCGTTTTTCCTGCAAGACTGTTCGACACGGATACAATGAATGTTGATTAAATGTAGCGATAGGCCTCAAGTGCTTGGATCGACAACGTGACAGAATACGATGAATTGAAATAATCCAACATGTAGGAACAAGACAATATATGTGTGTGCGAGGAGCGTGAGCGGTCAGAAGCACCATGTTGAATCACGAGTCCTTGATTGGAAAGGGTCAAAGAGACTGAAATTGACTGTCGACGTCATTGTTGGCCTGAGCGATGCCTGTCCTGGCCGCCTCGGGCGTCTTATAGGCTTGCAAGCACCCTCACCACCACCAAACTTGACGCCGAGGAGCCTGGAACAGGAGCCTAGGAGCTCTGAGAAGCTCTGGGCAATCCGTTGCCCAGCGCCGATTCCTCCCTGTCGCAAGAAATCGGAGTTTCAACCCGCGTCGCGCCTTCGCATTGGATCCTCGTCGGCAGAAAAATTCCATGCACCGAAAGTCCCAACCCAAGATCCCATCATCATCATCCCACCTCATTCTCCCCATCACCGAGAAACTGAGCTGCTTCAAGCCCCTTCTATAATCATCACACCGGTCCCTCTCCTATTGAACCTCCACCTCCACCCTCTCTTTCATCCATGCCCTCGTAATATCCTCGCACTCCCTCGCTCATGCGACCAAACCCCGGCCCAGCATCCCTCTTCCGAGGTCGGGCCACATGGACCTGTTCTCGCTGTAAACCAGGTCGATCGACTCCCTTTGATCCTCCTCGTCGGCCTTTGTCTTCGCACGGTCGTGCAGTTCGCATTGTCCGCCCGAGGAAGGCAGTCTATTGGGCCGCCGCTGGCTCTGGTTTGGGTGCGTCTGTCTTGTTCTTTGGAGACGATATCAAACATGGATGGCGAGCTGCCGAGAGAACGGGTAGAGTCGTCACTGCGCTCGCCGTCAACATTAATGAGTATGCTCTCATCTGTCCAGCCTATTTACCTCCGGTCCTGACCTCGCATCTAGTTATCGAGTTACCCTAAAACAGCAACTCGACGACCCGGACGAGGAAGCCCGACTCCTCAAAGACTGCCATCAGAGATGTGCAGATCGGACCTTGAAAGTCTTGGAGAAGAACGGTTCCATCTTCATCAAGCTCGGTCAGCATCTCTCTTCAATGGGCTATCTCCTTCCCACCGAATGGACCGAGACCTTTATACCTCTCCAGGACAAATGCCCTGTCTCCTCCTACGATTCCATCGAAGACATGTTCTTAAAAGATACCGGACATCGGATAGAGGACTCTTTTGACAACTTCTCTCGTGAACCCATCGGAGCTGCCAGTCTGGCTCAGGTACATACTGCCTACTTGAGAGGCACCGATCAAAAAGTCGCTGTCAAAGTTCAACATCCCAGTCTCGAGGAGTGGGTGCCCCTCGACCTGGCCCTGACGAGATTCACATTCAAGACCCTCAAGAAAGCATTCCCTGACTATGATATGGAATGGCTCAGTAGTGAGATGGATTTCTCCTTACCACAAGAGCTGGATTTTGCCCTCGAGGGCCACAACGCCGACCGGGCTCGAGAGTACTTTCAAAAAAACACCTCCTTTCCCCTCATAATCCCAAAGGTCATCTCGGCCAGCCGAAGGATCTTGGTCATGGACTACATCACGGGCTCTCGTATTGACAGCCTCGAATATTTTGATAAGCACTGTATATCGCGCGACGAGGTTTCGGCCACCTTGGCCCGCATTTTCAACACCATGATTTTCCGCAGAGGCGCTCCTCTCCACTGCGACCCTCACGGAGGCAACATTGCTGTCCGTCATAACCCTAATCGACGCTACCCCTACAATTTTGACATCATCCTCTACGATCACGGCCTGTATCGCATGATTGATGACAAGTTGCGTCAAGACTATGCCAACTTGTGGCTGGCGGTCATAGATGCTGATGAGAAGGGAATGCGCAAGTACTCGTACGAAGTTGCTGGGATCACAGATGACCAGTTCCCACTCTTTGCCTCGGCCATCACCGGCCGGGACTATCGCGTCTTAACCAGAAAGGAAGTGACAACGTCACTCCGCGACTCTAAGGAGAAAGAGGACATCAATGAGGTCTTTGGTGAAGATCTCGTGCGACAGCTGGTCCAGCTTTTGGGTGATGTGCCACGCATCATCCTACTCATCCTCAAGACCAACGATCTTACCCGCAGTCTGGACGAATCGCTAGGCTCCAAGCAGCCTATGCGTCCGATGATGATTCTGGCCCGCTATGCAAGCTTGACCGTGTGGGAGGGCCATCGGGACTCCATCATGGCACGCGGCAGCATTTTTAACCCCCGGAATATTTTCGACCTGTTCAAAGCCTGGTTGGACTTTGTGCGCGTCGAGTTGAAATTATTTGGCTTTGAGCGGTATTTGTCCATTCGCAGACATCTTCACCTGGACAATTGATACTTTGTTGGGGGAGGCATGACTGAAACGGCCTTTGACCTTTAGCGACGGCGTTGAAAATGTCGACACGTTTGATAGACGTCGAACAAGTAAATATCTATATCATATTCCTTGGTTCATCAACTTTCATCTTTTGGATGCCCAAAGGCTTTCCATCCGTGCTGTTGTAGTCACGAGAGCTGCAGAAACAAGAAAAAGCCATCCGAGCTATTGTGTCTCCGTCGAACTATCGGTATTTAGTAGTGTACTTGGTATTCATCCCATTCCAGGTCGCCGACGACTCCACTATAGCGACCATCGACAACAATAATAGACAGCCTTTACCCTCTGGTCATTGTCACTTACAAATACGAGGCTACCGCAATCGTCATTGGCTGCAGAGTAACGCCTCCGAACTCGACCCGGACCGTGCGGTTGTCTCGACCTCCTATACTCAGTCTCTCGCCTCGCACGGTATACCCGGTGGCCGTGCCACACTTCTTGTTCGTTGACCACGCTCAGAAAGTTCACGACATCTACTGTCTTTTTTTGCGCCTGCGTGACCTGCCAGCGTGGTCGAAAGTTTCTATCAAACATACTTTTTCGTCGCCAACTGGTCTTTTGGTCACCCGAGTGACATTGATCATACAGTCTCGCTGCTCAACCACGATACTAACTTGGCAGTATCCATCTCCCTGTTCAACCGAGCGCTAGTTTAGGAAGGGCTTGCCATAGATCAGGACTACGACCAAATTTGGACTCTAGAATTCCATCCAAGATGGCACTAAGCCTAGGTATGTGTAATGCCACGCAGTGGCGCGGCTCTTTCTAAGATGTTCTCGAGACCTGTGCTTTCTGATGCGAGCAGATGGCAAAGAACCGTTGTCCCGTCAACTCTGCCATCGGCTCTATATAGAGAGGTAGGTCACCTCTGGGTCTCGACCGAAACTTGCGAAGGAAGTCTCATCAACCAGCTATCCCAGTTCAACGGTACCCGGGTCTGTTTCTCATTGCTGACCTTGTCTTATTTTATCTTTATACTTGGCCTATCATGCATTTATCAGGCGTCGCTTTTGCGCTGTTTAGCCTTGCCTTGCAAGCACAGGCATGTTCTCGTGTGGCATTCAACAGCGGGCCGGCAGTTCAAGATCGGATCGTGGTCGGACGATCTATGGACTGGTTCGTTGCCACAAATGCAAGCATCTGGTCATTCCCGCCAGGCATTGAGCGAAATGGCAACGCGGGCTCCAACTCGCTGACATGGACATCAAAGTACGGATCAGTGATCACGGCCATGTACTATGTTGCTACAGTCGACGGCATTAATACAGAAGGCCTGTCAGGCAACTTCCTCTACCTGTCAGACAGTAATTACGGCAACCGGGATCCATCTCGGCCAGGCCTCTCGGTCGGTGGCTGGCTCCAATACTTTCTCGACAACTACGCCACCGTGGACGAAGCCTTCAAAGACCTGTACGACGAGGATGGCGAGGTCAAGTTCCAAGTCGCCACGGCCGAGATCATCCCAGGCACACCATCGGTGGGCCATATAAGCTTGACGGATCCCAGCGGTGACAATCTCATCATGGAATACCTCGACGGAGTGCTCACCATCCATCGTGGCAAGGAATACCCGGTCATGACCAACTCGCCTCCCTTCGAACAGCAATTAGCAGTGGAGAAATACTGGCTACCAATCGGAAACCAGTCGTTGCCAGGAACACGACGCGCAGCCGATCGCTTCGCACGGTTGTCATATTACAACAACGTGACAGCATTGGCCGAAACCGCTGAAGAATCCATCGCCATTGCAGCTTCCATGATCCGAGCCGTCAGTGTCCCATTCTCCCCTTCGGTTCCAGGCGAACCAAACGTCGCATCGACCTTGTGGCGCACATATGCCGACACCGTAGCATTGCGATACTACTGGGAGAGTGCCTTGGCACCGATGTTCCTCTGGATTGATCTGCCCAGCATCGACCTCGCCGCCGGTGCTCCCTCCAAGATGTTGGAACTACAGAATGTCGATGCTACCACCCGGGTTGGGAACATGGATAATAGCTTTGTCGACACGCCAGCATTCCCGTTCTTGGAGGTTGAGTAAAGGGCGTTTTATTGATGAGTACTTTAGGTGTTGGGGGGAGGGTATTCTTCATCTGTACATACATACCCTTTTACATATTACTTTTAATAATTAGAGTTGTTGGCAAGGTACAATATTGAGAATGAGCGTTTGGTGATTGCACATATCACGTGAGATAAAAAGATCCCCCAGCGAGCCTGAGTAGTGCCTTCCTCGGATATGCCCCATCCCCACGCCTTCCACTTTATACTGTTGATGCATTTCTCATTTCTCACTCTTTTTTTTCTCAGTCCCTTCACCTGCGATGAATCAATCAGTCACCACAGCCAACTCGAGCGTCCTCGGTGCTCAAGAACTGCACCGCCGCCCTTGAAGTTTGTCAGCTGCTGACACGCCCTCCTCTCGTTCTTCTCACCCAGTCCACCGCCTTCTCGTCCGTCTGCTCCGAATCCTAGAACGGCAGATACAAAATGATACTCTTCTGTCAAAAGCCAAGAATCCAAGACATAGGATCTGCAAGATAACCATGGATCAATGCCAAAGGCCCAAAGGTTAGTCGCGGGAGGTGGGCCATCCCAAGCTCGACCGACGCTTGACATCAGTGTCATGGCCGCCATTTCTCCATGAAAAGTCACGTGTCGCCAAGGTCATCCCCGATAGACAAGGCTCTGAGATGCGACCCAAGCCCCGACTTGCTCTCATCAAGATCCGCAGCGTTTCTTGGGTGTCATCAGCCCAGATCCTACATCTTGCTGCCTTCCACTTCAGTCGATTCGCCGACCGTCACGAGCATATCCAAGTTGGCGACACAGCCGGATCTACCAATGCTTCTCCAATCACTGCCAGCATCTCCTCATGACCCACGCGTGCATCATGCAGATAGTGGCAATGAATGACAAGCATCGTTACTATTGACGGGACGTGGGTTGCTGGGATCAACGTTTATTTTCTCGATCTCAGTAGAAGTATATATGGGCCCTTAATGTTCTGTCAAGCGATGCTTCTGGGTCCGTCACAGCTTCGTCTGCCTAGACGATACTCTACATTGCTGGGTCACTCTTCTTTTTGCTTGACATAGTTGATCCGCGACATAATGGTTCGAACTACTTCCCTGGTCGCAGTCTGCTCTGCCTTGGTTGGCATGAGCAGAGGAGCTGCACTTGGCACGGCTGAGGAGTATGCTTCTGGAGCTGTCCATGCCCGTATCATGGGTATCAAGATGGTATGCATTCTTATCGACTACCGCTCGTCACTTTGTGCATACTAGCTAAAATCCCTCCAGGCTCAATGGGAGGCCGAGCTCGCTGAAGGTCAAATGGATAGTGCTCAGTACCCCGAGCTTGGCTATACACCATGTGAGAATGGGTTTGCTGCTGGCATTCCTGGAGACGTCAACAACACATTCAGATGCAATAACGTAAGTTTTCAACAACAGCGCCTTGGAAACCAACCGGATTGAGCTAATCCGTCCGTTTAGATCGACCTGTATCACTTCCTGTCCCATGCAGATCTGGGTAGCTCATATGGCCGGGGCTCTTCTTCGTGGGGCTGGACTTCAGAATCCGGAAGAGAGTTCGTTGCCATCGGCCAATATGATGGTACGGCGTTTGCTGAGATCTCCCCCGAGGGCAAGTTGGTCTACCTCGGGCGACTGCCTCAGTATGATCCTATTGGATCTAATTGGAGAGAAATCCGAGTCCTTCGAGACTATGCTGTCATCGGCTCTGAAGCCATCAACCATGGTGTTCAGATCTTTGACATGAAGAAGTTGCTCGATCTCGACCCGGAGAACCCTACCAACTTCACTCAGGACGATCTCACTGGACATTGGAATGATCTTCCCGTAGGACGAACCCACAACATTGTCGTCAACCAGGAGCTGAACTACGCAATTGCTTGCGGCTCTGTCGGTGGCAACGAGACTATCAGAGTTAGAGACGAGTTGCCTTGCCGTGGCGGTCTCATCTTCATCGACATGTCGGATCCTTCGAACCCAACGAGCCCAGGCTGTGCTGCGGGCGACGGTTACGTCCATGATGCCGAGTGCTTGGTCTACCGAGGTCCCGATGAGAGATATCAGGGTCGTGATATCTGCTACGGCTACAATGAGGACACCCTTACCATCTATGATGTGACAGACAAAGAGGGAAATGTCACCAACATCATCTCCATCACCAGCTTTCCGGGTGCCGAATATATTCACCAAGGTGTAGTCAACGATGAACAGAACCAAGAATATCTTTTCCTCGATGATGAGTTTGATGAGCGTGATGCTGACGTTGGCCCAATGACCCAAGGTCTACCAACCACCCACATCTTCGACATCCGCGACCTTGAGAACCCCCATTACACCGGTAACTACAAAGGCAAAACTAGATCTATTGACCACAACCAATATATGGTCGATGGCTACCTCTACCAATCCAACTATGGTAACGGACTCAACGTTCTCGATGTGAGCTCTGTCACCGAGGACCCTAGTGGAGCTAGCATCTGCGAGGCCGGCTTCTTTGACATCTACCCAGAAAATGACGAGAATGAAGGCGGCGGCACTGTGGCATTTCTGGGATCGTGGTCATCTTACGCCAACTTCAAGTCTGGCTTTATCTTTGTCCACACCATTGAGCGGGGTTCGTTTGTGGTCAAGATGACGAGCAAGGAATGCCCCAAGCCGCCTGTCTGCGAGGCCAGTAGCTGTTTGACATCCCTGCGTGCCAGCAGCATCGAAGGTCGACTCGAAGAGGGCCAGGAATTCTGCCATGCGTTCCTTACCAGACAGATTGACGAGGAACAGGAGATTCCAGAGTATGCTAGTGAGGCTTGTGGAGGCTCCGACGAAGGTCTCATTGCTCATGTCAGCAGTGCTTGTGCCTGTGTCCCAACTATTCCCGTCCCTGAACTTCCAAGGACAACTACTCGACCTCCAGTGCCGACGGTCCTACCCGACAAACGTGATGCAGTGATGTTTTAAAGAGATGATACCGGTTTGACAAGCTAGCATACATAGACGTAGTAGAATAAATCCCTCCCAGAACCAAATCCTCGAGTTATCTCTGGGGGCTGTGTCATTGGTCACATTGTATATCGTAGGATTGTACGAGAGTGAATGTCGTGGAACTCTTCTTGAGTGGTGGGATTTGATTGGTCGATATCAACATCACGCCTTTTAATTTTACCGCAACAAGTCAAAGTATCTCCCACGTCAACCGATACCCGTGAGAATCCAACCCACGGACATGATCGAGGTCCTTCACCACATCAACAACAACAGGGGAGTGCATTGATCATTCACACGTCTGGAGAACTGAAGCTGTCGTGGATTAATCATGTGGTTGACAATGGACTCATCCTGACCGGTCAAGCTGATCTCCACGACATGTGAAGAACTTCTTAGCATCCACCAAATTTGAAGGCTACCAAGTCACTATTAATTGTCTATTTACAACACAAGATGATCAATCTCGGACTCTCACGAATAACATCCCTTCTCCAACCCCTATTTTTCAGCCACCCTTCATTACCATGGCGAACCATCCACATTGCCGGCACCAACGGCAAAGGCTCAACCGCAACATACATCTCGACGCTGTTATCCCACCAGGGCTACAAAGTCGGCCGCTTCACATCCCCCCACCTCGTCCACCGCTGGGATTGTATTTCACTCAACCAACGCATCGTTGATAAAGATGTCTTTCTCGCCATTGAAAGTGAAGTCCAGAAACGCAGTCGCGAACAAGGCATCAATGCGACTGAATTCGAAGTCCTGACTGCCGTGGCATTTGAGCTTTTCACTCGACATGGAATGGAATTTGGGGTTGTCGAGTGTGGGTTAGGTGGACGATTGGATGCGACCAATGTGTTGCGCGAGCAGGATGTGGAAGTTGCGGTGTTGACGAAGGTGGGGCTTGATCATCAGGATTTTCTAGGTGATACGGTCAAGAAAATTGCGGAGGAGAAGGCGGGGATTTTTAAGACGGGGGTGGCTGTTGTGGTTGATCAGAGTAATGAGCCGTGTGTCTTGGATGTGGTGAGAGAGAAGGTTAAGGATGTTAATGCAGGCGATGACGATTCCAGTCGATTTCTGGTTCAGCTGCCATCTGAACTAGAGATCGATGCTCTCAATGAGCCAGGAGTCAAGGCCATGAATCTCGCGGACCATCAGAAACAGAACTTGACGACTGCCTTGGGAGCATTCTACTACCTGATGGAACATCGACAATCTTCAGCCGTCGCTGAACAACATATGCAGTCCACGATTCGGGACCTCCCAGACCTGATCCAGCAATCCCACGCTTCGATACGAGGCCGTCTCGAAACCCTAACCTTACCTCCCCATCTACTACCGTCATCAATCCCCAACGAGCAGAAGAAGACAAATACACCTTTCCAAGTCCTAGTGGACGGCGCACACAATCCACAGGCTGCAGTCGCACTCGCCAAACACATTCGAGACCATATTCGCGGACCATCTAACCTGCCGATCATTTGGGTCATGTCTCTGAAACGCGACAAGGACATCTCTACCTTTATCAAAACGGTAGTCGCACCTGGTGATCACGTCGTCACCTGTGCCTTTGCACCGGTCGAGAGCATGCCGTGGGTGTCGAGCATGGATCCATATGAGTTGGCCAAGGAAGTGACCCGAATCATGGGTGGTCAGGAGCATCATGTCGAGGTTGGACTTGACCCAAAAAGGGGTCATCCAACAGTGGCCGCTGCCATTCGTCGTGCCCTTTCTATTTCAATGTCTGCCTCGCCAGACACTGGCAGCAGTCTTGATGATGGAGGAATTAGACCTGATCGGATCCCCATCTGTATCGCTGGAAGCTTATATCTGGTGGGCGACGTCATGCGGGCGCTTGATGACACTGAAGACTAGACGGGTCTCCTGGACACGATCATTACTGTAGTCTAGCATGTGGCGTTCATGTATCAGATGACAAAGAATAGCGTTACTTGGGCACACAGTACATTATAGTGAGTCTGTTGCGGGTGATTTTAAGTAGAACTCAGTTACAGAGGAGTTGCAACTCCCGCCTAGCCTCATTCACTACCACTCAACTTGGGGATTTCATCACAGGTCCGGTGTGATGATGTTCTACTTGTCTACTATTGTTGATTGGACCTCGCTTGGACCGCCAAGTTGTGAGGCGCAAAGAACTATCATGATTCGTGCGTGTGACAGTGTCACTGCGATCTGCTGACTCCCAGGTTCCCTGGCCGTCTGTCCTACCGTGTCAGGTCAAGTCAGAGCCGCACATCATGCAAGTCTCAAGCGACAACGAGCGAGCATTTCATTACTCCTAGAAACTCTGATAATGTCGGCTGGCCATCCATCATCAGCAGAAGTTTCTTCAATTCATCGGCAAGCGAGGCAGAGCACCTTGATCAGGCTGAGGTGCCTCCCAGGGATGCATGGCGTGTTGTGCATGGGAAAAGGGAGGTACTATACTTAGTAAAGTACTTATACTTACCAAGGTAGTACTGGCTTTGTGATCACGATTTTTCGCCCTTGGAAAGCAATATTACCATCAAAATGCTTTTATGCCAGGGCATCCTGGCACGAGCTTTCCGCAAGAGAGAGAATTATATGAAAATTTCCTGATATGGAAGTTCTTTTTCTCACCTTGGTAAGTCCAGTTTGTACATCATACCCAGCGTAGAGAAGAAGTTGACTGGGTTCAAGGCTAGAACCGATTCCAACCCGAGTCAATGGCGCTCAACTCGGACTGACTTAGGTAGGTACCTAGGTAAGTAGGTACTACTTAACTTGTACTCAGTAGATTACCAAGGTTCGACTCGCTTTAGATTTTAATCTCAGTTTGATCTACCTAGGCCTCGCCTAGGCTCACCTACTAGATCTAACTCCAAGGTCCTCCAGTACTTAAATCGAGTTGGAACTGGTTCAGACCTAGGCTGTCCCCTCTATAGAGATGCCTAGACAATAAAAAGTAAACCGTCCTCGCTGTGATATTTGCCATGTCGATATTGACATATCCATTGCTTCGTACTTTAAGTAAAGTCTAGTACGAACTTGAAGGAAGTAAGTACTTACTTAGGGACTTACTTATAGTCTAGGTAGGTCCCTAGTACTTAGATACTATAAGTATATTTAAAATACTAGTACTTATCCAGGTATAGGTTAGTACTTAGGTATAAGGACTTGCTTACTAAGTACCTTGTTGCTTACCTAGTAGTAATAGGTATGGCTTCGATGCTACATTAATGTTACATCAATTTAGTATAGACACAGTATCTAAATTAGCATCAAACCTATATCGACACAGCTTCAACACCGTATCAACACCGCATCGATGCGCGATTAATCTACCTAGTGTGAATACTGTCTCTAAGACTACATCGACACCGCATCGATTTAGTATTAATGCCTTACAATTTCAGCGGTTTAAGGACAGTATCGACACTGACTCAGATGCGGCATCTAATACCGTGTTAAAGCTAAGTAAGTACCTATACTTAGTATCTATACTGTACTTAGTACTTACTTAACTTATAAGTAAGTAGTATATAAGTACTATATCAAGATACTCCCAGAGGCCTGAAAGGGTACCTACTTACTAAGTACTTACTTAGTACTTATAGTGATTAAAATCGAGGTAATGTAGATCAATCCGGATCAACCGGAGTCAGACTAGGCTGGAGCAGGTCAGACGAACTTGAAGTCCAACCTGAATTAACCTGAGTTAAGTAACTCGAGTCAACCCACATTGGAAACGGTTCAAAACCAGGCTGACTCGAGTCTGACTCGAGGTTAAGCCGAGTCAGCCCATCCTGACGGTACGTACTATAGTAAGTTAGTATCTAACCTAAGCTTATACTAGGTGCTAGGACTTGATGGTGTCAGGGATGCAGGGTATCTCCTCAGTAGAGCGGCAAGATTAATGGCACTAACCCTGAACAGGCCGAGATCGTGACACCTTCATCTTTAAGTGGGCCAGAGTGAGCCAGAGTGAGCCAGAGTGAGCCAGAGTGAGCCAGAGTGAGCCAGAATGAGCTAGCATCGAGCCAGTATCGAGCTCAGTAACTTAGTACTAAGTACTTTTGTGCCAGCATCGAGCCAGTATCGAGCCAGTATCGAGCCAGCATCGAGCCAGCATTGAGCCAGCATTGAGCCAGCATTGAGCCAGCATTGAGCCAGCATTGAGCCAGCATTAAGCCACTGCAGTATTGAGCCAGCATTGAGGTAGTAGAATCTGAGAAACCCCGTAACTTGAACTCTAGTGGTCTAAACTTGGTCTGGAATCGTTTTGGAACCGCTTCAGAACCGGTTCAGCCCTGATTTTTGGTGCTTAAATCGTTAATAAGATTCAAGTCGGTTTAGCCTAGGTCAGCCCGGTTAAGACTCGATTTAGAATCGGTTTGAGATAAGGTAGCCTGATTCATTCTATAGAACCGAGTACTAGGTTTATTAGAACCGACCTCCCCCTATAGAACATCAGGTTAGAATTACTAAGGTACTAGTACTCAAGTAGGTCTGAACTGGAGGAGTACTTCGTATACTAAATAAACTAAGTACTTAGGTACCTACTTAGGTACTTAGTAGTAGTAGTATTAGGTACTAAAGTCTAAAAGTAAGTACTAAGTGCTTAGTACTTAGACTTCAGTTACTAGTATAATTGTACCTATCCATAGATTTCACTAACTTAGTACTACTATAGTATTATAGTAAAGTAAGTACTTAAGTAGTAGTTTTCTAAAAGTAGAAAGTTTCAAACTCCGCTTTATGCGCCGATGCTAATAAGTACTACCCTAGTCAGTACTAGGTAGGGTAGTACTAGTAGATAGTACTACTACCTACCTACCAACGCAACTTCCTTAGATTTCTATCCCATCAATTCCAATCCACAAAAAAGAAGGACTCTAACCATTTTCCTGCCGCAACGACTTTGTTGTCAAGGCGGGTGAAATAATCTGCACACCAGAGCAAAACCAAGGTGGTGAAAAGAATGCCGGGAAGGCCAGACCAGTATCCATCACCCAGATTAGCGGCACGCCATGGCTCGACCACCTGAAAGTACAGCGTCCACAGAATAGTGTTGTGCATGGCGTAGATTCCAAAGGACAAGTCTCCAAGGTACTGGGAAAATCCTAGCTCGAGCGGAATTTGCAGCATGCGGCAGTTGTCAATAGCAAAAACCAGCAGGGTCGCACCCCAGCTCAACCAGAAATGCTCCGCCAGAGGAACATCGTAATACCATGGGATGAGTTTGCTGAGTAGAGGCCATGGCCACGGTCCAACCAGCCATTGGCCATCGGGGGGTTGACCGCACAGAAACATGGCGACTAACAGTATCATAGTCCAGAAGACTTTCGCGTAGACGGATTGCCTTCGAGGTTCAGTGACGACTGCTTCCCCATCTTGCTGTTGTTGAGGCAGTTGGATCTTCTGGAGCCGTTCTGGATGGCGGTCAAAAGACAGGTCAGCAATCATCATGCCCCACAGGAACAGGGCAGCATAGATGGCTCCCCAGTAGTAACATAGGGAAATGACAATTAGGCAGAAGAGACGTCGTCCTCTGGTCGTCAGGTACGCGGATGATGCGCAGAACCAGAACAAGACCAAGCTGCCCCGAAATTCGACAGGAATTGTCCACATCTGGTCGAGATACTTGGTTCGGAAGACGGCGCCGTACCACCATCCCCGAATGTCGGCGAAAGGGTTGCTCGAGGCAAGCCAGTCCCAAGCCCAATCGCAGAATTGAAGCCAGATAGTGGATTTTCGGAATTTTGGCTGGCACCAGCCCCAGTAGGTCATGATGGCGGTGACGCCCGATGCGACACCGGTGGACGCATAGAGACGCCACCATCTCCGGAATGAGGAGGAGGCAAGTGCTCGGAGGAGTATGGGTTGTCGTTTTCTCATCATCTTGAGCATGCGGTAGCTGAGAGCATATCCAGAAATGACGAAGAATATGTCGACCATGGCCCGTCCGTTCAACACCGTACGAATGACGGGTTGCTCCAGGAGCCACGTCTTGTTGCTAAGGCCATGATATCGAAACACGGCTAGCGCTGCCCAGCCGCGAAGGGCATCGAGATATGATGTGGGATGCAGCTCTTTTTTCACTCTTAGGCCGCCAGGTTGTAGATATCGTGGTAGAATGGCGAGGAAGTAGGAAAGTAAGAGCCAGGCGAGGGTTTTGGCATCAGGGATGTCTTCCACGTTGAATGAGAAGTTCCACTTGGGTCGGATACCCCAGTTTGGCGCGACTCGCCATCGAGCAGGCTGGTACCACTTAGGTCGGCATTCCTGGGGTAGTTGTGACAAGTCAAACTCTTTCAAGTCGAGATCGTCATCGTTATCGTCACTGTCCTCGCCGAGTTCCCTGGTCTCCTCGTATATGATGGTTTTCTCATGAATTTCATTGTCATCGACCTCAACTGCAAGTGGCTGATAAGCCTCGGTTGATTGAGGCATGGGTGATTTGATGCTGACAGTGGGAAGCAGTCGAAGAAGAATCCAACCGAAGGCGCCATGGTAGTCTTAAGTGCAAACGTGCTGGTATCACAATTTCAACAATGGCATGTTCACTCCACTTCCCCCTATCGACTTTTGACGGGTACAGCCGACAAGACCCAGACGATGTCAAGCTGTGCAAGCAAGATGCATGGCCAACTTGGCATAGCGAAATTGGTCTGTTCTCTTGACATAAGTGTGACAGCTGGAGCAGTGGCGAGGTCCACGTAAGCACTGTGTATCGTGTCGTGTCGCGGGAGCCTCGGCTTGTTGCAGTGTGAGATGTAGACAAACATTTCTTATGGACTGGGCAGCCCAAGGTGGTTGATAGCATGTTGCTTGAGTGGTGATCCTCATTCTTGGGAAACGCTTGTGCAGAGAGTCGATTGTAGATCAACAACCTTGAAGGCTTGTCGGATAGAACTGTACGGACTTCAATTCTGTTTCCGTGACGGTTATCGCGTTGGAATCGCGATGTCAGGGTAGACGGTAATTAAGGGGACGCATTTACCATTGCAAGCTGTCGTTGAGCACTGGTGTGCATGTCTAGGCGATGACACCGAGGAGGGGTATAACGAGGTTGGAAAGCATCCAATCATGATAGTCGCCCAAATGGACCACGTCAAACACGAGCGGTACTGATAGGCTGATGTCCCCTCATAAGCGTCATCTGTGGCGGCCGAATCTGAGATGGAATTTCCCTCTCGCAGGTGACAGACGTCAAGTCAACGTCCAACGTCCAATACCCGACGCGCCCCCTGAAGATCATACTTTGCTGAACAATCAAGGACGAGATTGTTGACTGCCATAAATTAGATTGCTGTACTGACTAGATGGGTTGTTGAGCCACCACAGGTCCCAAAGGGGAGTATCAAGGCCGGTCGGTCCATGATAGTTGGGTGTCTACTCTATCGACCTGATGAGCCACATTGTTCGTCGGCAGAAATGCTGCGAGACGCGTTGGCAAGGATGTTCATTGGCCCTTTGTGGACCGTCGGCTTGACCACAATTAGCGTGCTGCCGCAAGGACACTTAGACCGCACGAGCACCCACAAACACGCGTCAGGCAGATTCAGAGATTGGCCAAAAGGACAGGTTCTCATGCCAATATCGCCTCGTGACCCAAGAGCCTCATGCTTGACCCTCCTCCCTCCTCTTCTTTTCTTTGCGTTCTTTTGCGCGCCTCTGCGTCTTGGTCATGGTGACACCGAACGGTTCGACTGGGCTCAAGTCGGGCAGGTGGGTGATAAAAGAGGGCCGAAAAGGCGAGCTATCAGCACTAGGGGCCGGTACTGCTAGTTTATTAGGGTTAGGTCTCGGGATGGAAGTACTGTCATAAGTTGGGGGTCGAGGACGCAATGATGGAACGGGTCCTCCTAGCCACTCGACATGGTGAGTATCTTTGCGAAGATGGACATCTTTTTTGGATTTGTTGACTTCCTGAACCGATCAGAGACTTGTCGAGACTTCAGAAGAATTCGATCATACCTTCTCGATACTTGTATTCTCGCCTTGTCTGACTGCATATTGGCCCGCAAACCTTGTGTTATGGCCCCTCCCTGTTCGCTCTGTCTCCTTTGTCTCTGTGCTCAGATCGTCGGATGCACTCAGGCACTCTCGTGTGACTGTCGACACCCACTCGGCGCAAAGCCATTTGGGTCTCAACTTCCTCCTGCATTCGGCCATGTCCGCCCAGGTGGCACGTTCCCTGGCCACAGAAGTGGTTAAGCGGATGGGTTGACAATGATTTTCATGGTCGAGGGTCTCAGTGCGAATACGCCATTGGAGGGACCGGGCGTGGATTTCTAGCTGAGAGGAAGGTGAGAGTTCAGTAGGTATACATGTTTGAGATCGTGTGCTAGGACTAACTGAAGGAATGGTCTTGGTGTTATTTCTGAGCCTAGAGTCAGTATCGACAAAGCTGTAGGTGGTGTTTGTTTTGGGTAAGGCAGCAGTGTTGTCGAAGAGGCACTTGGAAGTTATGGAGGTGGTGGGAGTCGTGGTGGTGGTAGCGGGAGATGAAGAGGAGGACGATGAGGATTGAGATGCTGCAGGCATTTGACGCTCAGAATCTCGCTGCCTCGCAGGGTTTGGTGGTCCTATCTTGGGCATCCTGTCTGATGAGATGAGCACTCGATAATTGATCTGGTTGAGGTTTTGGCAGAGATATAGGTCTAGAGGGGACAAGGGTTGAATAACCAGGATGGACAAGTTTAACAGCTGATTATGATTTTGAGGGATGAGGGACTTGTTGGGTGAAGGAAAGTGCGATTGCCCATTTTGTTGAGCGAGTTGCGTCCTCTTGTGGCAACATCACCATCACGAAAGGAGCTGCGATGAAAAGAGGCCGCGGGTAAAGTCTGTGAAGTCAAGTCAAAGCCGGGTAAACAGGGATAACGGTCGTCATAGCACAGTTAATGAGGCAAAAGAACGAGGGTGGATGCACAGAGATGATAATGAATACTGACTGACCATCATCATTACATGATTTCTGTTCTGATGCAGACAGAGACTGGCTGGTATATCGGCTATCATCCATAGTGAGCAACATTGAACAACCTTGCACAACAGACACGGCCTTGTTTCCATCAATCAGAGGCAGAAAAATCATAGACAAAGCAGTTCCAACGACGTTCATTCTTCAGCCTCATTGGCAGACATATGGACGATATTCGAAACTCAGATGACATAATATCTGGCCATGTCTTAGGCCGACTTCCCTATTCAATTGAAATCATAGTCATGACTGATGGGGAATCATAGCACGAAAAAAACCCAAAAGACCGACAGTCAACCAAATCTATACACCGCGCCCGACCCATCCAATCGATCCTGTTGATCCACATACAAATAGGGAGATAGGACCAACGCCCAAAACTCCACCAGCCATGAAGCTAGCAGAACGCTGTTTCAAGATGTATCAAAATCAGACCTCGTCCACGTGAGCCTTGTTGCTGTCCTCAACGCACGCAGACATACCATGTCAATCAAGCGCCTTGAAAGTAGCCATCTCCGGGCGCCAGAGAGCCATCATGGTACTTGAAGTCGATGCCACTAGCGCTCACGTAGCCCTGCTCCACCTCGTCATCGTAAAAATCACCCCCCGAACTGGCATCGAAACTATTCCGCCCCAGTCCCACGTCACTCAGCTCACCCGGGTCCTCTGTTGTCGGCACTTGGGACCAATCGATGTTCTGCAGCGCTGGATATTGCGCCAGCAATGCCCGGGGTAGACTGAATCCTCCAGCACCACTATTGGGGTCCATTCCCATCATCATCGGCGGAGGGACGGGTTGCAAGGCACCCTGTACATACTGCGCTTGCTGTTGTTGCTGTTGTTCCATCAACTCTCGGTTTTGCCGATCCATCCGCTCTTCTTCTAGCAGAGGCTTGATGCAAATTCGTCCCGCCTCAGATCGGAAATGCCGACCAAGAGCATCTGCCCTTGCAAATCGTCGTCCACAGCCCCACTGCTGATTTGGCGCCGAGTGAAGCTCTCCTTTGCACACAAATTTCTTCTCCCCAGAATGAAGGCCTTCGTGGCGTTTTCGATCGTGTTGTCGCGCAAATGCCTTGCCACACACGGTACAAACAAACGGCCGCTCGTCGGTATGTGTTCGCAGGTGGGATCGTAGGTTGTACGCTCTCGTGAAGCGTTTGGGACAGAGAGAACACTGGAAGGTGGCCGGGTGTTTTTGAACTCGAGTGCTACTGCCGGACGGAGACGCCGATGGCCGGTTGGGATCCGCAAGATCGAGAATGTAATCACGAGATTGGCCAACAGACGAGGTAGATGCACGGCGGTTCTTATCGATACGTCCAGATTGCACAGGTCCTGGGGACGACTCTCTTGAGGCCGATCCTCGGTCGCGATCCGGTGAGCGCGAGTGGACAGATAGATTCGATGACGCATTGGTGGGGTGAAGGCCAGGTGATACGGAGCGCGAAAAAGGACGGGTGAATGTGACATCGGACTTGCTTCGATGGCGGCCGCCTGTCAAGGTCGAGGTTAGCATAAATCAGATGCACTCTACCATCTTGGGAAACTCACGGTTTTGCGACGGTGGACTCAGGGTGCCTTCGGTGCCTTCCTGCAGGCCGAAACTCTGCTGTCTCGACACCGGGGCGGGTTCAATGTTGATTGTGGGGGGTTCAAACTGATCTGCCTGTCCAATGTCGGACACCACCGAGGTGTTGCGTAGGTGGTTACTCGGCAAGACGTTGGTCTGAACGAAATTCTGCTGGTTTGAGTAGTCGTTTGCCATGACCATTGACTGATTTAGAGCGATCTCTGGTTGATTCAGGCCGAGGCCTGACTGCTGATTGTCCACCATATGAGGCAACAGTCTGGGAGAGTGATAGGACGCCGCGACTTGGTCGCCAATGGTGAAGCTATCGAGACCAAAGGCATTACTCGTATCTGTCTGGGGTTGAAGAAATGGCGAGCTGCTGTTATTGTGCAATTCAGTATGCCCAAGAAAAGGGGAGTGTTGGGCCGAGGGAACATCAGAATGATCTGAGGGTGCGCGACGATGCTGCTGAAAACTAACTCCGGAAAATGAATCGCCGTATGCACTGGAGGGGTCCAAGGAGGCGTGTCGGGAGTGTTGAGGGGTGAAGTATTGTCCGTTGGTAGATGCGGGAGAGTTGGGCTGGGAAGAATGAGGGTTGATGGCTTCGGGCGGAAGCAAATTGGGCGACTGATGATCTTGGGGTGAAGAAACCTTGCTCAAGTCGGCCGGATTGATATTGGTCGGAGGCGCCTGGTCAAAAGAATTGTTGGAGAAGTAGGCCTGGTTGAAATCATTGTTTAGGCTGTCGGACTGGTACTTGAACTCGTTGGTCATGTTATCGGTTTGATACATGAAGCTGTTGTCGAAATTATTAGAAATCGACTGACCTGCGAATTGAGGATCTAGAAAGTTGTTCTGTTGGAAGTTGGGATCGTAGAAATTTGGATTGTTCGAGCTGGGCTGGAGCCCACTGTGTTGTTGCTGCTGTTGAAGAAACGAGTCGTTGAAGACTGAATTGTTGAATTTGCCAGTGGTGAAGGCTTGTTGCATCGAAGGGTCTACTCCAGCAACACCAATTCCCTGGAAATTGCCTGGAGATGGCTGAGGACTGATGTGTTGACCTATACTTCCCCTTGAAGGGGATCTTCCCCGACCGTTGTCCATGACTTTTATACAGCCCAAGCGGTGGAGGCGCCCCAAAGAGGAAAATGACAAGAAGCGGATCGAAGGAAGAATGTGGAGAGGCGATGCGACTCTGGTCGGATGTCTCGCTGGTCAGGTGGCAGGGTCAGCGGATTGAATGTATCGATTGGCCGACGTTTGCTGGACGTAGAAGACGACGGGAGATGGCCGCGGCAAGGCAGAGCCGCAGGTCAAGTGGTTGGGTGAGAGCGTGGTGAGGGAGACGGTAGATGGAGTCTCGCAAGCAGCTCAGCCGCGCAGTGAGGCTATGCCTCAGCTTGATAGAGTATAAGACAAAGTGCTTGCGCCGTGGTCGTGATGGGGTCTGAATTTGCTCCTGATGCAAATTTGTTAGGTGGTCAAGACGTGCAGCGCCAAAGATGACCGGTGCGACGACCGCTGTGTGTGACGAAGCGAGGTCAGGCAAGGCGATGAGAGGGGAGAGAGGGGACGATGACGATGGAGCGGAGACGGTGAGGTGGAAATGGCGTCAGAATATTGGCAAATTGAAGAGTAAAATCCCACAGCGGGAAGAAAGAGTCAAAGTGGGTGATGGAGAGTGATGTTTGAGTGTGTGTGAGAAGGAGGCGAGTGACATGTAACAGGTGAGGGCAACGGTGAGTTGGGTAGAAGGTGTTGGTTTTGTGTTTGTGAGCGGGTTTGTCGGGGTGCAGGCGGCAAAGTGAGAAAGGCTGCGAGTGTGAGTCTGCGACGACGGACCGAGAATAGATTCCAATCGAGTCAAGGTGGCCCTAGTGGGGGCGTTGGTGGTCGGTGGTTATGATGATGGGTATGGGCTTGACATCTGAAAGGCAACAAGGTCAAATCTCACCCGGTGGGTTTAACCAGGAATGCCAGGTTAGTGCGAGGTACCCAAGATGTGAATGGGGAGAGGTGAGTGGTGAGTGTTAGTAGTGCGATTATGAGTGGTGACGATTGTAAGCCAGCATGGCCAGGTCTACTCGTACAGGTGATGAAAAGCAGGCGAACAGTTGGAGTTGGAGCTGGACGAGGAGCTGGAGCCGTCAAGTTACGGAAGAGTCGAGAGTTGAGCCCTGGACTTGCTGGGGGTAAACTTCTCACCCACTCACTCACCCACTCAACTCATCCACTCCTCTCATTCTCCGCGAAGCTGTCGATGGGACTGACTAGCATTGACAGGCCCTGACGAATAACCATCGCTTAAGCACGACACTAAAACATGCTCCATGTCGTATCCTTGGCCCTGGGGCGTGGATTTGGGACGCTTGGTCCAGTTATGGAGGGAGAATTTGGTGAAAACGACTGACGCAGACTAGACGCCCTGAAATGGTTGGCATCTACCGGTCCTGTCATTCAAAACGGATGACTTGTCTATTCATGAGATGCCGATGGGCTCTTTTACACAGTTGCCTTTGATAAAAATCCCTATTGATTGACTCGAAATGGATATGTTTCTACTCCCATCAGTATCATCACTGTGCTGCTGTGGTCATTCTGTGGGGCCTCGGGAAGGAGGCGTCTGGGTCCTCGGAATCTCAAGCACACGCGCCTAAAGTCTTAGCTACATGTTTTCCATGCTGTCAGTTATGTCATAAGGACTGGCCCTAGGCTATCCTAGGCAATCCTGGAGGTCCTTGCAGTGGCTGTGGTAGCCTGGCGTGTCCAGGACGCCTGGTAGCACAGTAGGTATCCTTAGGCACCTGCAGATTCGAGGTACCAAAGGGTCTGGGGGTGAATCATGGTGGGGCATTGGCACCCCTAGAAAGGTATCGACTTTTTTGTATCTTTTTTTGGGGGGTGCGCATCACAATTTCTGTTTAGGTAGACCTGTAAATGTGCCAGGTACTTGCCTCTAAGTAGTAGGGAGTCGCATGCCATACAAGTACACAGGCACCTATGTAACGTTTTCCGAGTTGATGTAACTTGTGAGCATCTATCTACGTCGATCAGTCTCAATGGGTTTCATAACTGCTGGAATCGAGGCGTTAATGCAACTTCAATTCTCCCACAAAGTTAAATTGTTAGGCGACCACCTCTGTTGTAAAGGAGAATCTGCATAGCTATCCAGTAGCTGTCCGAGGAGATACATATCCTGCGTGAATACGTTCACAGATGTTACTAGGTATCGTACCCCTGGAAAGTACTCGAAAGGGTACCTAAGGTATCAATTCACTTCCCTGGTTCCTGATGCTTAGTCCTTCCACCACACTTCCATCTCCACCATCATCCACATAACCTTCCTCTCCTTTAACTTACTCCGTATTACGTGCTGAACTCTCTCCAGTATCCATGGCACATCGGGTAAGGCTATACCCACAGAAGCCTCTGATATTACTAGGCGGAACCAAAAGCGTTTCGCTTACCAGGTACGGATCGATGCATACGTATGCGGTACTGTACGGAGTATTTTGGACCCATTTACCCACTAACATTGTGGCTGTGCGGTCCTCCCGTAGACGTCCAACTCGTCCTTGGTTGGACCTTTCAGTCTATGAATGCCTTCCAAAGTCTGCCTTGTGAGCCTTGCCACGTCTCCCCCTTCTTGGCCCCGGCCTTGACTACAATGACCGCTCAGTGCGCTGTTGAGGCTCTCCAGGAGACAAAATCACTGCCAATGCTGATAGTGAACGTATGCGTTGTGCATGTATAACACTTCATCCATCGAATCAATGCATAGTATCTTCATTATTACCACTGCCTCTAAACCTCTCTCAGCTCTTTCTAGCCTTTCCCCATCACAATCTAACCGGGTCTAACCACCCTTGTCGTCATCTTTGTCCTCATGCTACAAAGCCACGAATGTTGTTTCAGTAGCCTCGACCTGTCCTGCGTGCCTGGCTAGTTTTGGTTTGCTGTCTTGTGGAACGTCCCGAGACGTTCCACTCTTCGCCTATGACCCTTTTCCTTCTGCCACTCATTTTGTCTTTCTACCCCTCGACATGTGCACTCGAGCTCTGACTGTTTGTGCTACTCCGTGGTTCGTGTGTGTCCCTTTTCCCATAGCGCCGTGCTCACCAACCGAAAATGCCCACCCCCGGAAAAACAACTCCCGCTGTCCATTCGCACAATGGAGATATGATGATGACCAAGGCCCGTCGAGCCCGAAGCTCCATAGCATGGCATTTCTGCACCCCAAGTCACCCTGACTGTTGTCATCTCATACTCGTCACGATGCCAGTCAAAAAGGCCACTCGACTTCTTCGTCCCATCCGGGAAACCCCGCACAAAACGAAATCGCATGCCATTCGAAATCCATGTCCGTAATCCATGTCCGTGTGAATCCGAGTTTGCCTCGTGGTCGGACGCACCGTCCCGTCCGAGACAATCAATAAATGATCAGAACTTGACCACCACTGGTTCATGCATCTCCACAAATAACTCGAAATTCGTCTCGGACATGGCCCGCAGTTCACTGCTTTGGTGGTCCTCATCCTGAAACAGACAGTCAGTACGCTCAGGGTCATAGTTGCACCCTGTGACTACCTACCACAACAAAGTGCCTTCATCATCTTCTGGAAGAACCCTGGTTGCTGTTCTTGCTGTGGAGGTTGTCGTCCTTGAGAGTTCTGTAACGCTCCACTGGCCGGGCTGGCCCTGGCTTGCTGACCCGCCAGGTTGGCATTGCTGTTCTGGAATTGTGCTTGAGTACTGGCGGGCGGCGTGTTGACGTCGAGTTGTCCAGCCAGTCCGCTACCGCGTTTCGGTACGTTGCCCCCGGCGGCGCCGCTTGTCCGATCTCGAGCGCTTTTCCCCAGAGCTGCCACTCCCGGCTTTGCGGGTGACCCTGGGGGCGGGGGCTGCGCGGCGTTTAAACGATCCGCCGATATTGCTCCTCGATCTCGCGATGGCCGTCCTTCTTGTCCTCGAATAGCTGAATTTCCATGGAGTGCTCGTGCCGACGCGTCTGCCGGAGGATTGACGTTGTGCAAATGGTGTGCTGAAGGATGTGACTTGACTGCTTCCCATCCTCGTCCTCCGTTGAGTTTCATCCAGTCATATTCCCCATCTTCGACTTCGCCCGTGTTCTTCAGCGCCTGTGTAAACAAGTCTCGAAGAAAATCGTAATCCGGAGTGTCTTCGAAGCCTAGGTTTCGAACGTAGCTGAGATACTTGTTAAACTCCTCTGTGAGGCTGATTAGTCGATGCACGTCTGGCACTGTCGCTGGACTTTGACATACCAGGGTAACCTTCACAGAGATCCTTAATCGCCGTGGTCTGCTTCTTCTCTCCAATCTTTTCGTACTTCTGCTTGTTGGTAGCTGCCTTCAGGCCCTGCCAAGGTAGTCCGCCTCGCAAGAAGTACATGAAAACATGACCCAGTGCTTCCAGATCGTCTCGTCTCGATTGTTCTCTTCCAAGATGTGTGTTGATGCTCATGTATCGTGCAGTGCCGGACAAGGACTTTCGTTCTCGGTAGGGAATGTGTTGTTTGGTTTTTGGGTCTCTGTATTGCTTGGCCATACCAAAGTCAACCACGTGGATAACGTTGGCTGCTTTTGTGTTTGGACGTCCGATCAGGAAGTTATCGGGCTTGATATCACGATAAATGAGGTTCTTTTCGTGGATGGTTTGCACTCTAGATAGCTGCAAAGGAGGTGAGTAAGAGCAAAGCGAGGAGTGATGGCTGAGGCTTACCATCTGTTTGGCAACCATGACAACGGTTTTGATGGTGAATCGGCGGTTACAATGATCAAAGAGATCCTCCAAACTGGGCCCTAGCAGATCGATGACCAGAATGTTGTGGAGGCCTTCCTGTCCAAAGTAATAGACGTTGGGGATTCCAGCTACGAAAATGTTAGTGGACTTTCGAGCTGGTCAGTATATGGCAAGGCCAACTTACGACAACCGACCAGAATCTTGTATGTCCTGTACTCATCGCGTAGTTGTGGTGCATCACTTTTCCGTGGTTCCTAGAATATTATGAGCCGATGTTGCCATGCATGTCCAGATGGATGGTTTTACAAATTTGATGGCGACTTGCTGGTTGTTGAGTAGATTTGTACCCTCGAAGATGACGCCAAATGAGCCCTCTCCTATTTTCTTTCCCACTCGGTAGTGGACGCCAACCACGTTGGAAGACGAGGAGGCCATGACCAACACTGATGCAGGTCAGGGTAATGCAATGACAGTCAAGGAGTCGTTTTCGATGATAAGAGAAGCTCGGAGGATGGGCGTACAAAGAGGGGGGTGAGCGACGTGAGGGAACGAGGCCGAATCCGGATCGAGGCTGTCGGCGGCTAACCTCCGCGCTACTCAAACAAGTGGTGTCAATGGAATGATGGGGGCATCTCTGAGTGAAGAAGGAAGAAGTTGATCAACATGCAGTGGGTGGGAGGTCAAGCAACTGATGCAGGCATGTAACTTACGGGATAACGGTGGTGTGTGAAATGTCGGAGAGAAACGAGAGGTGATGGTTGAGTTGCTATGCTGGGGGAGTGAGTTGACAGCTCCTGCCAAGCACTGGAGTTGAGGAAAGTTGCGGTCGGCGCAGCCAAGGTCAATGTTAGGAGGAAGGTGGGAAGGCACTGGTGCATCCAGCACTGGTCGGTGGTCGGTCAATCTCTGGAGACGAGGTTGCAGTCTTGCAGAAACAGGCAAAGAGTGGGCCTTGGGGGCACAGGCGCCAGCGGAGATTCTTCTCGACCCGGCGACTGCCTGTTGATAGGTGATAGGCGATAGGCCGAGGGGCTCAAAGCCTAGGCTACTTCAAAGACCTAGAGGCCAGAAGCACAAGAGCTGAGGAAGGGATTCAAGAGGACAATTCAAAGCCAACGGATGCCGTAAGGCTAGCAGTGCACAAAAAATGACACTCTTAAATAGCAGAATTTATCTGATTATGAATTGGTCAACGAATGCAGAGAGATATCTAGGCATATTGGTTCTTCGAAAAAGGTGTTGTTGATGAAGCTCAGTGGCCTGCATTAGGCATCTGCTAGGGACGAGGGTAAGAGTTGCTGCTTAACATAACCCTAGTAGCAAAGGGCGGGAGGAGGTGACGGATCGGGTTCCATCTACCTAAGGTACCTACCTACCTAGGTAGGTAGCCACCTGCAGTTACAGACTTATGGTGGATTGACGATGGACCGGGGGATGATCAAGCGAGCAGCCGTCGCAAATAAATTTTCCTACTATCTAGTGCCTAGTACTTCCCTTGAACTTTAGCTAGCCCATAGATGTGACAGGCTAGAACTTACAGTACGATGCCTGGATGCCAGCTTTCTAGGGCTATTTCGAAGGGTGGTTAACACTCACCAGTGATATGTTGAAAACCCCCTTGCATGCAACTGAGCGGAATGAGGAAGATGATAGGCTTTGAACCTTTGGTTAGGCTGTAGTCATGTCTTGCAGGATAGAGGAACAACAAGCTAGCCAGATTGCGGCCGAGGGCCTCGGGGCCTCGGATCCGCCTGGAAGCTGCAGCCTGTAGGCGGTGGCTCTACTCCGTATGTTTATGAAGCCTGGGAGAGGCTCAAGGTCCTGGGGCCAGACCCTATGATGTTTATTATCCAGTCACGCCATATCAGTCAGTCAATGAGCTTGCCCAGTCATGAAATCCACCTGTCAGTGTCTGGCCGTGCAGGTCGTGCCAGGACAACTTGACAAGAAGACATGTTGACATTTCGACGGCTTGCGCTCTGATCCAATCTTGGGTCGACTTCGGACCAGAGGGATCCAAAGTCGTCTGCATCCACCTTGATAATCCTTGCACGGTCTTTGTGCGTCTTCTCCGTAACGAAGTACTCCGTAGATTGTGAGTGCTAGGCCAAAGGAACCTCGGGAATCCCCCCCAAGGAAAGTCCACCGCAGAGCCAACGGCCAGGAGCATTGTGGCGTACAACCAACCGAGAAACATTTTTATCATGATCCATTCAGTATCGTTGCTCGAGAATGCTCTACCACTGATCTCCGTCACCAAAACGGGTTCGCTTTCCATGGTACTTGGGGAACGCGAGGATCATCAATCAGAATAGTATCTATCCCTGAAGAACATATGGCCGTGATCCTCATCGTTCCCTAAAAGATGCATAACGCAATGTATACCACCCACCTTGGGTGCTCCCGCTCACCACTTGAGGCTTTTGGCGTGTCTTCGCAACCCTTCAGCGACCCTTATACGGTTTAAAAACACCGCGTTTTGGGCCCTAACCTTTGAGATTTATTGTAATTGTCCGGGACCGTTGTGTAACATCTGTAGATGCAGTCCATATTGTCACGCTTTGACAGGGATGCTCATCCTTGGGCATCTAGCCACAACCGTGCTCATGGACGCAGGGACATCGAGTTCATCAAGTGCCGACACGGGTGACTGTGCTGTAAGGACAAATAATCCGATTCCTGGATCATGCAATCAACCGCTATGATTTCTATCCACTTGTGAGCTGTCCATTCATCTAACCTGGTTATTGAGCGACTATGTTTGTGCATTCTTGACCCATGTTCGACATAAACAAACAAAGCCAGTCTTGGTGAACACTAGGCCCGAGGGCCCAAGCGCGTCAGGGAAGCTACGCAACCTGCAGGATCTACTCCATAGTCACTTATCAATTCTTCTACTTACAACAAATACGGAGTAGTACTACAACAGTATATGAGAGCTGCTAACCAAATGTTCACTGCTCCTACCGAGTCGAGACTGGCGAAGCGACTATTACTCGTACTACTGTATGCCTTCACTCAAATTTGCTTTTACAGTAACAACAACCTGCAATCTGCAGCCTGCACCCCACAGTCAATAAACACATTTACCTCCGTACTTATGCAGGCACAATGCGCCAGCCCAAAGTGCTAACCGCCATAGTCAACGCCACCCGCAAACTCTCCTACACCGCCCGGCCCTCCCACAGCTTGACAAGTGCTTAACTCGCTGTACCTTGAGACCATTGACACCAAAATCCGTACGACAAATATACAGTGATGCTCCTCCCGAACACCCAGGATATCTTGATGCCCTTGATTGCCCATGCTTTCCATGTCTCCCCTGACTTTGGCGTCTTCTATTCTCATTCCTCGACCGTCTGGTACCATCAGTGCCAAACCTACTTGCTCAGCTCCACCAGTTCACTCACCGCCCGACCTTTTGAGAGTTTGCGGCTTCGAGGTCGGGTGGGAACATCCTGGACCGTAGACCTGGACTGACTCCGTCGTATACGTGTCACATTTCGAAGAGGAGACGGAGTGGCAGGTTGAAAAGGTACAGGTGTTGAAGACCTCGAGGCCGGTTCCGTTTTCGTTTTCAATAGTCCTCCAAACACAAGACTCCGACTCTTCCTGATTCCTTGCCCATCTTGAGAGGCCATGCTTTGATTTGCATCACGTTCTTTCAATGGGGTAGCTCTCCCTTTGAAGGAGCCGCTAGATGCAGCGCTCTGGTCAATTCTCCCATGCATCTGTTTGGCTTCCTTGGCTTTATTGAAAAGGCCAAACCCGCTCCCGCTCTTCTTTAACTCTCCCCGCGAGGGTGGCTTGCTTCTGGCGTGAACTTGTCTGGTTGGAGTGTCACCACCTGTCACTTCACGTCTTTTCTTCGTCAGCGAAGCGGGTTTCTTGTGCGAGCGTGGTGTGTCTCGAGAATATTGGCTCAAGTCGCCAAGGGATGGCGAATAGATTGGTGCATCCTCCAGAGTGATTGAGTCAGCACCGTCTTCGCTCAATTGACTTGGGGTGTCGGCTCTCTGCGGCAGCGGGCTGGCAGCGGGTTGGCCTGACTCTGGGGGGTGCATTCTCAACGGATTGACCCCCCGGGGATAATGCTGGATTGGATCTGAAGAGATGTATGCATTGTGATCGACAGAAAATATCTGAGGTCGGGGCACATTTTGACGCGCAGCAAGAACTTCGACGGTTGTCAAAGCTGTGGCAGAGCCATCTTTCATCTTTGCCTTTGGAGCGTTCTTGCGCTCTGGTAAGATGGTGGATTCAATGGTGGCCGACATATCAGGTTGGGATTCGACAATTGCACCGTGTTTCTCGTCTTGACCTACCCCCTTTTTCAGGCTAAAGTAAGATGACTTGGATTTTAGGAAAGACATGTTCGACACGCTGCGTGGCAGGGACGCTTGAAAGTCGAGTTTGTCGACAGCACTGGCAAAGGATCGAGTCAGAGACCCAAAGGCAGAGTCATTCTCATAGTGATCGAGGTTTGAATCCTGAGTGAGCTCAGCCAGAAGCGGTGGGTCTTTTGTTGTGGGCGGATAATCGTTGCCTGAAGGCTTGCGGCGAGCGCAACCGCGACTGGTGAGCTTTTTCATTTTTGCCCTATAAAGATCGAAATTATGCTCAAGCGGATGTGTTGGAGACGTAACAGAAAGTCCATCTGTGGGTATGAGTTTTCCATATCCATTGTCTTGTGAGGTACTAGGGACTTTCTCCCCAGAATCGACCAATGGAGAACCTCTCAATTTGACACGGAATGCATCGCCTAATCGGAGAATACGTCTTCTTCTGGAAGTCGTTCTTGGACCACTGGGAGTGGCACTAGAGTTTGTCGCCGAGGCTGATATGCTGTCGGTGAGTCGATCAGGGATGGCTTGTGCAGTCTTTCCTGTCTGGGGATTCCAAGGGGTCTGCGTAAAGGAAGCTTCGGACAATTCGCTATGAGGAACGTTTTCCCTCTGTGCAACTGCTTGATTTGTAGTGCTTGTAAGTATTGGTGCAGAGATGACACTCCTCGCAACGGTTGACGAGCTGGCGGTCTTGGTCAGGTGGACGGAGAGACTTCGGGGATACTGGGCTCTCGAAGAGGACCCTGAGAGAGAGAACCAAGACAAGGGACGGAGTCGATGGGTTCTGGGACGACGGCTTCGGTCACCGTCAACCTCGCCTTCGGCGTCCGGGTCATTGTCACGAGGTCTTGGAGTGCCAGTAGCGATAATTGTTTTGGGCTTTGGGACAGGAATTGGTGTCTGCACAGGCTCAATTTGGGTCAAAGACTCGTTAGAGGAATAGAGGTTGCGGTTGGGCGTTGGGGATGGGGGTGGTTGACTGTTGGGATCACACTGGAAGGACAAGACCGAGGTAGGGCGCGGGACGAGGCTGGCCTCAGAGGGCACTCGAGCTGCTGTAGGAATTTCTGTTAGTTCCTGGCCGTTTTGATGCAATTGAGACATGCCTTGTCGTGTTCCCGCTCGACTGAGAGAGCGGATTGTATCGAGGCTGAAGAAGGAGAATGAGCCTCTGCTGGTATTGCGTTTGTGAGCCATGTCCAAGGGCATCGAGTTAGACACTTTAGGGTCACGAGAGTGATGGGTTTGCAACAGCGACACCGCCTGAGATGGGGACCCGTCGTTGAGGTTTTGCTGATGGCTGTAAAAGACTTGGACAAGCTTGTGGCGAGCCATGACTTGCAGTGGCAGCGAGTTCTTTCTTGGTAGGAGACCGCATCTTCACAGGAGAAGGAGCAGAGGTAGACACTGGGAAGCCACGACTCATGTTCACGCGGACACGACACGGACTTGGACTCGAAAGAGGAAGGCGACGGGGTTTGGGAAGTGAGGAAGTTGCGTGTTGTATTGCGTATATTCACTCGTGGAAGGCGCTGCTGAGGCGACACCAAATGGCAGTGACACCCGAATAGACGAACACACACGACCACACGTCTCAGGATTCAACTCTTTTGTCTGGATAATCTGAGCCAGTGTGTTTTGCGTGACATGAACCAGGAACGCCATCGCCGTCGCCATTGCTATCCGGACAGGTGACGTTGGTTGAGAAGCCAACTTGAATCTGTAACACTGTCTCGGAGCATGAGTGGATGGTGACGAATGAACCAGTCATACTCGAAACAATTCGCAACTCAGTACCTACCTCATGCGTGCTCATGTTAGATGCTGTGATAGCCAGTAATTAGCTTATTAAGCATGGCTACAGACGCGGAATTGACAGAAAGTCGGTACAAAAGCACTGTTAATTATTGGAACATGTAGAGTCAGAATTATTCCGCGTCGCAGGTGCGGATGGGATAACAAACGACGCCTCGGCCGCATGGTGTGGGTATGTCGGTCTTTCACGGCACTGAGGGGAGAAATAGGTATGCATCCCCAAGGGAGGGAGGGGACGGCATAAGAGTACATGTCCACATTTTACAATAGGTATGTACCTTGTTGCCGCGGTTCTCTCCATCGAGGTCGGTACAAGAGCTCTGGGGAACCCCGCATCCAGCTTTGATGTCCCGTTCAAACAGCCGTGTATCCTAAGTAAGTAGATCGGATCGGTTCACTAATCTTCTAATCTTCTATGAGTGATTGATTCTCGTGAGACCATTTTCCAATCTGACCAACATCAAAATAGATACCTTATTAGCCTCTCCAAGTAAACATCGTACAGTGGAAAGAACCAATCTCTCTTATCCCATCCGGAGTCCAACACAGTCCTGTCAACCCAGTTCCGTCTTATAGTCGACTTCCAAATTTTTGTCATCCCCTTCAATTCCCCTCTAGTAAGCTAATCAACTGGCGATATTTGGCTTCAGCCATGCCTTATTCTCTGAAAGGTCGTAATGTTCTAGTGACCGGCGGCGGAAGGTAAATTTCACCCTTCAAATTTGCCATCACAAGATCTTGACCTTCTGAGTAGGGGCTTGGGCGCAGTCATCGTCGACAAGTTCGCAGCCGAAGGAGCCAATGTGGCTGTCAATTATGTCGCGAGCAAAGACAAAGCCGTCGAGGTCGCCGAGAAAGTCGCAAAAGACTATGGCGTCAAGGCTATTGTCCTTCAAGCTGTTGGGTCTCCCTTGAGTCCATCCAGATATGGCCTCCGACTAATCCAGCTCCTAGGATATTGGTGTCATTGCAGATTGCCAACAGGTCGTCAAGGAAACCATCGAACAGCTGGGGGGGATCGATATCATCGTCAACAATGCTGGCTGGACTCGCTTTTCCAATTTTGGCGACCTCAATGACTTGTCGCACGATGAATGGCAAAAGGTGGGTACTTGTCTAGTAAGGCGATGCCACTCTATTGACACTGCCAGTGTTGGTCAACCAATGTTATGTCACAACTCGTCTTGATGCAGTCTGCTCTCCCAACATTCAATGCCAATCCTGACGGTGGGGTGTTTCTTATCTCCTCGTCTATTGCAGTATGTCCCCCTCTGAGATCATGGACTTCTGAGCTGAAATCACCTCCAGGGAATCAGTCTCGGCGGAAGTAGCATGGGCTACAGCGTCACCAAAGCTGCTGGACTCCACCTCATGAAATGTCTTGCTGCTACACAGGGCCCTAAAGTCCGCGTCAATGCTGTGCTGCCTGGCTTGCTCTTGACCGAATGGGTAAGCCTGCGATGCCGTCAACCCCGATCCTCCGGTGGATTAAATGTGACTAATTGTCGATAAGGGCTTGAAATACTCTGAAGAGAGGATTGAGGCCATTAAAAACATGGCAGCGTTGAAACACGAGGTATACTGATCCTGCCGCCAGTGGTGAGGCCGTTTACTGATCGCCACATCAGACATTTCTCGACGATTGTGCAGATGCTTTTATTTCTCTAGCCAAGAACTCATCTCAGACCGGAGTGTCGACTGTTGTCGGTAAGGAATACGATGATAGAAACAAAGGTACCTGCTGACCAAGAAGATGCTGGTGTGGCTATCCGATAGATGTCGCTTCCACGTTCGCGTCCACCTGAGTGCTTGCCGGATCCGCAAATGTGTACAAGATGTGAGCATCGACTTTGGCGGCCATGACAAAGAAATTCGATCCAGCTGCTGCACGGGCCGCTGGAGCTTTTGACTTGCCCGCGACAGTCAGGTTAGGGATGCATAATGTACGGATGCGGGTCGGTTTCTCTGACATGACATTGACGAAAAGGGGGTTCTGGCAATTCAAGACATTGTGGTTTCGGTGGACAATTGAGTAGGGAAGCCCGATAGGGATGGACGATACCAACTTCCGTATATCTAGGGGAATCTCATGCTCCGTGGCATCTCTTAAATCGAACAATTTCAGCGTATGCTGTTGGCCATCAATCGACTGTGCTTGAATCCAAAGTTGCCGGGTAGCTCCCACCCCCCGGGTCAAGCGTAATAAATACTCTCCCGTCATGGTTTGGAAATCGACCTGACATGTTTCAGTGGTGATCTTGGGTGCCAACTTTGCTTCGTCTTTGCGCAGCGGTGACTTGACTGGAGAATATGGCGGAACGTAGAGTTGATTTTTGATGGCGTCGACCAGCATGGATGCTCCTAGTGGAGCTAGGATGGGGATGAGGTCGTCAGGAGTGACGGTGTCGAGGCGGGGCACTTTGATTCCTGGTTGAGGGGTCTGGTCAAGCACTACACCGGCGTCGAATTTGGTTGGGTGCAGAGTTTGCACCGACACTCCCATGGTGGTCAAGCCGTGTATAATCGTCCACTGGAGAGGAGCTGCACCTCGAAGATCGGGCAACATTGAAGGGTGGACGTTCAATCCACCGTACTCAGCACCATTGATAATCCTCCTGGGGATTAGCAAACCAAAGGACACGGCGACGATCAGATTTATATCAGGATTGAATGTTGAGTCGTACACAGGGGGTTGCCAGCCAGTGAAGGTGGCTATCTGGTGTATGGGAAGTCCAAGTGAGAGTGCCTCTTGCTTGATAGGAGAGACATAGACATTTTTGTTGTCCCGTCCATAGCTTCGGTCTGGCTTGGTGACAACATCTATTGAGATGATATTGGCGGTTTCTGATTTCTGTGCTTCGTACAATGCCCTCAGTGAATGTATACTGAACGTGTCTGAGCCACAGAACAGTATTCTTAGTGGGGAGCTTTGCTTGGTGGCTCGAAAATCAGAGATCTGGCGAATATATTGATGCTGAGGGGGTAACTTTAAGAACCCATGACAAAGGCGACTTTGTCTCTGTACCTGGGACAGCAGCCGACAGACAAATCTACGGCTCATCGAAGCGGGCCGACAGAAGTCTTAAATACCGATGTCCAGGTCTCACAATCCTGTTGATGGATTGGAAGTTGACGACAAAAAAGATGCCCGAATGATATACTTCCTAGTTTAGCTTAGCTTGATAGGGGTTCTAAACCGAATCGGGAGAAATACAAAACATGCCTAATAAATACGCCAAAAATGTCTATTGAACACTGAAAAGCCTCGGCCTGCGGGAATGAATTGGGCTTTTGGCTGTGGCTCTGGCTCGTCCTCCCACCACCACCATCCAAGTTGCTCGACGCCGTGACGATCGCGGGTCTGAAATAGATTTCTCCAAGATAATTCAGCGATTGGAGCGTCTTAATTCCCTCCTTCATATACCCCACCACTGGTCTACTTGATCACTGTCCTGGATTACAACTGAACCTGCCTTGGGCAATCAAATACCCCGCCTACACATTCAACACTCCCTTTACTCAGGCAGGCAGCCTTTGGCTAGAGAACTACGACATCTACGTACCCTTTCTTTGCTATTTATTGTCCAAACTCCTGTCGCCAGCCTCACAATGGCAGAGGCGACTGAACCAAAAACAACGAAACCACCTGACGCTACCGTGGAAGACGACTCAGATCCAGACTTTGATGACCTCGATGGTATGTGGCAGAGCCTCGGAGATGCCATTTAGCCACGAAACTGACATTCTCATGCTATAGATGTACTCGACCAGTTCTCCGCAGCAACCGCATCCAACACCCAAGCACGCCACGATGAAGCACACTCGCAAGTGCAACAGTCCCCTTCCTCATCCGCCAAGGCCTCACAGGCACCACCAAGCACGGCACTACCTTCCAACATCAATATCCCTTCTGGGCCGTCAAAAGGAGAAGACGAAGAAGAGTTCATGTCCCGTCTAACCGCTGAGATGTCGAGTGTCATGTCCCAGTTCAGCCAAGACCCTGCTGCATCAGCGGCGACACCTGAAGATATTGCCAAGTTGGGCCAGGAGCTGGAGGAATTTACTCGAAGGATGGAGGCCCAAGGGATCAAACCGGAAGACATGCTGCGAGCTATTATGGGTGAGGATGTAGGTGACAAGATGGTCGACGCAGTCGAAAGTGAGAAGGAGCGGACAAAGACACCACCGACCTCAGCAGCAGCAGCCGCCGCGGCCGCCCCACCGTCGCAACCCTCTTCCTCGCAACCCCTACCTCCCTCAGAAGCCGAACCATCTCAATCGGCACCAACAGCCGAGTCAATTGAATCAGCCTCGAAAACAAAAACAAAGTCAAAGTCGAAGTCGAAATCCAAGGCCAAGGCCTCCCCCAAAGCAGACACTTCGTTCGAATCAACCATCCTCCAAACCCTGTCGCGGATGGAAAATTCGTCCGCCGCAGCTACAAGCGCAACACAGAAATCGAGCCAGAAATCAGAAGAAGACCTTCTCGCCGAGATGTTACGCGCACTGGAAGCCTCTGGCGCAGGAGGCGACCCATCTTCTGGTGATGGCGACAATGACGTATCCAAGATGTTCTTGCAAATGATGGAACAACTAACCCACAAATCTCTACTATATGAACCGATGAAGGAACTCAGCGAGAAATACCCATCATGGCTGACGAACAACCAACCACCCAAATTGTCCGCGTCAGAGCACGAACGCTTCTCCAAACAACGGATCATTGTGGACGAGATCGTCGCTCGATTCGAAAAGGCCTCGTATAGTGACGACAATGGCGCCGATCGAGAATTCATCTGGGAGAAAATGCAGAAGATGCAGGATTTGGGCGCACCGCCTGAAGATTTGGTGGCAAATCCATTCCCTGGAATGGGTATGCCGCCGGGACTAGGTGGGTTGGGTGAAGATGGTCAAGGGCCAGAGGAGGGGTGCCCGACTCAATGATTTCAAAAGTACTAGTATGAGCATGTACTGGGAGATATGAAGTACATTGGGCATTGGGCATTGGTGATTGGGACACCTGTGCTTGTGCGTGTGAGCCTGTCACGTTCTAAAAGGAAGGACTGCGAAGTGAGTGGTAATCAGTCAAAATAGACAGAGATATATATATGCATGTAGCATGCAGTTGATATCCTAAGATATATCTATCCATTTGGTTCAAAAGGCGCCATCTACTGCTCAACCGTCCCTCGCATTATCTCGTCAACCAGAGAAGACACGGGACACATGGAAAAAAAAAGAGAGAGAAAGTGTTGCTGATTCTGAGATTTATTTATTATAGGTCTAAAAAATCGATCGACCTAATGTCTATTTGCCTGTTTTCCTGTCTGCCTGTAGGCCTCCCCGGCACGACCTTCTATACCTAGCCCGAGGAAATTCTTCCAGTGTCCCAGATCTAATCAGCTAGTCAACCCTATGCAACTGTAATCTTCCATTGCCTCTATACGTGGGCCTGAAACAAACAGAAAAACACGGATTATAAGTAGGTATACTTCCCACAGGGTCGTGTTAGACAGAGGTGTCAGAAGCGTCGTAATACCAACATTATGATCATCATGACAAGTCCATGCTAGACTCAAGATCCTGTGCTTGTGTCTGTTGATGTGCCTGAGTCTGAGCGTGAGCCTGAGCTTGGGCGAGCAGGTCCGGCTGCAGGTGGTTTTGTCCTGTGAGCGATGGAGGCTGTTGTTCTTGAGACGTCGACCATCCACCCGAATCACTGGTCTGATGTTGATGTTGATGTTGTTGCGACAAAGCCTCGACGAAGAACCTATCAAACTCATCCGGGTCCAGATCAAAACTGTCATTATCCTCATCATCGTCCTGAAATTCCCGCTGGTTCTGACGGTCATCGAGATACCCTGGCCAGTCAACATGGTTTTCGATGTCAAATTCCTCGGTGGGAGACAATTCAGCATCCATGTCGGTTTCAGCCTCCATATCCATGGTGGCTGGTTGTTGCTCTTCCTGATAAGACTGGTCGTCCATTTCCTCCTCCTCTTGCTCCGTCAAAGCACCTTGCTCAAGAATAGCCACCTTCCTCATCTGTTCCTCCCAGCCTCTGCGCTCTCGCACAAAATCCATTCTTAACACTTGATCATTTGTCCCGTCTGTGCGGGTATCGTCTCTCCGTCGCTTGATCCGGTCGAGGAATTCGGTTCTTTTCTGCTCGCGACCTTGTATCGCATGTCGCGCGAGTGTATTTGCGGGAGTTGAGTTGACTGCCCGAGTGGAGAAATGCATGAATCTATTGTTGGTGGAGGAGGAGGAAGATGATGTGGAGGAGGATCGAGGCGTGGTGGCGGAGAGGGGGTTTGGTGAGAGTTTCTTATGGTTTGATGGTGGAGGAGTCATGAGGTTGGCATATTTGGATGTTCTTAATGGTGAAGGGGTTGTTGGATGTGATATCTGCCGAGTGTTGGACGTGTTGAATGGATAGAAGTTCTCAGTCGAGTGGATTGGGGAAGAGAAGGTGAACATGGTGTGAGAGAGAAGATGGTGGGATTCTTTGTACACTCGTTGCTGTCACCTCGTCGTCGTCGTCGCTGTAATGATCAAAGAATGGTGAGTGTATATGGTGAGTCCAGAGGCAGAGTACAGGTAGGTAGGTTGAGTGATCAATGCCCGCCTGATAGTTGGAATGGTCTGTCCTCGTAGTGATTAAATGAGTGACGCGAGTCGCGCTCAGAGAAGAGGCGCGGAGAGAGAGTGGGCGTGATACACTAGTGCTTTTTAGGTTAGATTTTGGAAGGATAAAGCCGTCGTCTGACATATTGTGCAGAGTTTGAGTACCGCGAAGACCGGGGAAAAGAATCTGCCTGGTTGGGTCTGACTACAGAATATGGACCAGTAAAAAGAGTCTCTTTGTGCAGACTCAGCCACACTGAAGCACATGTCATCAGGCTTGGAAGCAGGTCTGACGGTGGATCCAATAACAGAGAATGAGAAAGCATATTGGAATTTTCCGAGAGGGATTTTCGTTGGGGCATGCGTATGCATACGAGTCGTACAGTACACTCACACTGTTGAATCTCACGTGGCTTTCAAGAATGCTTCTGGAGCCGGATGAAAGACTACTGTTCACATAGAATGGCTTTTTATTGTTACATACTTTAGCCACGAGTCCGCCCTCCACACCATATCGACCGTGGGTTGTATGTACACTTCAGTGAGAAGCAAGATGGCCGCGTGATAATTCCAGCGGATCCCGGATCCCGTAATACTTGGTGCCATAGACCCTCAATTATGCCCATGAATATCTTGACAAAAACAACGGCGGTATCGCGCACCGCACAATCCGCCCCGAGATTGGTATGACGCCTGGAAAATGTGAAATGAATCCACTCCGTAGCTTGGAGAGATTCCTGTTCGCTAAATGTGGACAGAGGGTTCATTATGATCGTGATGCTACTTCTGCTGATGGTGCTGGTAACAGTCTGAGAAACCACACGGAGCTGAAGTAGTTCAGCTAAAAATTGGACGCGGTGTTGACAGGACCCGGTTGATGATACTGCTCCAAATTGGATCGGAAAGGAGTGCTGTCAGAGCCGGTGGTGGCACTGAGTTTATCCTGGTTGAGGTTGGGGTCATACAAGTCATCGTCGTGTAGAGTCTTCTTCTTGCCCCAAATGCGCCATGCAGTGTATCCTAGACCAGCCAGCAACAAGGCACCACCCACACCTCCAACGACGCCTCCAATGGTCTTTTTCGCTGTGTCACTAAGACCGCCCGAACCGCCATTGTTGCCATCGCCGCCTGACAAACCAGCAGTAGTTGTCACTGGTATGGCAGTGCTGCCTGTACTAGTGATTTGTCGAGTAGAACCATCGGTGACAGTGGTGATGGTGGTTATGACATCCTGGAACGAGGTAGTGGTGATCACGGTCTGGCTGGAGGTCGACTCTGGGGTGGGGGTGCTGATGGTAGATGTCTCAGTGGTGGTGATGGTCTCGCTGCCTGTGGGATCTGTCGAAGTGGAAGTGGAAGTTTCAGTGATGACTGTGGTAGAAGCGGTGGATAGAGTGATGGTTGAGGTGGTTGACTCAGTCACAACGGAGCTGGTGGTAGAAGGTGTACTAGTAGGAGTGGAGGTAGGATCGCTGGAGGTAATAGTGTCACTCTCGCTGCTGACGCCCGTGGACGCACTCGCAGTCTGACGTCTGAAGAGGGCAATAGCATCGTCTAAGGGATCAGCGGAAGCCACGGATGCAGAAGCCAGCAGTAAGGCGGCGATGTAAAACGATGGTTTGTGCATGTTGATGTGTTAATGTGTTGAGGTCCAACTTGAGATCGAACTCTGGTGGAGGAGCGAGGAAGATAATGGTCAAGGGACCAAGGATGGAGAGGGAGCGGCAAAGGAAGAACCGGTTGTGGTGACGAGTGGTGTGAAACTCTCTGACTAACGAGTGTTGTCTGGCCGAAGAAGAGCGCGAGCGAGCAAGCGAGCGTGCTGAGTGTCCAACTGCGGGTGGGGCGAGGCAATAGGGACACGCTGAATAAAGGTGTTTTGAAAAGAAGAGGTTATTTTGTTGTTAGTGATTCAGAAAAGGGATTGATGAGACAAAGAGGAGATGGAATTAGAAGAAAGAAGGAATAGGATGGAATAGTAGTGAACAGTAAGTAGGTAGTAGGGGAGAGTGAGGAAGTGTGGGAGTGTAGCAGGCAGTGCAAGTGGATCGACGGACACGCAAGATTGTTGACTTTCTTGTGCAGGTTGCAGTTTAGTTTGCCGGCTCAAGGCACATGGTTTGGAAGAAAAAGAAGCCAGTGAGGGAAAAAGGGAACAAAAAAAAGAGGTCCGAGCTTGGTTTCTGGCAGCGGGCATTGTTACTCTTACCCAGCGTGACCCTGGCCTTGGGGGCGTCCTTTGGGAGAGTGATGGGTGCACATTGTGACTGTCACTAATTAGGTATTATTAGGTCTCTGACTGGCCGTGCGGGCATTGAGGGTGGCACCCGAGGGGCGTTTGTTTGAGGGTCGTGACTCTGCGTAGAAACCCACTGCCCCCAGGCGGTTATTGCAGTCTACTGGTCAACCGGAGCCTCCCGCCTAGCCCTCCCCGGGACCCAGTCATGTTAGCATGACGGCCACCGCCTAATCATGGCTCTTTAAGGGCAATGCTAGTGATTAGTGCCCGCCTACGCTTAACAAGAGTTGGTACACTCGGCTGCCAGCCAGCCACATTGCTTATGACAAGTTACACATCAACTTCAGAGCAGTCTAGACATCATGACAATAATCATGGTAAGAAGTGATTCGTAGAAACTCCCAAAACATGAAACCGAGCAAGCGGCTTTCAGTACACAAGAGAGATGCTCCTGGTTTCCCAAATGACAACAACAACGATGCAGCCAGCCTCGGGCGATCTACCGTCTGCACTGTAAGGAGATGAGGAGAACAGGAGACACGATGGGGACTTGGTGGCTCACCGCTGCAAGCGAACCTGGATCAACTCGACTGATGGGCCAGGTTTCGAGGTTCGCCCTCAGCTAAAATGACCATCAAATCTGGCAGACGAATGAGACTGCGTAAGCCCCGGGCCCCGTTGCAACTGGTGTTGCAAATCAAGTTTCATCCTAGCAATCACGTGGGGATGTCATGGTGGTTGCTCGTCATACCGGAGTACTGTTAATGTCCCGGCAACTGGTGCTGATTGCTGACTGGGTTGTAAAATTGTCCTGATATGCCAGGATACCTGGCTTTGATGGCTTCCAAGGTGACCAGGCGTGCTAGAAACTGTAGTATGACGTCTGAAGGCTTCATAGTCAAACATGGATGTGCATTTGATGTAGATCTTCAACAACTGCCGATGTCATCCTCTACTGTAACGTACATACATACATGATTGCCTCCTCTTTCTTCCTCTATTGGCCTGGCGAACACTTGTGGAACAGTCTCAAGTCCAACTGGACGGAAATCTGTTGACGACATCTAGGCCGAGAGAGAACTGTTCTCTGCCATGGCAATTCTCGGCTATGCACAGTTCATGCAAACCATTATCAATCATCCTGTACGTTGTACACCATGAGAACTGATCCTAATTAATTGATGAACACGACTGGCAGTGCCTGGCCAATCGCTTCATGAATCTCAGCCACTGAAATAATGCCAGGAGATCCATGGCACACGCGCTCAACTTCATACCCTAGGTTCGACTGACCGAAGATGCATTATTCCAAACCAAACTCACAAGGACAGCGGGTCTGTAGTCCCATGACAGACCTCATAATGTTTGTCCTGCTATAGCCAACGCCTGCAAGTCCAATCCCATTCCAAGTTTGCTGGTTACAAGTACAGACGATCCCCCCAGACAATTAGATGATGGCTTCGTCCGCAGCATTCTGTGTGTCCTGCACCCTATACATGTGGAACTGTGCAAAAATAACAACGTCTTCCGCCATGGTTCCCAGGCTTCCAATCAGCCATGGCAGGTTCTTCATTACATATGTCGACTCGGTCGAATGGAACAGAATCCCCGCGCCGTAGGTGAGATTGCCCATTAGGGACAGAATGAAGAACAAGAGTGATAGACCTGTGCAAGATCCTAGTCAGTATCGCAGGACGGGGCAAGCCATTGGCCTTAAAAATAACTCAAAGTCCGGGGAGAGTAGCATACCTTCACAACTGCGATCCCGCGCATTCTTGACAATCTGCGGGATCCTAGCACCGAGATACGCAACCGCACTCAGATATCCCAAAATCTCTGCACCGAGGGCCATCTCTTCTCCATGATCATCCGCAGACGTCGGCGAGGGTTTCCAAGCCCCCGACTCGTAAGCGACCGCCCAGCCAGCCGCACCCACCACGGCAATGGCCATGATACTCATCGCATTCTTGAACCATAGCTGAGCACCGTTCTCGTCACTCTCCTCCAGGATCTTGGCTAGCTGGTCATCCTGTCTGGCTACGCTGCTCCTGCGCCGACGAGCACTGGCACTGCTCCGCCGACGAGTGTCGGCCGAACCAGGGATCGTAATACTGTTGGCCCGTTTCAAGAGTGGCTCTTCCTCATCTGGCACGCGAGAACTTTGCTGACCTACTCGTCCGTCCGGTGCTGCACTGGACGATGACGCCCCAGCAGAAGATGGACGAGCACTTAGGAGGGCTTTGCCTTGTTTTCTCTTATTCTTGATCCCGTAGTATAAGCACTGTCCAATGAGGACTCCGTCGGCAATACAGAAGTAGACGGCAATGGCGGTGATGACGGGGACTAGGCCTGCCCAGATGGCACCCGCGAAGTTGGCCACGTCGCCGATGAACCAGACAAATATAAAGGCGAGACTGATAGCTTCGGCGGAGGAGTTGCGGTAGTTTTCCAGGAGTTGGGGGAGGAGCAGGAACAGCCAGCAGGAGAGCGAGATGGACCCAAAGATACCTGAGAGCGCCTCGCGGGTGGTGAGTGGGATTTCTGACGCCGCAGCCACCTCAGTCGAGGTCAGCATCGTCGCCAATAGTCTTGTTATCGCTGCCATGCTGAGGTTGGAGGCTCAGGTGACGGGGGTTCGTCGGTAGAGGGAGTCGCAATCAAGTACACACAGCAACTAACACATGCTGGGCCAAAGAGATTTTGTTTTGGGTGTGTGGAAGGACTGCAAGAAGTGTTGGTTACAAGGAAGAAGGAAAAGCTCGAACTGGATCCCAACAGCTTCTCGAGGTTTCAATGAGTGCGGAGGTGGAGATGGATCGGCGTCTGAATCTCTTGTTTTTTGCGATAGCCGGGAAGCAACAGTGCGCTTTAGTCAGACTGCAATATTTACCCGGATTAGGCATGATAGAGGGAAGCATTTGTGGTGGAATGAATTAATTGATGGTCAGACAACGGCTTTGCCTGAAGACAAACTACCAACTTGGAACACGTGTTTAGGTATTCATATAACAATGACCTAGAGAATTTCAATTGCACCAGCTATCCATGCTATATCTTCAGGGGCGCCAAACTTTTTACGATCGATAAAAGGTTATGTATTTCCGTCACACAACCTAAGCCATGCCAAAGACAGTATCATGAGCAGCGGAGTTGCGGCCTCCATTCATTGTGCTCGACGGATCAAATAGGTCCCATCCCGCCACAAAGCCGTCAACACTCCCGCTTCTGCCATCACTCATGGAGAAGTCGTCCCAATTCAAGGTTGCAACATCGAACATGTTGACCCCACCATCTCCGTGACCAGGCCGACTACCGAACCGGAGTTTGTCAAGCTGTGCAGGCCCGGGGTACAAAAGGCGCGTCAGTTCAGCATCTTGTGCTGGACCGAACGACGCCAGAGAGGGTGGGCGGTTGCTGAAGACCGACTCCAGTAAAGGCCCAAGCAGCCTCTCGTATATCCCCGCATAATTGCTCACCTCGTTCCACCCTTGTGCGGCGAGGGCCAAAAAGTTGGCGGTAAAGACCTTTGTCATTTCGAAAATCTGCTGAGCACTAAACCGGCCACTGATAGTGTCATATCCGTGACGCAGACAAAAGAGAACAACCATGCTATTCTCCAATACGTGGTGGGCAATCAGCCACGAACGCCGGTAGAATCCCGTGAGGATGTGATCCCGCAGAAATTTGGCTGATGAGCAGGCGGCCTCGAAGGCCACCATCAACGACCTTGGCTCGGGCATGGGGACACGTGGGGAGGGACGATGAAGGTTAGTCAGTCCATGTGCCAATGTAAACTCGGTGAGTTCGTGGCCGTCGTTGTAATCCTCATACCAGGCCTGGAGACGCCGTTCCATGGCCGTCAGCCAGTCTTCCCAAGTTTGGCCTTGTTCCAGGGGTTTGCCCTGGAAATGGACCTCTGTCATGGTGGACTGTAATCTTCGGAAATGAATCCAGCGAAGCATGTGAATTTTCGTCTCGGTTCCAGTGGGATCAATGCCCGTGGGATGAATGTGTCGATCATCTAGGATAGAAGGGAATCGAGCATCAATAGTCTGATCAGGAATGCTGAGAGGGCGTTGCAAAGCTGAACAGATGGCGCGGTCGAAATTATATGCTGACCAGAACACCCGGCGTCGCAGGTCTAGGGTGAGTTGGTCAAAGGCGAGGGCCTCTGGGGCCTCCCGGTGGAGGCCCAGCTCAAGACAAGCCCGCATTGCGGCGCCAGTCAGCATCCAAACATTGGCGAGGCGCGGATTGATGGATGCATATTGAAGCACCATCAACGTGACTTGAATGCCCGCCAGATCCGAGGGGATCTTTGCTTTGTCAGAAAGGTGCTGGATGCCTTCTTCAAACAGACTACCCGAGAAGACCATGTGTTTGGCTTCGTGACCGGTGCGGGAGGAGCCCAAAGTAGCAGAGATTGACAACATTAGGTAGACAATAAGAAAATCATATGAGGGTGGCACGGTGCGATGGCGCTCGGGGAGTTCTTGAAGTTTGGTTACAACATTGTCAAGTTGCTTCCATAGAGTCGGCGCATGGAGGATTGGGTAGATGGGATATACTCGAGTCATGTATTTCTTGATAAGAGATCGTAGGATGGCGACAGGAATCGACTTGAGCATGTTACAGCTGACTTCGTTGCTAGCCCGTGATATTGATTTCCTGCGGGCATCGCGTGGTGAGCCGGATGCAACAGCGGTCGACGGAGTCAGGCTCATGCGGACTCGAGCGATAAGATCAGTGACTCCGGGTCCAGTTGGTAAGATGGCGAAGATCATGGCTTGAATTTCTCCGCATGACATGATTTCGTCCCTAGAGGTGTCCCGCTGCGAGTCAGGTACTGCAGGCGGAATGTCGACAGCGAGAGACAATCTAGGCGACTCTGCGTCAAGTTGGGGCAGATCCAGGATGGGAAGTACGGCGCCGTGTTCTTCGAGGGGAATGCCGTCATTTGTGGGCATTCCAGCGAGGATGTCGGAGGCATTGAGTTCCTCAAGATGGCCATTGCGGGCGAGTTCGCCTTCAATCTTTGCAATCTCTGCCTCTAAGTGCTGGACTATGCTGCGAGGAATGTTTGGATCTTGATCCTTGGAGCTGAACCCAGTGCAATCAGACTTTGCAGAAATACATTGGCCGCAAGGAATGGCTCGGTCGCACTTGATCTTGCGCCGCCGACACCGAGCGCATGACAGAACAGAGCGGCGACACTCGGCCATGATGTTGGGAAGTGGAGTCAGACCATGGCACGATGCCGAGGAGACGAAGGTTGTTCCCAACCGAGATCAGGTGGATGGGCGTCTGACCTGGACAGCGACGACGAGGTAATGGTAGTCGAAAGATGTATTTCTTGGAGAGATTTGGTGGGGGGTTCGGTGGTCAAATCACCGAGGATATGACTAGCCAAGTATGTATGTGTCCGTTTCGAGGATGGGGGGAAGCGAAGAAGGCGTCAGCGAGGAGGGTCGGTTATCATGAAACACCTGACCAGGTAGGTAGGATAGATACGGGAGCGTATGGGTATTCTTGTTTCGATAACAGAGGACCTGTGATACGAGTACACAAGGTGTGAGCGAGCCTGTAGCGGGTGCTGAGACTAGCAAGTCAGTAATCATCAGTTCATAAGATGAGGTTGTACGAGCCTTGATAAGAGCTCAGTCGTCTCTTATCTCATTGAGGTGTTTTTTGATGATAGATCGATAATGAAAAAACAAGGGCGAAGATGACATTCCCCGCCTATGTCGCATGTTGGGCCATGGGTGGTGACGCAGTAGCCAGTGGCCAACATCCAGCCTATGGCAAGGGGGCAATTGTAGCCAGATGGAGCCCGACTGGCCCTCGGCAACGCCTTTTCAAGGACAAGTTTGGTTGGAAATTAGGGGATGGGGGACTCGATGCCCCCATTAGAAGCCCGTAACATGGTTCTGCTTGTCCTAGTTAGGCAGCTGAGATTGAACAGGGAGCATGGATTGGCCGAGGGCTACCTGCATATGCGCTTCTGAACAATCTGGTCCACGTCTGGCCAAGAATAGGACGTCCGAAGTCCGTACTCACCTCTACGGAGTAAGGCCGCTCATGCCCTCGAGTAAACTTCTCGTAAACATTCTGTAAGTGTCTAAGACACATAAGATAGCTTCGAAGGACAAGGTGCAGATACGATACTGAGTTGGCATTTTGGAGATGTCGCAGGCACCGGCAAACTGGGCAGTCACGACAGGGCAGCAGCACTTGGTCCTTCCAGTTCAGATTTGACCTAATATAGCAGGTGCATTGGATATGGAAATGGAGAGGGGGTCGTAGCTTCCCTTTGTTAGTTGTGCTGGTTCCTGCCATTTGGTGTTGGTGTTGATAGCCAGTCGCTCCTTCCTTGAGGCTTGACCGGCTATCGTACCGGCAGGCACCCGGCCTCCAACAACGCAGGAGCGCAGTGCGTGAATCCCCCTCATTGGCCTTTCGCTCTCAATCTCAACTCAGCCTTCGTGTCTCTCTTGTTCAGATTCCATCATCACTATTATTGTTGTCTCAAGTCTACGGACATGACATCCAGAATCAGCCCACCTACCTGTCTTTCAGTCGTCCGATCTCAATGTCTCGGCTTTCTGCAAGGCTGTGAGATGACAACAGCGCACAAGTCCTAATTCAACCTCCAACGCCTCTCTCAAGCCACCGCGGACTTGATCACCCAGTCATTGACCATGGACCCCGACACCACGACCATCTCCGAAGCTGACTTAACCCGCCTCTTACCTACCTGTCAACGATGTCGTCGACTTCGTAGAAAATGCGACACCAACCTGCCTGCCTGTCGACTGTGTGAAAAAGGAAAGGCAGAGTGTACTTTCTTTGATCATGCTCTGCAGCAGACTCTCCCTCGGAGCTACGTCCATTCACTGCTCACTCGCCTTGGACGATTACGTTCTGTCCAGGCCACTGTCAATGGTTCAGCGGAACCCCTCGACCCTTTTCCCATCCCCCAGCACCACCGCAATATCTCTACTACTTCGAGCCAGCTTCTCCAGCCCCCTCCCAACGAATGGGGTACCTACACCTCCGACCTTTCCTTTGACAAACACTTCATTGTCAATCATGCAAATCCCACCTGTTGGCAGTTCCTGGGCAGTTCCTCTCCTTATGCCCTTGCCGTTGAAGTCTTGGTTCACGCCCAGGCCAAGCTGGGCTCTATGGTCCAGCACCCTGACTATGCCGGTCCTGAATTCTGGCTGAATGCTCAGTCGACCGAACTCTTAGAATCTACTCAACGGACATCTCCCCCATCTCGCACTGAAGTCGACATGTTGGTCGACTATTATATGTCCACCACAAATGGACTTGTCGTTTGTTTTGACCGCCAGGACGTCTCCACCGACCTTGACCTCTACCTAAGCCACGCTGGAATGGGTGTCAAATACCTCACGGGCAAGGAAGCTCATCAGTTTTTCCGTATCTCCATGATCTGCGCCATCGCCTCCGCCAACAAGTCTCGACATCAATCCCTGTACGAGGCTGAAGCTACCGCTTACTACACCGAAGCAGTTCAATATGTCGAAGAGGTCACTTCTGACATTTCCGCCGACGCTCTTGAAGCATTACTTCTGCTCATTCTCTTTGCCCTCTTCTACCCTCGAAGAGGTGATATCTGGAAGCTGTTGGACTTTGCCTGCCGCCTGAGCGTAGAACTTGGCTACCACACAGAGCCTAATGACGAGTACGAAGACGAAAAGGCAAGAAGGAGACGACGATCAACCTTTTGGGGCCTCTATTCAGTCGAGCGCACCGTCGGCCAACATCTAGGCCGTCCTTCGGATCTTACCGAAGAGATCATCACAGCAGAATATCCTGCCTCTCTAAACGAATCAGCTCTCGCAGATCCCGATACTCTTCAGTTCATCCTAACCTCCCACTCCTATCGCCTTGCATATCTTCGCTCTGAGATCTTTCGTGAGCTCTATCTTCCAGCCATTGCTCCTAATCTGCCCCGCCTTTGGTACGAGCAAAGCCTAGAACATATTCTCGCTTGGCGCAGAGAACTACAGTTCCTCGACACCGGCCTGGGCATGGGTAGCATGACTTGCGACATTAGCTTTGATTCATCGATTTGTTTTCTCTTCCAACCTTTGCTATTACGTGCTTTGGCAGCCACAAAGGACCCTGTTCTTCCTCCCGATTCTCATGATGTTATACCCCTCGAAAGCTATCGCTCCGCCGTCAATGTGGTGGAATTTTATAAAAAGGTTTTCCGGGGCACCGAAGGCACTACGTGGGGTATGTATCCGGTCACGCTGATCTCGGCCCACTATATTTTTTCCGCGTCGATGGCCATCATGGCACACTGCCTCCTTGCCATCGATGCTCGCCTGCCGGTGGTCAGCTTCTCGCGGGAGCTAAGTGCAGACTCTCACGATGGTTCGGTAGATTTCTCAGGGATCCACGATGTTTCAGGCACCTGCCTCATTCTTCTTAACACGCTGGCAAAGAAGTGGCCCGGCATGGTTGGCACTTTGGACATTTACAAAAACTTACAGGACAAGGTTCTGCCGATTATGATGAGGACCGGGATCGCCTAGCCACCCTCTTCTTCTTGGTTGACCACTAAGGAATTTCTGGAACGAGGCCCTAGACTGAATAGTTCGGAACTTACCAGAATGACCACCAGTGGGCACACTGGCTCCCGATAGGTTATCCCCTTTGTGGCGCACGCTGTTGAATGTACTTTTGTGCCCATCTGCTATGACCCGCTGGAACAATGTTCATCGCGGTTGTATAACCACTGTTTCGCCAAACAAAGCACCTTCGGGAGGTCAAACCCCACGGACAACTTGGGATTAGCAAGGGACCGACGAGGAAACGACAAACGAACCGGCGTGATGTTGTCTTCTTTTTTCTGGCTCGCAAACAAAGATCAGAATCATCGGATTCTTGACTCAGAACTGAGTTTGGCGTCTTTCCGCTTTTTATATATCCCGCCGCATCGAGACTTCATCATTCCAACGCAAGTTTCCTCCTCCACAATCTCGTTCAGCACATACCGACCACATTTTCGACCGCCCCTTCTCCATCCTTCATTTAAATCATTGCTTGCGCGACCTCCTAGGATTTTAACCTGTTCTCACAGAGAAGCGTGCGTGGCTCGTTTTCGGTAAGCAGACTTATTCCCGGCTACCTCGTTCTTTCTGTTCCTAGGTCTCATCCCTCTGACTCCCGCCCTGGCCAACCCTGTCAGGCGCTGAAGAATCGCTCTTGTGTACTTTTGTCCTGGATGAGCGCTGATAAGGAACAGAAAGACTTCGCGAGCATCGCATATCCAGCGACTTTGACCATGAGTCCAGTCCTTCGTCGCTCGGAAAGGATTCAAAGAAGGTGGGCCCTTCGAATGGGCCCACTCAAAATCAGGCTCATTGTGCGCCGTCCTGACCGCGATACCAGAAGTGGGATCAGGTGGAGGTTTATCCTCAGGAACAAGAAGCTTGTCAAGATCGAGGTCATCAGCTGAACCTCTGGAGGATATGGTGATTCGCCCACTAACAGGGTCTAATTCGCGAGTGAAAGCTGTACAAATACCTTGGAATTGTCCATGTTGATTGTGCGAACACCAGGTGAAATGCACTTCGGAAATGATTCATGTCAGAGACGCTGGGTTGGAAAGAAGCATTTGATCTGTTGCTGATTTGACACTCCGGGTCATGCAACTGGACATTCGATGTTGCTGAATTGACACTCCGGTCATGCAACTAGGCAGTCGACAAGGAACAATTTGAGATCCCAGTGAGAATGACTACGGATGTGGACGACGACTGACATTAACGGCGGCTATAAACATACTGTATAGCTTATCTGTGCTGCGGCGCATTGCCTGTGCCCCAAGAGAGGTCAGGACATGAGAAATAAAGCATAAAACATATTACATATAGTACAACGACGGCGATACGAATGGCCTTGTCCCAGGAGACGTGAATCGCACAATTCTCTGATGAATTTGAACCGATCCGGGCTATTTCAATCGCACACTATCTTAATGGCATACTGTTAGGTTCCCTAAATACCAAAATCATTCTCGATTACGCAGGAGACACATTCGACGGAGATATGATAGAGGGAATAAAATAGAAAAAGTTCCCTAGCACTGTGTACACTAGACACAAGTCACCGATCTATGAAGTGAGTCAATGAGTAGTTGTTATACATTCTGGACCACCAGGGCATCATGGACACCATAAGGGTATACATATATACATTTACATTTACATATCTACATATTGTTTGTATCTATTTGCCAGTACTGTTTTCTGATTTCCTGTTTTTTAAGTCTTGTAATTTGCAACCAATCCCCCCCCCTCAACGATCTTGAAGAGGGCCAATACTTTTCTCATGATGCTTCTTTACCCTATTTCATCTCAGAGCCGACGGATATATATGGGAAGATCTCTTCGATACGTTGTATCAAAGCCTCTGGAATATAGATGTCGACGTTATCGACAGCAGGGTCGACAAACAACGCATTGAGAAGTCCCTTCCAATTAGTGACGGTACGAATACGGCCAGCTTCTTGGACGAATTGCGATACATGACCGAGTGTGGCGTCACTATTGCCATTGCCATGGCTAGGGCCAGGGTGTTCAGTCAGACGTCGCTTCAACTCATCCTTATCGAGAGCACGCACGATTACGTCAGCATCGCCATTGGTGCGATGGAGCGAGATACGATGTAACAGTCCACCTCGATCAGCGTGGAACATGATCTGGACTCCGTCGACCACAGGACTGGTGAAGTCGAATTTTGGAGTCTGGTCAAAGGTCCATTCCCGCGTGGATAATTCGGCAACTCCAGCTGCGATATCTGGATTCTGTCGCTCGTCGGCTTCAGTTCCATCGAGATAGATTTCGTTGTACCCTACTTGGCGTGGAATCCGTGTCTGGTCGGAGTCCAGTCCGTACATGTCCCAGAATTCGGTGCAGATGGCTTCAGTAATGACTTGTTTGGTCTGAGCTCGTTGATCGAGATTGTCGGTCCATGCAAGGTTGCCGACTTTGCTGCGCACGCTCTCCACGCCTTTGGCTTGAATATAATCGTGGCCGGGACCTCGTAGGAGAGATGATATTTTGGACAGGTTTGGGCTTGAGAACAGGAGCGTGCCATGGTGGAGAGCACGGCCTTTGGTGAGCTTGTATGCGCTGCCACTGACCTTGAGCCACGTTGGCGAGGCCGAAGTTTGTGGGGAAGATTCTTTAGAGCGCATGACAATGTCGTTGCGGTCATTGACCTTGAGATCGGTGAATCCAAGACGCGCCGCCAGAGGTGATAAAGCCCGGACGACCATTTCGGCATGAAGCGACCGTGTAAAGGATTTGGCCGTGTTGGGGACGGTGACGCTATAGTTCAGGTTGCCGTCGTCGTGAAACACAGTTCCTCCACCGCTGCGTCGCCGCACCAGATCGAGAGGGCCATCTAGACTGTCCTTGTTTACATTGTCGGTCTTGGATATCCTGCGGCCTGCCTTCAACCTACCCAAGTCTGTCTCCAACCACGGGTTCTGATTGCGCCCGATAACCACGCATGGTCGGTTGGTGTAGAATAACAGGATTTGCGATGCAGGATCGGAATTGACGAGGATGTAGTGCTCAATTGAAAGGTTATAGTAGGGATTATCGGAGGTCAGGTGAAAGATTAGCGGAGTCTTTCGAGAGATGTCTCGAAGGTCGCGGAGGGGCCATTTCTGCACAGCTGACGTGTTGGTCGAGTAGCAGCAGTGTGCGCGGAGTGATGGAGCATTAGGTAGTGACTCCTGTTGAGCTGTGACACATTGGTGTGGGAAGAGAGGTGATCGGGGCGATGGGAGACGGAGACGCAGACAAGTTTGAGATCTCAGTCGTGGACCAAGCGCCGTTCGCATTTGAAGCGCAGAATGACCGCAACGGAAACGGCTAACCTGGACAGCGTGAGATCTAATCTCTGATCACACCCAAGGGATGACTTGGGTCAAATATCGTTCAGCCAAAGAGACTTTGGTGAGACATCTGTTGATGTCGATGGTGGTTGCTGATGACACAAAAGTGAGGTATCATTGAGGAAACATTGCCGAGAGACCTGATATTGCCTATTCAGGATTAGCCTCTCCTCTCAAAGGGTGGAGGGGGAGGAGGAAGGAGCACAGAATCTGGTCGCTGGCCAGTTGGCGTAGCATGATAAACAGGGAGATGAAGCATGGATCAGATTTGATGGAGTGGCAGTAGCTCGATGTAAGGTTCATGTTGGAATTTGAGAACGTTATCTATGAGTTTTGATCCGTCAATTGAATGTCCACACCTGATTGCGGTACTTTCCCCAGCCTGGTATCTCCTATTGAACTCCAACAAATGCCTCAAAATTCATACAGCACCCTCATGACGCATGCATGAGGAGTTTTCTGCGAGTGCCAGTCGTTCGTCCCGACATAAAGGCTGGGTGATAGTTATGTCGATCCTAGAGGGTGGTCTTGGCCTACCTATCATGCCCGAACTCCGTTGGCTTTTTTGACTTACATGTGGCCGAGGGGCCTCGGGTCTTTGATAGGTGCGTACCGTGCCTAAAAGCGAAATGCCCCAGGCCTGCAACCGACCCATCGTGCGTCTGGTACGCTGGTACGCTGGCACGGCTAAACGTGTGTCCGACGCCTTCGTATGCTGGAAGTCATCTGCTCTCAATGCCCTCAGATACCCGCAGCTGGCTGCTTCCCACTTCCCACATTGCCTCCAAGCTCAGATTCATTTGTACCGACGAGGCCAGTATCAAGCATTGGTTCTCGCCAGCTACAGCCAGATGCAGCATAGTATCCCTGCCTCGCGTCCACCGATCGATAACTTCGTCCCGCCGTGATCTCCTGGTGGAGGTTGTCCGAGTACAAGAACTGTCTCACCACACGTTTGGTGTCTTCCCAAGCTGAAGCGCCCAAGGCAGCGGCGTGGCTTTGGTAGTTCCTCTCGAACCAACCAGCTTGACTTTTATCAACTGGGTGCACCTTTTCCGCCATGAAACCTACGTAAAAGGCCCACAACCGAAGTCGTCGAAATTGTCCTTGGTCCTCCTCACTCTCGCTCTGAACCAATTTGTTGCGGAGGTCATTCAACAGCTTCAATCCAAATCGTACGGGTTCCGGCGATCCCAAGACCATGTTGGCAACAAGGGCCGTCGCAATGCATGCATACGCTTGACAGAGCGGCCGGCTAAACAGATGGGGATAAATGGCCAAGTTGACATAGTGATCAGCAAGCCTCGAGATGCAGTCGAAAGTGCGAATTCGTTGCCATCGGAGGAGCTGATCGTCAGCCGGGACATCGTGTGATTGGGTATACTCGTTGGTTTTGAAAAGTTCACGCAGGTCGGTCATAACGGCCTTCAATACTGGATGGTCGATCAATGGATCGATGCCAGCGGCATGATCGCCGAAGATTCCGGCCGACATCAATCGAGCTTTCCAGGGCTGACTGAGTGGTCCAGGAGTCCATTCCTGCGCTGGGAAAAGTGGTCGCGTCTCGTATTTCAGTGCAAAATATGCATCGCAAGAGAGAAGATCTTCTCGAAACCAAGAGTCAAGTAAAATGATACCCCCAGCTCCGTTAACTAGATTGCGAAGCATCTTGAGGTGCATGCGTGCGGTCGAGGTGTTGTCAACAATGGTCTCGGAAGAGAATAACTTTAGGATTGCTTTTAGAGTGATGAGATCTTGACTTCCTTGACGGGCTACTCGTGCGCGCAACTCTGTCATGGCCGGACCCTGGAAAGAGCGTACTTGGTAGAGAAGCGATTCATCGTCACTGGCTGTAGCCATTGAAGCCGCGAGTAGGCTGAGGTAAGCATTGAAGTAACACATATCCTGATTGACAAAGGAAGCGTCGTCCCAACTCCGGGCAAGCTCGTAGGTATGGTTCGATCGCTCCGACTCCTTGGGCCACAGTTGTGGGATGAAAACCTCATAGGCAAAGGAAATCAGGTTGCTAACTAAAGATCCGATGGAGCCGATTGATTCGTCGAAGCTGGTGTCTGTGAGATTTAGAAAGCCTGGCATCGGGGCAATGACCGCCGAGGGCTCATCGTTGAGCAAGCTGGAATGAGTGGACGGCGTAGAAGCGGCAGACGTTTGGATTCCGCTGCTGGAACCTTGCCCTGAGCTGAGGCCAGCATATCCCAATTGGACTGGTTCTGCGGTCCATGGGTCAAATCCAAACGAAGGCGTTGTAGGTATTGTCCTGGTCTGGGAATAGTCGGTCAATCCTGCTTGACGAACGTTAGATGGAAAGCGACGTACAGATGATTGCTGTGGCCGACTAGTGGGCGGAGGCTGTGATGACCCAGGCTTGGACTGGACTTGTTGCTGAGGGATTAGAGAGGGCTCAGAGAGTGCTCCGATTGGGACGTTGGCAGAGGCGCGGAGCTTTTTGGCTAGCTCTTGTTTCTTCCACCTCTCATAACGGTTCATAACATGCCATGAGACGGCAGCATTGTGTTCTTTGGAGTCGATGTTGCCTGCGTCCTTGTTCACGAATGAAAACTCACCGCGAAAGGGTGCTGGCTGGTCTGTGTCGTTCTTGTCTTTGGACATTGAGTGCTGAAAGTGGTGGATCTCTGTCAAGTCCGGAATAGGACAATGCTGCTCGAGGGTGACCATGTCGGCAAAGGGGCGCCACAGCTGTGACTATATGGAGAATTTGAGTCATGCTGCAAAGGCGAGAAGGTGATGGCAGATTCTATATCGATTTCCATATGGTTAGGTCAGCTTCCACAGTTTCCATGGAAATGATTTCATAACCATCGCGTTCCATGCATGATAATACTATAGGGTAAGACCGTGGTCTAACCGGTTTTTGAAATTCGTTGGACGAATATCATTGGATGCAAAGGCATGATTTCCAACGGTCAATACCGGTACCGCTGTTTGCGGACTTGAATGGGTCAAGGTTGGGTAAAAGATGGGCCTCACAACAAGATCGCTTGCTGACACTAAGCTTGGAAATACACACAATGGTATTGTCTCGTGCGAAAAAGACATGGCGCGGGGGCTTGCACAAGCACAAGGGAAAAAAAGAGAATTGAGCCTACCAGGAGCGTCATCCGTGCACCTAGCCGTAAGGGTAGAATGTTTCGCATAGGGCTCACGATATGGGCTTAGCGTTCTTGGACCCCGGCGCGGAAGTCGAGTTGCTTGGGTTGTAGAAATTACTGCGAACAGTAGCCGTCATTACTGCGTAGGGTATGGTTTGGGTGCGCCTGGGGCCGAGGGGGCCTCTCGGGCTTCCAGTAGTGCTTGAGTAGGACTCGGTTCGTCCAAGCGGCCGTGACGGCACAGGCGAGGGGATTTGAAAGCCGTGGGACGGGAGGAGGAGAGGAGATTTGTGACTAGCGCGACGCCCAAGCCCACCCGACCCAGTACTCCGTAAGTTATGAGTACCTTAGATATGCCCAGGCTTGGACGTCCCGATGGTAGACTTAACCATGACGAGGCTGATGACAACTTGACAGGTCATGGACATTCTTGTGTTGGCGGTTACAGTATTTACTTGCAGGCTTAGGTCAGCGAGTCTTTTGGAAACCTGGGACATCACCAGTAAACTTTGACCTAGGTTCCATCTCGACGGAACATTTTGGGGCCAGCAATTCCGTCTTGTGTTTGCTTTGTTGGAGAGTTTGAATGCTCATGCTCCGCAACAGCAAGACCCTTGCCTTGCCTTCCTGCGTAAGTAATCACACGAGATATTGCACAGGTTCGGTCCTTTTCTTTTGACCCAGACAAGATGTGAGAACCGGAAGAGCGAGAGATCAGAGGGGTGAAGCGTGGTGATAAGTACCACAGCAAATGAATTCCGTCACTTTTCCGTCGGTTTCCTGTCGACAGAAGCGAGGTAGGGGTTTGTGGTGGCGAGGGGGGGATTGTCCGTCGAAGAAAGTCGAGGGTAGCACTGGTGGCTTCATTTTCCCTACGCCCAATTTGTGATCTGCCGTATCTTCCTGTGCATGGTTTCCACGGTCAAGCATCTAGGTCTTCTGGGCATTTTTCGTCTATGGATATGAGGTGGACCTCATGTCCCATCCAAATGTCATGTATCGTATACCAAACTCTTTTTGCGAGTGCAACAGTATCTCTGGGCGAAGTCAAACTCTCTTTGCGAAGATCATTTATCTCTAAGCAATTGGAAATACATACTTGAAGTCTCGGGGCGGAAGTCTGAAATCCGTTGAAAAGCGTGATGTCATTGCTCTCGGCGGACGGTCCCGCGGCGGTCAAACGGTCAATGGCGGTAATTACTCGCACGTGAGTTAATTACTGCCAAGGATCCTGGATTTTGATTTCCAACTGCTTGTCATCCCTGACTAAATCTGTAATGAAGTTGCGAATCTGTGCATCGCCCTCCGCCCTCCCCAGAATCTAGCTTTTTTGGGTGCTTACTTGACTCGTTGGTGCTGTAAGGTAAAGCTTGATTGAGCCCCAACTCACACGCAAGGATTGAATGCAATAAACGGCAATGACTTTTCCCAACTTGATAACGTTTTCTCAAATGGTCGCCAGACTTGGCCCGTCCATCTATGCCAGCTTCTGGCCTGTTGTTTTCTCGTCTGAAGTTCTAGCCCCCATGGTGCATTTGAACTCGAGCAATGCAGATCATTATTGGAACCTGCGACCGTCAGTACAACGCTGACGAAGTATCATCCGCAATGGTTTTGTCGCGTCACGATGTGGAAGGAGGAGATAATGCACATGACCAAGCAGACACTTAAGGGACAAAACTGGCCTTATGCATTTTGACTACGCTTTGAGAGCGTGTTGGACATCTCACAGAGTTTCATTGCGATAACTAGGTCTAATTGTATGTCAATCGCCAACTCTGGATGTCTTGTCCAATGTAAATATTGGTATAATGGACTTTGTTTGTACATGTAGGGCGATATATGTCTTGACTCGTGCAAAAACTGCTGCAGTGAGTGCTCTGGTTAAAACATGACTCGTGCGAAATGCAAGGAATGTTCAAGGTTGTTGAAACGCATCACGTGAACCCCGTCGTTTCCCACAAGCACCTGCACCCACCCATGCGACAATACATACATTAGGTACCTACCTGACTCATTCAACTGGCGGTGCTGTTCTGAAACAATAGAGACAGAGCGTATTGTGCCAGTAACATAAGGAGTCTGTAAAGTTATCTCTTTTTGGAAGGTGTTGCGGGACGAGGACTACCAGTATGAGATAAGCGACATCTGGCTCAAGGCGAAGACAATCCACCATGCGTACCGTACTTACATAAGTCCGTATGTTTGGTTACATAGAAGTCCTAACCTCAATGGGCTCCGAGTTGGACCCGACAAACACGTGCAGCGCATTGACATGGCACGTGTCCCCTCCACCGTACAACCGGGACCTTAGTCAACATGCAAGTTCGTCATCATCTATATTCTTACCTGCCCAATGCGATCACGATCGTGCCTATCCGTATGCGCGTAGTCAGTTTCCTTTACAAGTTTACATAAACACCCTTGATGGCCCACAACATCATCCAAGGCGAAATACAGCTTGAGCAGCCGGTTACCCCGGGACCACTTTCCGCAGTGGCTGAATAAATCACGTAGGTCAGGATTTTGAGTTTTCAGCTTGGCAGACCTGAAGTCAGCATTGATGTCGCGAGGAGGGCAAAGCGACAGTGACCGCTTTTCTACAGGAGCCCGTGCCCGGTCTGGATGTCGTCGATGCTGTGGGTGATTCCGAGTGAATTAATTATTGGTTAACCAAGACCTTTCGAGGTCGTGATGACGGAGTGTGTAATGCCTGTCTCAATTTGGTTGCTCTTGCTTGTGACTTTCGACTTGTTACTGTTCCCTGATCCTGGCCAGGCAGTGTTCGTTTCATGTAGCTGTCAGAGGAACTTTCAGAGGAGTTGTGTGTCATGCAAGTCATACTCGCCGATTCCATGCACCTGGGTCTTGAGCACTTTGTTGATGACATGCGTGCCTCGGTCATGAGAGCTCTCCCACACCTCGAGTTTTGCGCTGCTGCAATGAAAGAAATGGGGAAAACACGTCTCCTACCTCAGGTGGATTTTCACCTCCAAGCAGCCCGTGAAAACGATCCGGGAAAGATTACCGTGCCGAAGTCCGCGAGTCAGAGAGTGTTGAGAATCCCTGGTTCCTTGGTGGTGGGCTTTGCGAGCACTGAGGAGAACCTGGCAAGGACCTACTTGTAGCTGCTATAGGTCGCTCCAGGTTATGGCGCACCACTGTTGCGGGGGACCCCTGTAGACTCCTGGACTTGTCGTGTCCAGGCGGGTTGGTGGCAATGTTAACGCCGCCTGTTCCCTGCCATGCCTGCTCTCCATCCTGATGAACCTGCATCACCAATTTGACGTGTTGAGAGCCAGACTGGGTTGAATACTCAACTGCACGAATAAGCCTACTCGCCGTGACATATTCTTGTAGGTTCTGTACATGCTTCATCGCATGGCCGTGCCAAGATTGAACCTCGTAAACTATCAGAATCCACAACGAATTGGGTCAAGAGACATGAGAGATGGGAGATGGCTAAGCAGGTGTGATTGGAGTGCCTTGGTTAGGGTGCCGTGGCACCCCTACATGAAGCTCTGGCGTCAAACAGTTCACAAGACCTGTGATTATACCTACTCGTACTGTAGTACTCGACAATTTGAATAGAACAATGGAAAGACAAAAAAAGGTTCTCCACTAGAGTCACGGAGGTCCACGATAAGAGGGTCGACCAACGACTGAAGAGGCCCACTTAGCTGCGAATACACAAGTATTAGGTACGGAGTAGGTACCCACGATGCCTACAAACCAAGGCTTGGAGCCCCAGAGGCAGGCCAATGTCAAATGCGCAGCGGCCCTCATTGGATGTTTAGGGCTCCTCAGCGCCTTAGACAACCCCTGATGCCCCCTCAACGTGCCTTTTAGCAAGAGACTCATTAGGGGCCAAGAGCCTAAATTCGCACATGGAGCCGATCATGCTTCTTGTCGTCATTGTAAATTCTCTCCCAAGATGCTAAATTTAAGGTCTCGTGGGTCTCCTTAGGCTCTAGCCTCTCGTGCCTCTGAACCTACGAGGATGGGTATGCCGATCATCCTCTGAAATGGTTTCGCGAGACGGACAGCAGGTTGTAGCGTAGAGAGTGGACACGCCCCATCGCTTCTGGAGAGGTCTGATAGGTGTAGTCTCGAAGTGCCAACACAGGAGATTTCTTTGCGCTCTCATGATTTTTCCGTGCTGGTGGACCACTTAGCTTGATGATAGTGAAAGTACTCCGTAGTATTATCAATGGTAGTGGCAGCATTCTGCGGCCGTGCGTCGGAGATTGTGTCGACTGCAGATACCATTAATATCACTCATGTGCAAATGCATCTATCATCTACGAGTATGTGATGAAAATGGGAACCCACGGAGCCAGGCTACCAAGCATCTTGAGAAATCACGGGAGTCAATCTTGGTGGCCCCAGTCCCCCGTCCTCCGAAGCCCAGGCACCTTCTGAGAGACTAGTTGATCAATGGTCGATCACGATGATCACAACCAAACAATTTCTGTTGGTTGCCACAGTTGACATGTGAAAATCCTCAACAATAAAACTTGGGCATCACTGCAGATAAACAGAGGTGTAAAACAAACGCTGACAACAAGTAGAAACACGACGAGCTCGTGTGCATGAATGCCTAGAAGAGCGGTTCGTGTTTGACTGCAACTACCGTTCCTTACATATTCCCACCTGCTCAAGTCCCTGCTGAAATGACATTCTGCAGGCACCGCCTGAGGTAGGAGAACAATGAGCGAATGGACTCTATCAACCAAGTCTCAACCATTTTATTGTACTTAGAGTTCCAATGTACCTTCTACCACTACTGCACAGGACACACTTTCTCCAAGGTCTATTATTTTACCGTTTTCCCAGTGGACTGATTCTCTGGTCACCAAGTGTACTCCGTACAGTAATAAGTTGTCGGGCATTTCCTGCGTAAAGATTTGCCACTAGCTGTCATTCTACTCCGTACAGTCTGCATGCACATAGATTCGCAATGTTGACCAGGACCAGGGTAGGATGTCTTTCCCCAGGGCTGTTGATCGTGAAATTTAACGAGACATGATTCGTACCATGACCCCTTCCAGTTTGGAGTCCAAGTCCCAGGTATCATCAATCTCGACTTATCAGGAGCCAACAGTACAATCATCAGACAACTTGACCTGCACCCTGGATACATGGTGATTGTTCCTATTAGACTATAGAATTATCCGATATCTCTGGAGCCTTGGATCTTTGTCTTTCTCCCTGACTCTGACCTAATTTGTTTACTTACAGATTGGGCGCTTCTTCAGACCATCTCCTCATGCAGCCCCATGCGGTCTGGTCCAATGCTCAAAACGTGTGGCTCGTCGAGCCTACCTAGTCAATAAAGATGGGTTAATGGGTTCACTTTTTTTTTCATGGCTGATCACTGATCAGACAACTACTAACTCAATCAAGCGGCGCCAGCGTTGATTTCCCCTCATCCTTCCTGCTTTTTAACCCACCAGGGGTTGGGGTTTATGCGTAGTGTAGCACGAGTAAACGGTCAGATACAAACGAAGTCAAGTGTGCTCAACCACTAGTCGAGCCACGCAGGATGTCGACCCTCTACAAGTTTGATGGTGCTGGAAGCCCGAGGGCTTGCCGTTGCCGTCACCAACGAGCGTAGAACTTTGAAAGGCGCAAGCAATTCGATTTGAGTCCAGGCTTTGTGCTTTGTGCTTTGTGCTTTGTGCCATTTCTCGGTGTTGGACGTTGGCCATGACAAGGGCAGAATCGGGTGAGGGATACCATCTTTGGTGACCACGGACCAGGGTGCAAATAAGAATTCACCCCAACTCGCTGGGCTAGGGCGGCCCGCACTCCCAGTTGGTTTAAGCCTAGCATCTCCACCTGTGCCACCTCTTGTGCAAGCCCCGCGGCCTTTGAGAATGGGCTCAACATACTCCGTACTGTACGCTCACACGCTGTGGGCGTCGGCGGCGTGAGCTGGCAGATGCGCATGGTCCATCTTGTGCACACCATTCTTTGTTGCCCCATCGCAAGTTGGCCGCCTAGCAAAGCATCGTCATTGGAGCCAAAACAGCCATATCGTGTTCATCCTTTTCTTTTCCAGCCAGAGCGCCCAACAGGCCACAAACTCTCTACTAGTAGTAATCGCCGCCAGCGCCGACCACGCACAACGCACGTCCACATTCGGACCTGGCGAGGCCACGTTCTCTCCAATACACTCTGTGTCAAGTTCTCTCGTGATAGCCATTTTGCAGTGCGTTATCTGTCTTCGGCCACTGACTCGCCTTACGTCTAGGGTTGGCTTCAATCCTGACACCAGTTAGCTCTGACTGGTCCTGCCGGCTCCTCATATCAACCCCATGTCGTAGTAAAGCCTTCACCCAGGCAGGCCCACCATGGCTAACCTCGCTCTGTTGCAGTAGTTGGTTGAGCTAACTACCCCAGTCACGCCAGTTCATTCACTGAGTCAACTCTGACGGTAGGGGTGGAACTAACCGTTGATGGGTGGCCGAGGGAGCCAATCTGCCACTACTGATAACTCTCCTCTGGCGGTGCATCCACATTGCCCGGGCATGGATACCTGGCGCAGGCAGTGGACACTGCACATAGGAACAGTGGACACCCAACAATCGAAGGGGGGCCAACCTGCAGCGGCGTCATCTCGCACTTGTTCCTCGCCCCGCGTCCAGCGACTTTTAGGCCAAGTGGTGGCGGTATCCAGGCTACGTAGGCATTAGGCTGTAGGCAGTGGACCCGACAGGCCTGTCATGGCTGGTCAGGACTGGATGAGCAACACCATGTCCACCATGCCCACCATGTTCTGCCAGTGTGCCTAGGATTTTGGTGGGTGGTTGTGCTCTTCTTTACCTAATCAGCCACCCGCTCAACAGGCTTGACTCTTGTGCTCGGCAGCCCTTGGACTTTACACTCTGCACCACCAACAGCGCTACACACCCACAACCCATACCCATTCCCACACCCCGTCATCACTGCACAGGCACTGGCACAACTTGACTGGGTTGCCCGCCCGCTCCCTTGCTCTGCCCGCGTCTGCTGGCTGCAACCTGCCTTCTCTCCGCTGGCTCCCTCTGTCAAATTCATCCACCCACCCATCCACTGTCATCGTCGCCCACCCAACTTCTCGACTCTTCATCCTCAATCTCGTGCCCAACATCGACGTCTCAGCTTTGTCGCTCGGGCTGTTTATTCATCTTCTGTATATTCCTTTATATCTTTCTCTCCTTTGATTCGCCAAAGTCCTTCATTGTCCGCTGAACCACTCCGGAACCGCATCCTGCCTCCGCTGACCAACTGCACATGCTCACCTCCGCAACTACCTGAACTTACTACCACTACCGCGACGATCCATTCCTGTCTGCCCTCCTGTCTCGTAGGACGTACTCGTACACGAATTCGATTCTTTTGCCTTCTTCGACTACCTCTACCTTTGACTCGTACCCACCTCGCCGGTCGAGGTAGAATTGTTTGCACCTGTCCTACACCTACACCTCCACCTCATCGGGCCTTGTTTCCCCTCTCAGGCAAATGTGGTCCAGCCTCCAGCCGTTCCCACCCTGAGACCAGCACGAAGCGACTTTTCAAACAGACAGATGGCAAGCTCAACTCTACACCCCTCCGTTGGTGTATGAGGACATCGACTCTCGACCCTCGACCCTCGGTGTGAATCTCATTCATGTCCCGCAAAGAGACAAAGGCAACATACTGAGAATCCTGTCTCCTTGCCATGGCAGAGAACAATGGCATCAGGTGGGATCCAGACCTGCAGCATCCTAGCCAGTTCAATGGAGTGTCAAACGAAGCTGAACCCCCACCTTCACTCTCTTCTATCGACGCAGAGACACCCACTTTGAGGATGGAGCGACCGGACTCTCGTGGCGATGATAGTACCACTCAAAGAAACACACCAGTTGCCTTGACAGCGCAAGAGACTACGGAGCCCGTTGATGAAGACCTGAGCAATGGTTTGGAATCATCCTCACACCAAGTGGCTCCCAGTTCCGCCTGGACTCCACTCATTCTCAGCCAGTCTCTTACAAAGTCTACCCAAACTTCCTCAAACTCTCTCAACGCCTTGTCTGAGAACGTTAGTGATCCGAGTCCTATTCTGCTTCCGACGTCCGGCTCGTGGGGCTCACAGTTCCAGCACTACCAGTCACGTGGAAGGCGTCCGTCTCATTCGAAGTCGGCCTCTTTATCAACCAGCAAGAGACATCCTTATGATCGCCCAGCTTTTCCCGATCAATCATTTCTTGCTCTTCAATCACAACAATACAGCTCTCGCCCATATCCCCCTCTACGCACGAGAAGCTCACATCCTGCCCAAAACCTGCTTTATAATGAAATGGATATTTGGACCCCATCTCTGTCCCGCAATCGAAGCACTGCCAGTCAACGCACTAGAACTGCCGACAACACGCCTATATCAAGCCCGGGTTTGTTCAGCTCTGGTCGACTAGGCCCCCACTCTTCTGCTTCCGACTCCGGCTCTCAGCTTCACCACCTACAGCAGCCGAAAGAAACTCACACCGCCGAGATTGAGCATGACACATTCTCGGGCAACAAGAATATCAACAACTATGAGATCTGTCGAGAGCTGGGACGTGGTGAGCACGGTAAGGTCAAGCTGGGCCGCAACCTCGAGGCTCAGCCTGCCGAGGTCTTGGTGGCCATCAAGATCGTTCCCAGATACTCGGTCAAACGAAGGCTAGGGAAACTAGGAGCACCAGAGGACCGCACAAAGCGTGAAGTAGCCATCTTGAAAAAGGCTCGCCATACCAACGTGGTCAGTCTCCTCGAGGTGATTGATGATCCGAGCAAGAACAAGGTCTACTTGATTCTCGAGTACGTGGAGAAGGGTGAAATCAAGTGGAGAAAACGTGGTGTTCGTGAAGTTCTCGCCGTCAATAACTCGAGATTCGAGCAAGAGCGGAATGGCTACAATACCTCTGTCGAGGCAAGTGACCGGGACCTGTTCCATGTCGCTCAAGCTAAACGTCGACATGATGCTGCCGAGAGAAGCAAGGCTTTGCAGCTTGCTGCGGGTCCTTCTTGGAGTCTCGAACATGGCGGGGCGGATCCTGATGAGGAAGATGATGATGTTCCTGACATCTCTAGAACCAGCTCCCAACACTTCTCCGACCATGCTCATTACAGCCGGACCCCTTCCCACGATGACTACACCGGTGCCGCACTGGCAGGCAGCATGTACGGAGCATACGATCCCACTGCCTATCGCGATCGGAAGTTCAGCATAGCCGCAAGTGCCATTTCCCACATGTCATCAGAGTATAACCTCGACGAAATTGACGAAGAGCATTCCTATGTGCCTGCAATGACCTTGGATGAAGCTCGACGGGCCTTCCGTGATACCTTGGCCGGCTTGCAGTTTCTACACGGCATCGGTATCATTCACCGAGACATCAAACCCGCAAATCTCTTGGTCTCAAAGGAAGGTAACATCAAGATATCTGACTTTGGCGTTTCATATCTGGGTCGTCCTACCACCGAAGAGGACCCTGAAACCATGTTGACCGAGAAGGACGCTTCTCATATCGACGATGAAAGAGAACTTGCGAGATCAGTTGGCACTCCCGCGTTCTGGGCTCCTGAACTTTGCTATGATGACACATCTATTTTCGAAGATGGCAATCCACCCAAGATCACCGGAGCAATTGACTTATGGGCCCTAGGAATCACGCTATACTGTATGATCTATGCTCGCCTCCCTTTCTATGCGACAGAAGAAAAAGGCCTGCACGAAATTGTTTGCACGGGTGAGCCGTTTCTGCCCAAAACTCGACTTGTTGCTGTTGATACCTCTGTGGACTCGCCGAGCAGCTCGGTGCCCTATACCATCAATAGCAACAAGAGACTCGACTATGAGCTGAAATTCGAGCAAGTTCCCGAAGGCGTTCGGGACCTGATCAGAAAGCTGCTTATAAAGGACCCTTCAAAGAGAATGACCATCGATGAAGCGAGACGTCATGAGTGGGTCGTTGAAGGGCTGCAGAATCCTCTCCAATGGTTGAATGTCACCGGCTTGGAGAAGGAGAAGAAAAAGAAGATCCTAGAAGTCGATGAAAAGGAGATCTCGCACGCCGTCGGACGACGAAATATCATTGAACGTGCCCTGAACACAGCTGGTCGTCTTGCTGGCAGCCTCTTAGGCAGGAACAATACCCGTAAACGGGCCCCGAGTGCCGCTACATCGACAACATCGGCGAGTCGCTCCAGCGAGTCCGTTGCTACGCCGTCGAGCTCGAATACAACGATTGGTCGCACTGAGAAGGAAAAGGAGAAAGACAAGACCAAGGAAGCACGCCGAACAAGCCTGCGCGGTGACGAGGTGTTGAATGCCTTGAAGAACTCGAGAGAAGGTGCTGAGCACCCTCTCGCACAAAGTCAAACCGTCAGTCCGGTTGACAATGTGCGAGAATATTTCAGTGGCCCGGTACCCACGCTCAAGGCCTCCTCCACAGGCCACACCCCACTGCCAGACTCAAAAGACCGGCCGCGAGGACCTGATCGAACAGTCTCAGCTCTTTCGAACACCGAGTCGGTCATGACTATTCGAGCTTCCCAGCACACACCGAGACTTTCCATCTTAGCCCCAGCACATGATATTGAAAGATCCTCGTCGCAAGACAGAAACGCCACGCGCAAGATCGAGGGATTGTGGGAAGGCACCAAGCCCCTCTTTCGTCTCGCCAGTCGTGATCGACACTCAACAAGAGCCGGGCGATCTCCAGCATCTAGCCGACAATCTTCCGACGGGGAGTCGTGGGCCGCACGTGGGGGTCCGAGTCTTGCCATTAGCACGGCATCTGCTACAGGTGCTCTTGAGCAACCGGATGCATTGCGCACAACGACATCGCCCGTCAGTTATGCCAACGGATCCCCTCCCGTGGTCGAACTAAAGACTGGCTTCCCAGCTCCGACTTCAACTCAAGAGGCCTTTCAACACGCCCAAGATGTCAACCAACGAAGGTTCATACAAGAAGCCGATCACCAGGCCCAGGCAACAGCGCAAGCAGAGATAACTAAGCGATCACAGAGCCAGGAAGACGTTGGTGCCTGTCCACCGTCCCCAGACGATATTACATTCTTGCAGAAGCAACGGATGCGGATGGCCAACGATGTCAGCCACTTTTCCATTGACTCTGTACCTATTCAAGGAGAACCTTCGGCTAGCACTATCGCATCGTCGATGGATGGCTACGGTGCAAGCAGTGTCTCACAGAGCATGTCCAACCCGAGTTTTGGCGTGAATTCAAGTGCCTCGTCACCACCAGGTGAAGGGTTTCTTGATGTGCATAGAAAAGACATGCTTGGGCCTCCGGCCACTGGCAAAGACCTTGAACCCTCATTCATGCGAACGGCTGACACGGTGACGAAAAATGGGCGTCGCGATCAGACTGCTTCAGCACCTGCGCTGGAAGACTGGCCCACGGCAGACTATTCAGGCCTGGAAGACGAAAATGATGGTGGAGAATCTGAGGACGAGGATGACGACGGGATGGTCATGGGCCCTGTCAAGCAAAGGAGATAATGTCTCTCAACCCACCCCACACAGAACATTGTACGGCTCAACTTCGAAAAATAGTCGTAAGCCGTGAAGACAATTTCGACACAACGACGTTGGACGGAGATACGACCAAACAAGAACAAGTTTGTTCCTTAAATACCCTGGTTTTAGACAGCAAGGCGCAGGATGTCCTTGCATGCGTTCCTTTTGTTTTTGGTTGGGAATTTGGACAGTGCTCGAAACAGATTATCGGGTATATTTTGATGTGGCATCGAGGGCAACGCTGAAACTGAAAATGCATCTTTGTGAAACGAGGGGGAGGCAAGATGAAACGATCAAAAGTTCCAGCATGGAGGTCAACTTTTCAGCAGCATTCGGGCCCAGCCTCTTTGCCTCGCCTATGTCCAAGAGGCAAATTCAAACTGAGAGAACCGTGGTCACGGCAACAAAGGCCGCTTTGAGCATGGACATGATGGCACATGATGTATGATGAAGCGGCGGGCATTTTTGAAATTGTCTTCCCGAGGAAGTCGAGCTGGATCTGGACGGGATGACGGTGGATGTGCGATAGTAATTTTCATTCTCGACCAGGACGAGTTCCAGAGGGGTATTTCAGGTGACCAACAGATCACAGACTGTGGCAGTATTTGGATCCAAAATAGTGTATATCTACGACCTGCAGATATGGAACTGGCAATATGTGCCAGAACATCGATCTCTTCTATATCTACTCGACTTTTGTGTGTTTCGTAAGCATTTAGTGGCGAAGTGTCAGTAGATTGTAGGTTTGAGAAAGAGTTAAGAGAAGGTACCACATAGTTGTAATGATGAAGATGGAAGGCTGCGCTTGGAAGGAGGAGCCACAAAACTAGCGCCACACAAAGCGCCACCGTTTCGCCGTTGATCATCTGCTCCGCTTGATTTTTACAACGGTGAAGTTTTTATCCCTTTAGTGATTTCGACTCTCCATCCCATCTGGTGATTTTTATTGTCCAGCTTCCACGCTTCACCAGCATTGACTTTCACTCCACCCAACTCCCCTGCGGGTGTTATCCTCGTTCTCAAGCATCTGGGTTTTCTATATAAACGGCTCCCAATTCGGAAATCAGGTGTCCAGGAGATGGCTTAGATCCAAGCAGCGCACCCTAGCCATTTCTCCGTCCATCGCCCATTTAACAGTTGCGCACACCTTGCCTTGGAGCTTTCAGTTCGACCTGAACCCACCACAACCCACCGTACCTCCTCTTTATCTCAGCCGACTCTAGTCCCAGCATGCAGAAGATCCTTCGCATCAATCTCAACGCCCGCAACCAAGGGGTGCGGGCAGCGCGAAGGAACAACTTGAAGAAGATCAAAAGCGAATGGTTCGAATATGAACAACAGTTTGTTCAGGGACAGCGGACGCGCACCAAGGCCATCAAAGAGGAACGGGCTAATCGTCGGGAAGATTGGATTGCCGGCCCACTAGCCCCGAAGCGAGATGTTGGCCGTCTAAAGGGGCTGTACGGAACCATAGAGACCGCCGCATCACGAAGTCCAGTAGTGCCACGCAATGCCAGGTTGGGAGAAGACGATACGTCGAAAGACCCCGACGACGAGGAAGGCGAGGATCCTCACGAAATCCCCGAGAGCAAGGTGATTGAGGGTAATGCGAGGAATATTCTTGCTGGTGATCGAGTGTGTGTGATCAGAGGCAGAGAGGGGACAAAAGGCCGAATCGGAAAGGTCAAAGAGATATTTTTGGACAGGAATGAAATCTCAGTTGAAGGCATCAACATGGTACGTTTTGTGTTGTGTTGCGGTCAACCAACATCAATCTTCCTCAATACACCGACGATTTTGCTAATCAATGATCTTACTGCTCCCAACAGGCCGACGTTAAAATACCACAGACCACCGCCGAAGCTCAAACAACCCCTTTCACATCCGTTGAAGTCCCTCTCCCGATCCAGGACGTCCGTCTGGTATTCCGACACACGATCGTCGACGATAGCACCGGCCGCATCCTCAAAGATCGGGACGTCATCGTCAATCACATTCGCGGCGGGGCACCTTTCCTAGAGCGAGAACACGGGTCCAACATTCCGTCACATACCCGATACATCGGGGGCTCAGACACTGAGATTTCCTGGCCTCAGACCGACGTCCAAGAGTTCAGAACCTTTGACAGTGACACCCGCCGCAGAGAGGTCGAACAGGTCACCCACTTGCCATCAATCTATGATTCTCCCCTTCCCAGATCTAGCGTTGTGGACGAATTGATCTCACGCTATTCCAACAGCCGTCGCTGGCACGAGGAAGAGTTTGTGCGGATGAAGATCATCGAGGACGCCAGATCGAGGTGGTATGAGTCTCGCACCTTGGATACTCCACATACCGAGTGGAAAAAGCACAATATGCAAAAGGCCGCAGCGAAGCGCCAGGCACAGCTTGCTCAGATGTCGTCGACTGTGAGGCCACCGCCGCCGCAAGTCTCCGCAGAGCAGTAGATGGTTTGGTGGTTTCCAGAGGAGTCGGAAGAGAAGATACAATGGCTCTAATTCTTGGCTGTGATAAGTCTTCTCCACGAGCATCGGGCTACCAGAAGCTAGATGGGAATCTCGTGGAAGTCACTCGCCACTTTATCCATCCAACCAAACAAACTCGGTTTTCTCCCTCTCCTATCGATACACACAACCTTGTATAGTCAATCGAGAGAAAGGCGTAGACAGAAAGCTGTAAAACATTGCACTGGGCAGCCTTGCGTGTGCATGTAAAGAAATGTAAAGATAGAAATCATCATCCACACCTATAACAACCATCTTCGGTCCATGGAGCATGTGGGCATCCCTGGGTGCTTTACACATGCCTCTCAGGAGATCTCCTTCCTTATAAATGAATCAACATTTAACCCGGTAATGGATGGGAGGCCTCTGTCGTGAGAACCTTTTTCCAGCACAAACTTATAATATTACATTTCATCTATCTCTTCTCTATGTCACATTATCATTCCAGTCTCAAACTCACCACATGATCCGGATATCGTGTACTGTATTCATGAAACAAGTGGACCAATGAATTCTGCCTTGGCCGGCACAAATTCCGGCTTGGGCGATGTCGAGTCTAATTGAACACCAACCCCATCATCTTCGGATACCGCCAACTGCGGCCACTGGACAAGGAAGCGATCGACCAGAGGCTTGAGAATCCGACCACTGAGACTCAATGTGCGTACACGGGCCCAGCTTTCGATATAGATGGAGCGCATGCGACCCGTTGGGTGGGAGGATTGTGGTGGCGATGCTGATGCTGATACCGATGATGCATGGGAAACTACAGGTCCATGAAGTCCGAAGAATAAGAGGATGATGGATGCAAGCACGACGATGACGCCGGTGCCTGGTCCGTTGGTCAAGATGAGGTCTGGATAGAGATCATGTTGACGCAGGACTTGGAGACTATCCTTTAGACATTTCAAGGAGCTGAATGGCGTGGTGAGGAGAGGTTGATGGATCTTACGGGCGCGGTAGATGGTAGCGATTGTGTATGAAGAAGAAGATGACGACGACGAAGGGGATGGATTCTTGTCCCTCGAGCTGAGCTGGTTTTCGAAGTCGTGCGCTCTCTGGGCTGAGAATGAGTCGCCCGAGCTTACAACGTAGGTACGATGAGTGAACAGGCGGTTGAGATTGGGTATTGAGGACAGAATGTTGATCATTTCTGCGGTGTGTCCCCCTGAGCCTAGAACGACGAGGAGATGGGTTGGATGCTCTGTGGATGCTTGTGGACGGGTTCGTGGTGGTCGTTGCCGAGACAGGATCATGGAGAGTCGGACTAGAAAGAGAATGACCAGGAGGACAATAGTGTTGGCGATGACAGCCAAGAGGAGAATGCCTTGAGTAGACATGTTGATGGGGAGGGTGAGCATGGTTTACTGAGAATGGTGCGACTGTGGTGTTTGAAATCTTTGTGGTTCTTCGTACGGTTTTAAGCTGTGATGTCTTCGCTAGACATGTCAATGCCCCCGAGTTATTATCCTGAAATGTCCTCCACAGCGATCACCTGGTCAGAGAATGGATCATGATCAATCCCGATGCCATACTTGGCCTTTGCGTTTTATATTCAGAAACAACCAGGGATGTCGTGGCGGTCGGAGGTGATTTGAATTGTATCTGGCGGAGCCTGAGAGGACACAACACACAGTACCTTATCCAGAGGACTCTTGGGCGTCAAAGTCCATTGAAATCGGTGTTGAAAGACCTCTAGATTGAAATTCTGAAGGATAAGTTGGCGAGAAATGGAAGCATGTCGTTCTCTTGGTGTTTTGGTCATTTGTGTCATTTGTGTCATTCCAACCAGCCTTAACCCAAGTTGAGTTTAACCTCTCCATCTAACCGCATCAGGCAATCAGTGTATGAACGACTTCTTTCTTGAAAGTCACTGACCAACATCAATCATGTCCTCTTTACCTTCTCCTACACAAAGAAACGCCGTTTTTTAGTGACTGACTTTGTAATTAGTTACTTCAAATGGACACTCAGACGATACAACAACAATAAACCCCCCTCCATCCTCCTTACGTCCATTGCATCTTCTCCTCTCGCCCATGAGTCGCCATGCCCATCCAACTCCGCCCGCGCTTGAACTGTCACTATTGCGGCCATCGGTCGAAATCCGGAAAGGCTCCAGGCCAGAAGTTCAAGTGTGACAACTGCCTGGCTGTCAACTTCTTCGATGAGAATGGGGAAATCGCTGATGTTCCCATTGACGTGGCCGCCCCTCCTCAGCGGTTCGCCCAGCCCGCATTTCGAGATCCCCTTGCGGACGACTATGCCGCCCAGGATTCCATCTTCTGTTCCACATGCCTGAAGAATCAACATCTCTACACATACAACCTGTCTCAATTTCTTCCTGACCCTGATCACCCCGAATATGCTCGATACGAGGCCGACTTTCCTGCCTTTAAGAAAGAGCTGGAGAAGAGATATCCACAATGCTGTATCCAGTGTGAGCCAAAAGTGCGTCGTCAATTGCAACAGGCAACCTATAACGCTAGGACCGATCATGTGCGAAGAGTATTGGACAAATCTCGTCAACGAAGAATTGCAAGCCGTCTCGGATGGAGGAGTCTACTCGTCAGCGCTGCTGGCTGTGGTTATGGCATCAGTCTTGCCACCCAGGTTGTCTGGCATCTGTATGGCTCTCAGGTTCAATGGATCCCAGGCGAACTTGGACTCAATACTGCTTCCTGCCTCAAGCACGGGACATGGAGCCTGGTATGCTTCGAACAGACTGAGTCTATAGCCAACTTATCTCTCATTTTAGGCCTACTCTGTATCTGGTGGAATCCAAAGTGGCAACATAAAATTTCGAACAACGAAGGTCGCTTGATTGGACTGCAGCGGTATTATCTCATCCAGCTTGCCATCCTCTTTCTCAGATTTGCAGCTTTAGCCTTGCTTCACCATATTCCGTTCACCGAGATCGCTGCCTCTGCCCTGCATGCCGTTTTCGCCATCTCTATGGCAGTCGCTGGGCTTTGGTCCACGTTCAGAATAATCACAGTTCGTCTAACCCAGCCGATCGACTGGCATCAAGACCCTGCTGCCTTGCTTACCTCTGGCCAATTCATACCCCCTCCCACCAAAACACAGCAGCAACAACTTGAAACCAGTGGAGAGAGAGCGTTCAATATAAACTCTCTATCATCAGTCTCCGCCCAACCTTACGAAGCCTGGAAACCGCCCTCTCCCCCAGACACCGGAGACTCTATGGATTGGACTCCGACCCAGCCAACATTCAGTCCTGCGCCAAAACCGGTACGTGTAGCTCCAAGCGGTCCTTCTCCCTTCTTCGGCAAACTGCCAGCACTGAAAGCCAGGGGCATTCGAACCACTCCGGGTCAGCAGATGGAACCAAAGGAGGCCATTGGTCTCCCTCCAGGATTTTTTGATAAAAAGCCATCGTCCGCTCTTTCCCCTCGAGGTCCACAACCTCCAAGTGATGCATTCGCGCAACCCAAGTTCTTTGGCCTTCAGGGTCAGGCTGATACTGGCCTGGAGAAGATATTTGATTCGGTGTTTTCTCTGAGAGATAGCAGCGTCGAGGACCGAATGATGAGCGGACATAAATCTTCTCAGGCAACAACCCTACAAGAGTCCACAGTCACAGAGCAGGCAGTGGGCTCTCAAGGTACCTCTTCGGGAGCTTCCATATTTAGTGGAATCTCCTTTTTTGTCATCTTGGTCGCCGTCACCGTGTGGCTATTCGAGACCTCACTGAAGCCAACCGGTTCCGATATGGGGTTCTATATCACTATTTTTAGTGCAGCCATCCCTGTTGGTCACCTTCTCCACGACCTGGTGACAGGCCGGTTCCCGGGACAAGTCGCTCGACCGCTTGTCTTTGTAGCTGAAGCAGTGGCTCTGATTTGCCTCGCCGTTGCAAGAGATCATTTTGGAGGCGCTTTTCGGGACCTGTGGAACAAGCTTGCCATCGGGCTGGTGGCCCTTTTACTGCCCCATGAATTTGTTCAGATGCATTCGGCAGAACTCACGTCTCGGCCTCCGACTAAAATCACACCGCCAACGAAGGTAACCGAACCGGCCCCCGTTCGAGAACCAGAACTTCATCACGACATGGTATCACCGTACCAAGATCTCCAATTCCAACCATCTTTACATTGTATTCCACCACAGACTCCACTATACTCTTCGCCCACGAGGCCACATGTCCGGGCCTCCCAGCCCCGTCGAGACTCCGATGAATCCACGACCAGTAGGACGTCGACGTCAACAGCTTCCTCGGTTGCGCCATGGGAAACGCCTCAATCTAGCCGGTACGGCGACTCGCAACAGATTCATATGCCCAGGAACTCGAATAGCGTATCAACAGAGTTACGGGGCCTGTCTTTGGGCGATGACGGTTCTTCCCGGCGTAACAATCGAGGGTCCTGGCGGGCTTCTGATTCAATGTCGTCAGGAGCCAATGTCGCGGGGCTGAGGTCGAGACGAAGATGAAGGAGATGAATGTTTGATATTGCATAGCATGAAGTGGGGTGGCATATTTACAATCAGCATCACTTTTCATCATAGACCGTTGCTGTGATGCTTCTGTTTGGATAGAACGAAGCTATGCATATCACAAGGATGGAAAGTATGACGAGATGACATAAATAAAATAGGAAGCGTGAGCGACTGTCATGCAGATACATGTACTACCACACTTACGATCCGACACGACGATTTCACAAGTAGAGTAGGTCTCGAGATAGTAGGACCGTGAAACGAGAATCTTTGGTTGCTCGTATATCATCTTCTCCCGAGTCATAGCAGTACAGTAAGCAGGTCCTTTCCTGCCGTCTATGTATGGAAATATTTCGGCCAGGCGTGGCTTTCGCTTGACCCAGTCCAAAAACTTTTGGGGGGGGGGGGGGGGGGTT